ACGCAACTTCAACTTTGTCTATTTTCGTGTCAAAACAAAAAGTCTCGTGGCCTTTTGGGACAGGACTTTTCTCTCTTTCATTTTTCTCCACAGTCGGTTCGTTTAATCACAAATTCGGTAGCTGTCTGAACACTAAATTGCGATGTCAGACTCAGTGTGGATGGGTTTTCTGAGGCATGCAGTACACGCCAGTAGCACGATGTACAACAATGATGTCGCCTCTGTAGTTTGTTAAACCAGGAGGCAGTGGATGTGTATTAGTAAGTAAGTCAAGCGAGTGAGATATTTGCACAACACGCCTCATGGCTAGTTTGGAACATTCTGTCAACTGTGATGATTTCACATCACTCGCATGTCTTCCTCACAAAGCTTCTGCGGCACCTCAAATATTTTCTTTTCCACCATCTGGTAACGACACATAATGCAGGATGTGAGTGTTAGCAGAGACCAAGTGTGCTTGGAAACAGTTTTGCTTTCAGAATTTTACTTATGAGCTACATGTGATCTCGACAATGAGATCAGTCAGCTGATGACCCGCTCATGTGGGTTGATTGACTGCAGAGGTTGGACAGGACGGCCTGCAAGACGCTGAGATGGGTATCAAACCGCTCACTGGTGACGCAAGGCCAATAGCGCCAAATGAGCAGCGACTATTTCCAATCACAATGTTTACAGTAGTTCTTATTGTTTCGAGCTGTGCAGCACTTGAATATTCTGTGTTCATTTTGAATTTAAAATTTGTATTTTTAATTTATTGTATTGTCTGTTTTTATAGCGTGTTCTCGTTTGATAGTTTTTTTCCTCTTATTGTTTTGAGGCTTTTGCATTTTCATGTGACGTCTGTAGTTGAACGTGGTTAATTTTCTGTATTTGTAACACTATTTCCTGGCTGTATTTTCTTTTAGGTTTTACTGCCTATGGCTGCATATCTACATTAGAAGTTGACGTTACATAAAATGTAAGTACTCAAGTCAGGTAACACAATACTGCACTCAACTATAAATATGTGAGTGTACTTATTCCATGATTTCCCTCCTGAAGGTTTCTTTAGAAGACATTCGCAATAAAAATAATCACGACGGCGCACACGTGGAGATGTTTTCACACGTTATTATCTCGTAAAGAGGTGGGGGAATAATGTCAGTGGGCTCTAATCTGACGCTTCGGGCGGGTTTATAAGCAACATCTTTGCTACAGAACAAAGCACGACCTCCCCTTGATGGCAGCCCTAAGTTAGGAAACACGGTTAAAGTGCTCCACTTTCTGCTCATCCTCTGAGGGGGAAACTTGATGAATCTACGGAGCAGCAAAAAGGAAGCAGGCGAGGGAAGAAAGAGGGTCGGTGCTGCGGTTTGAAGAGGCGTTTCAGAAATGTGTCTCTGTGTTCCTGCTCCTCGAACCATTTCCCTCTGACATTTTAAATTGCACCAAAGCCTCAACGACTTGAAGTGATTGTTTACCACTTCTTCCAAAATGAATCGTTCATGTTTACAGATAATGTCTGCCGTCTCAGGATTTGCTTGTTATGTTAACAACTTTGCAATTGCAGATACAGCTGCAATGCTGCTCCCGAATCTCAAGGGCACCGTACGCTTGTAATTCAAGACAAAGCTCACACACACGAGTATCATCATCATAAATAAAGGAAATACAAGTTTCACCAGAGTCGAGGCCACATATGGGTGTGTGTGTGTTTGGGATGTTGGAGCCTTTCTGCATTGTTGTTGATATTTCTGATTAATATTACGCTAGACATTTCTGAATATATGGAAAATGGTAATTCAATATTCAGTGAAAATTCAAAATATCACAATATAATGCAAAATATAATGGAATATAATACATTATTTTATTCCCTATTCTCCTGTGAATAAACAATTCTCATTAATGAAATATCAGTCAACACGTGGACTTGATAAACTCATTCCCCCTCTTTTGTGTCTTTTTTTGTGACCTCTTTAAATGCTCCTATTCACATCGTGATACATTCATTCATTTTTAATGAATGTATAAAACCATGTAAACGGTCAAAACTTTTGAGTACGTGAAACAAATTCACTTTGAAGATACAGAATTCTAAGGTTTAAGGGTAATGAATGCATATTTTAACGAGACAGAAGTCCCCCTTCCCTATAGTCTACTGTGCATCGTATTATAGCTCTGCACTCTGCTTGTATCCCCTTCAGACTGGTGTGTGTGTGTGTGTGTTGCTGTGCAGACAGCACAGGAAAGGAACCAAGTTTGAATAGAAAGCACGGCGATGTACAGCTGTGCACACAAGAAGCACTTCGTGCTCCTCTCTTTCTCCGTGTCAGTTCACTCTAGAGATAAGACGCCGAACAGGTATCAAATATTATATTGATAGGGACGCCCCAAAACATTGCTAAAGAGTCCCAAAGCCCTTGAGAAGATGTATTTCCTGCCGTTGTCATCCAGCGCCATATTTCTGACTCCATAAACGTCAACGCTTTCTAGCATGCAGCTATGCCCTCCCAGGGGTGTTCTGCAAAACCTGTCTGGGGGTTGAACTATTAATCTAAATTAAGCGATAAACTCTTCTGAATAAACGGAGGAAATAAATGGCCCCATTTCTGCCATAAATGTATTTTTAGCCGTCGGCCGAATGATGAGATAAGATAGAGGAATGCCGTCTTCTACAACTGGGATCAATGATTCCTTTTCTGGCTAATCGTTTGCATTATCTAGTTTGAGGCTCACCATGACTCTTTCTGTGTTTATCCCAATGGAGGTATAGTCTGAACTCGAGTGGCTGATTCAGTCATTATGCCATGGATCACTCCTCCCTTTCCATCTATTTTAGGAGTGTCTAATACAGACACCAAGAATGCTTTTACCATGAAAAGAAAAAAATAAAGCTTGACTGCACAGTAACAATTCCGCATTGGTCTTTCTTGTCATCCCATCTGTCCATTTATTCATTCTAATTCCTAAAAAAAAAGGAAATAATTTCAGCCTTTTGCCTTTGAGCCAGTCTTCTGTCTTCTGCATATTTAACACATGCCTGTTGTCCCAGATTCATAAAAACGCCTTCTGGCTGTAACCATGTCATAGAATTAATGGGAGAAAATGTAAAAAAAAAAGGAATTAAGACTAAGTGTATCTGCAGGGTCAGAAAAGTAAGAATGGAAGGAAGTAAGAGAAAAGCTCAAAGTGTCTGTGAAAGTGAAGTGCTCTTTGGTTTTGAAGGACGGCTCAACCATCCGGCCCCGTTTCCATCCCGGATTCCGTGGTGCCTCGCGGCTCTCTGGCATCCCGCTGAACTCAAACAGTTGTCTGGCACCCAAAGTCTGCAGCCCGGCTATTGTAGAGGAACAGCCTCATCCAGGCCTCCCTGCAGGTTTAAAGCACTATCATGACTGGGTTATATTTCATAATCCTTGTAATCCCATAAGCTTAATGTTACGTTTTCCGTGTACAGACCCGAGGCTTCAGTGGAAAGGGCTTTTTATAATTAAACACGAGGCAGGAGGGAGGAAGGACCAGCAGTGCTGCACCTTATCTGCTGTTGTTCTGATGCTGGTGCTGTAATGATCAAACGCCCCCTGGTGGTTCAAATAAGGTTAGTCCCTTGTTTTCTTTGTGCCATTCTTTAAACGTTTTAATCTATAGAGTAAGCTGTCATTTGAAAAAAAGTTGAATGTTTGAAATATCTTTATGATGTATCTTTATAATAATGTGCTTGTCTTTTTAAGTCACTTTTACTTTAGTTCTGAAATCTATAAAGTTGTTATTCGTCTTAACCCTCTGCACAGCGGCATGCGCATGCAGAGGAACAACAGTTTATTAATGAGATCCCGGGCGTAGGTGTGTGGTGACTCAGAGCATTGTAGTGTGTGGTGAATAGTTTTGGACTCGACGAGCAAACGGAGGAAGATGCAATCAAAAGCCTTCGTGAACACAGATGCTATAAAGAGCTTTCCGCTAATTTTGTGTTATTGGGATTATGGTTGTTGTTGAAGATGTTAGTGAATATCGGATGCACAGTGCTCAGGTCCAGCTGGACTGAGCCTGTCTACCCTCTTCTTTGTTTTCCTGAACATGGCCTTCACCTCACTTGAATGTGTAATATATTATACTTTTGGACGTTTAATGAAGTACTTAACGGATCTGAGTCCTTCTTTCACCACTGTACCATGCCCAACCCCAAATACTCCACATCAAACTCTTTTCTTAGAACTAATAACAGAGTGGTGTAAAGTAATGGAGTGGCCTAGTTTGGGGAAAATGATCTGTTATCGTAAACTATCTTTTGTCACTCCGGTTGCTGTAAAGCAAAGAAGTGACACTCTCAAATGAATACGTTCCTATACATGAACCTAGGGAGGGTCCTTGGTGAGCCGAGCCCAACACTCCCCAAAGAGGCCTTCTCGTGCCAGAACAAAAGGAATCTACCTTTATGTAACCATTGTAACCTGAAATGTTAAAATAAAGAGACGTAAAGGCCCGTAAGCACATCAATCACACGGGGCACCGCCACGCCACCGCCACCTCAGAAGCAAACACTGAAACCAGAGATGCCTCGAAAGTAGGCCATCAACTATTCATTCTGATGCGACAGGCCTCCACCTATCAGGTGTGATGAAGTCTTTATCTTCTCCTCCTCTTTTAAAGAAAATCACCGCCGGCCGAGGCGGCAGCGCCTCGCAGGCGTTACACGGATCGCTCAGAGGAAACACATGGCTGCATGCATATTTCATGGCGGCGTGGCGCTTTGGGGATAGTTCATCCGCGGTTTTAGAGAATCCGGTGACAGGCACTTTATGGCAAAAGGGATTGATTTTTTTTTTTTTTAATTAACAGGTCCCCCAGTGGGCTCCACTGACCCGGTGTGTAAGAAACACAGCATGAAGAGCACTCCACCAGCTGTCTATCCAGACATGCTGGTGCATTCAACGGATCCACTAAAGATGAAAACAGCAGCAGCAAGATTCTGAGCCGCAGGATCAGCATTTTAATTCAAAATAGAGAGGTCTGCCATGTGGAATAATCAGTCATTTATTATTAGGGTACAAAACAAGAAAAAGCAACAATTCATGCCATTGTTTCGTAACACAATCATTGCTCTTCCATGCATTTACTCAACTTTCACAACACACACACACACACACACAATACAGACATACAGTTTAGATTCTCAACCATTGTAACAGAGTTAGTCCACATTCAGAGTGACAGATATTCTGCATGTATATATTTTTCAATTGATGTTTTTGGTCAATCAGAACACAAAAAAACACACAACATTTAGCATATTAAATGAAACTGATTCCTAAAACTAACAAGTATTTTCTTCATCAATTCTTATAATTATGAATTAATCAGAGAAACAGAGAAACATGAGCACCACAACTTTCTAGATCCCCCAAATGGCTTTGAAGGGACTTGAAATCCCTCGATCCCCATATTTGAGCATATTCTCTTGAAAATATACCTTTCCAGTCAATTGAGTTGCAGTGTCAAAAATCAAATGCATTTGTTTTCTAAATGTGTTGTTTTCAGGGCTTCTGTATTGGAAAACCTTATGTTTTACAGATGGGATTGTGTGAATCACCTGTGAACGAGCATTAAATGCTCTTATGATATTTTATGTTGCAGTTGAAGTGTTGAAATGTTTGTGCAATTGCTTCGACAACTTAGTCGAGCCTAGTTCTCCATGAGCTCTGATTATGAGCAATCTAAGCAGAATGATTGGCACCTTTTTCTGGTTTTTATTAGAGGGGTCATTGAACTTTATCACTTTCACTGATTAACAGCAACTATTATATAAAATCAAGAGAACGGAATTGTTAGATATCTTACAAAATGCCATTTAGAATACTGCTCATATCCTGTGATTAATATAAAGCTGGAGTGTGAGTAGCTTTATTTAGCAACAACAAATAACCAACACATAACTAAACCCCACAAAACCACAACATTTAACTCCTTTTTTACTATTCTTACTCCAGATTGAACAAAGAGGTGCACAAAGCAAAAAGAAGATCTAAAAAGCGTAATTTCCATAATGTGGAAATAACTGACTGCGTTTTAGTCTCCACTTTTATCTCAGTGACATTGGGTTTTAATTCGTGTTACACCCGCTGTAGTGGCTAAATATCGTGTTGTCTATCCACCTGCGGAACTTGGACACAGCAGTGTAGACTCCGGGAAACTGGGCGTCAGCACATCCTCTCCCCCAGGACACCAGGCCGTAGACCCGGCCCTCGCACACGAGCGGACCCCCAGAGTCCCCCTGAGACAAGGGAAGAAGAAGGCCACACACAGGCATCACTGGGATTGTTCTGAACAGGAAACGTAATGTAATGAAACAAATTTGGGTCAGTCGAAACTAGTCCAATAGTTTGCTAAACATCTAAGTGCCCAAAGGTCAGGCCTCTTTGAAATGTGGCGGCCATATAAAGAAACAACGTTGTCTATTTTGTTTAGAATTATTTGAATTACGTTGTATGTTTTTTTTCATTTTGTAAAAAATACAGTACATTTCTGATCAAAGTGTTTGGAGAGGAGGTCGGCATACAAACAAAAGTGTGTGAAATAAAACTTATTATAAAAATTAGGTGAACTGTTTGAGCAGTGTAGCCGTGCTGTATTCTTTGTCAAAGCTTATGGCAGTGACTGAATTGTGTTTGTTTTTTTGGTTTAAATTCACAATGTTAATCACTTGTTCCAACAGTGGAAATAGTGCAGCAAACAAAGCTTCTATGAAAGCTTTGTTTCTTATTCAACGGGGTTTGTCAATTGTGTGATACATTATTGGAATAATATTAGCAATGCATTAGAAACAGCGTCTTATCTTGCAGTCGGTTAAAGTGCCAATTACTAACTAATGAGGGGCAGATGTCATACATTAAACTGCAATCTCCGAGCGGTGACCTTTCCGCACTCTGGGTGAAACTGCGTCCTCTTACCTGGCAGGCGTCCTTCCCACCCACCGTGAAACCGGCACACAGCATGCTCTCTGTGATCTGCCCGTCGAAGGACTCACTGCGGTTGCACTGTTCCGTGGAGACGATGGGCAGCAGGACAGTGCGCAGCGTGTCGGGGATCTGCCCTCCGCCGGCGCTGGTGTATCCCCATCCCGACACCCGGCACACCCGTCCCGCTGCCAAGGAGGCGCCCTGCCGGGGCAGCAGGGCGACGGACACGTAGGCGTTCAGATCGACCGGGGCCCTCAGCTGGACAGACGGTGGAGAGTTTGATCATTACAAGGACCTTCCCGAGAGCGACGGACGGAGAGACGGGCTCAAAGAGCGTCTTTGCACCTTTATGAGCATGATGTCATTGTTCGTGGTGGTGCTGTTGTACTCGGGGTGGGGAAACAAAAGTTGGGGAAGCACTTCTTGCTCCGTGCCCTCGTAGATGGTCAGGGAGTAGTCTCCGGCCACTATCATCATTTTGTTTACTCTGCAGAAATAAAAGAGTAAATCAGTCGGCAAGTTGCAAACGGTTAAATTGTTCTTCTTAATACGTTATTGGCTAAAAACGAATGTTTTCTCACCAGCCAAACTCTTTGTAAAGGAAAGAGTGCGGCTTCAAAATAAAGTCACTCAGTCAGCTGTGATGACATTTTCTCTCAATATCGACAATTCACTAAACTGCCATTTGATGCGACTCGAAATGACCGGATGGTCTCGTGAAACACTGTAAACACGTATTGACGAGCAGAGACGGCAGGTTGAGGACGTCGTACGTCAATAAGCCTGTTATTGTTGTCTGCAGGCTAAATCAGGGCACACGGCTTTATCAATACGCTAGCCTATAAAGTTACACCGCTTTTATTTTCATTGGACATTAGTCAAGAGAAGAAAACATTTGCTCACCCTATGTTACAGTGCGCTGCTGTGATTACCCAGTACTTATTTATCAAGGAGCCCCCACATAAGTGCCGACGCTGCGTTGTCTGTATCGACACGATGTACTTGATTGAATGTGGAACTGGTGCGTATCCTCCCACTATGCGTTGCCCTGGCAACTCTTGACCTGCTGCGACACACAGAACAAATGTATGATCTCAGATTGACTCGAGAGGGAGGGAGACAAAAGAGTTGAGATATTATAAAGCAGGAACAACAGAGAAAACAACAGCTGACATCAGTGCACAGACGCTCCTGGTTTAGCAGATGAATGAAACACGATCTCATCGTTGAGGTACATTGATTCACAGTAAAGGATTAGTCATAGTGCATAATTATCTATCAGATATTAACACAGGAGTGATTTGAAACCTAGAATACTCCAGCCAAGTGTTGTTCTGAAGTGTAACTTTGAGGTAGATTTATCATTTATTTTGTCACTTTATACTGATATATATAGAGGATATTGCAGTACTTTTAACCCCACTACATTTATTTGACAGTGATTTTTAAAAAGATTGTACATTCATACTACATGATGTTGATGTGAAACGTGAACTATTGTACTATTACAGAATAAATTAAGATAATCCTAGAGTAAGATTTTACTGAATTATGTGTAACTTTACTTTTGCTAATAATACATTTTAAAATAGAGCTTCAATGCATTTTACTTGCAAAAAAGTAGATTTCTATAAAAGTATCATCACTTAAATACTTATTATGTTACATAAATCTTAAAAGTTTTATTTACTCATAATTTCATTGTCAGTGTCTCATGCGTAAAAATGGCAGCTAAAGCTACTCTTGGGACACTGAGGTCACATTCCCAGTGTTTTAAAAATTAGTTCCAGTCATTTTAGTCTCACTCGTTACATTTGGCTCATTTAGGCCAAGGATTCAGTATTATTACAGCATCAGAATTTAAAGCGTTATAGAGCAGGGTTTGACCACGGAGACCTTGACTGAAGAAACTGTAACCTTTGTGAAACCTTGAGGTCCTTGGACTCCCGACCAGGTTGTTGCTAGAATCCCGTCCTCGAGAGTATCTACACTGCAAACTCAAAGTGTACATTACAGCAAATGAGAGGCATCTTAATGCCATCGGCAATTAAACAATTCCATCTCATAGACGCCGAGCTATAATTAGTAAAACGGTAACTCTATTCAGTGCACGTGGACTGGGTGTGCGTGAGATACACGCCAGCATTAGAGGTGTAATGACCTAGGCTAGAAACTGGACCTCGGACATCGTGTCTCCTATTGTCTGTAACCAGAGCTCAACCTAATAGAGTCAAATGTAATAACGTGTTCCTTGGATGTCGCAGAAACTGCCAAACTGCGTTGTAGTGAGTCAATTGTAAGTCATTTATTGCTCACTGCTTTATTTAGTTAGCTGCCATTACACCAGAGAAATGTTCTTTTTTACATCCTCTGTCTGCTGTATTGTCTGTTGTGAAATTGCACAGTCCCAGATCCCAGAGATCCTTTCCAGATGCCTATCAGGGTCTCCTTTCACGCTTTTTATTCATCTTTGAGGCAGAATAGCCTGTCACAAAAGGAGGTGGTGGCCACAACTACTTATTGTTGTTGTGTTACTCACCTTCGTCTGCGGTTTCAAATTTGTTTGGCGAATAAGCACTTTTACTGAACATTTCAAAAGCTCTTTATCTAGAGATGTAAATCTCTGATGTGGAATTAAATCTTTGTTACAGGAATTGATTCATTTTCTGAAAGAGTTATTGGGGGCATATCTGCTCTTTATGAGACATTGTGAAGCTTAGTGATGGAGAAAATGAAATAGACCATGAGGCCGGGTCACTGCGGCAACGGCTGAAGCGTGATTAATGTCCTGATGCTCCACCGGATGAGCAGCCACACAGATCACAATGTCCATGTTACAGGAGCTGGAACTATTACTGATAGTACTTTAAAAGTTGTAATTTATTGCTTAACGTTGTTTTTTTTAAAGAAGAATAGTAAATTTGCCATTATAAAATTATTTACACACGGCAAGCTGGATCTTAAAAAATGATGTTCATTTTAGAACTAAAATATTGTAGTTGATTTCTCATTAATTATTATAAATACCTTTGTTTGATTCATGCCAAACCTGCACTCCTCCTGTTAAAGCCGTGAGTTCATGAGACATGTGCAGAGGAATTTGGCTGAGTAAAACTTTTTTGTCTAAAGACCATCTCTATGGAGCAGCAGGACTGCCAATGCCACTGCTAAAAGGCAACACTGCAAACATGGATACGAAGGATCCCGATACCATATTACATCCAAGTTTTGCCCATTTAAATTCAGATTCAATTTATGCACCTTTAAATATAATTTATGAGTATGCATCCCAACTTTCATATTGTTTTAAGCTTCATGCATGACTAAACTGTAAAATAGAGATAAAGAAGCGTACTTACAGTTTATGGCCAGGACTTCAAACAGTATACAGAGGACTAAAGAAGGCCGGCCCATGGTGAGACAATGGGGAGAGCAGTCAACCGTCACAGCCAGGAATCACCCGCGTACTGATTATCTAATCTGAACCAGAGCCACACACCTGCACTCTCGGGTTTCTTCTAGTTCCTTAGTTCCTATTTCCGTTTCCATGGTCACATCCCTTTATCCTGGACAAATGTACAACTGAAAAACACAGCATGGCTACACATCTCAAATCTTAAATGACTTACTCAAGCTGCCCTAGACTTCGTCATCATTGTTTATTTAATCGCCCGGTCAAGTGAAGGACACACAAAAGGTAAAGCATGTACTGGGTTTTTTGTGTTGCCAGTTTATTCCTCCAGTACAACCACTGTAGTGATGCAGCGCTGTCGGCTGTGCATCGTTTGACACTTTGCAGCTGCAGATTGAAGCTCAGCATGAAATGACCCGCTAAAGGAAAGGAAATACAGTGAGAGCCTCTGCATCTTTATCGCTGTAATATTTCCTCTCACTGCTTTCCTCAAGAAGGATCAGCAAGGGTTTGGGTCTCATTAAAAATGGAGCACAGCTTATGCTCGGTCTCGTGACCTCTGCGGAGTTCCCACCCTTAGCTGGCTGCTTGCCCTTCCCTGTCGCCCTCAGCGTTACTGATAGCCGTGCTCTCACAGCCACTGAGGTAATTCCAGTGCCTTTTTTCCCCGTCACAGCGCACGGCTGGCAGCGTTCTCACATTCTGTCTTGCCCTTTAGCCTGTATTGTGTTACACCCCGAGTTGTCGAAGGTTACAAACAGCGCTCACCCGGAATGGTTTTAAATGAGGATGACAGTTAGTCGCTTTTGTTTTTAATTACTGACAAAAAAACAAAACAACAGCAGGTAAAATCAGTTAAAAGATCATTAATTACTCTGCGAAAACATGTTGACTGGAAAGGAGGCACAGAGAAACTCTTGAATGGATTATGAGTGTTTTACTCTCATCACTCATGAATCTCATCTCATACAGCATCAATGATGTGATGCGTCTCCTCCTTGAAGAAAAAGTCCCTAAATAATGGCTTATACATCATTTTTAAATAGTTTTGTCCACAAAGGCCAGTGTGGAGCACTAGATAAATTAATTGGTTACTCTGAACTTGCCATAGAGGTGAATGTGGTGTTAATGATTGTCTATCTCTAGCATTATTATAATTTGTTGGTATAATATTACACATTTTTGTAAATAAAAAAAACAATGTTATAATTTTTATCTTTAACAAACCTGGATGTTGTGTACTCGTCAAACAGATCCATGTGATCGTAATGGAGGGAACTGAATGCACAACCAAATGTGATGAACGAAGAAACTGTATGACAGCCACTTAGTAGAAGTATTATTTTATTTTATGATAGATTTTATGTAAAATCTTGTAGTACACTTCATTTGTCGTGTGTTGATTCGCCAACATGTTTGTTTATGAGTGCACAGTTAATTTTTAATTCCAGATGAATACTGCTGTTAGCGTTTCAACGTACCTCGATGCATTTCATTGTGTCACTGTGATCCTCTTTAAAAAAATACAGACTCAATCAAATCAATACAAGCAAATGAAACAACGAGTTTATAACAATCCTTCTGTCCATATATGGTGAAGTGGATGACTGCCAAGAGGCGTTGCCATCCAAAATACTTTCATATCCCAAAACTAGAGCTCATAAAAAGTAATGATACTTCAGCTTTGTCATTTTGTAGGTCACTTTCATTGTAGCGCCGTGATATGGCATCAATACAAAGGAGACGAAAAGATAATTTCAACAAAAGATCTGGAGAAGGATACATTACTGTATAAAAGGCAACTGGACGCACTGGTGGCATTAGTAGGACATTCTCTGGTGGTGGCTGTGTTTGGGTTTACAGGTATGTAGAAGGGGATTCTAATCTTTAATAATTAACATTCAGGGCCGTACCCTCTATCAGTTTACTTTGTAGAATATATGTAAAAAAAACAAAAGCATTATCATTCATTTAGTTATGCAGTTTTGAAGCAAAATGATTCAGGAGTACATTAGATCGGTAGTAAATATTTAGCCATTGATTTCAGAAGAGACGTTAGGAAATTCTGTAACTTACAGCAAAACATTTCTACAAAATGCCTGTATGTGTCATACGTACTCTACGAGGGGTCAACTGAGAGGAACAAGGCAGCAGTTCTTCTAACCTTGACTAGCGACAAATTCGTTTTTTCATTTCACACAAACACAATTGGATTTGATCAGGATTGTAGTAATTCAATTAATTAGCATTAATTATTTATTATAATGGCAATGGTAAAAACGTTTCTGCATTACAGATAAGTAAGAACATGACCCTGCTGCGATGCTCAGCTGTGGTGCTGTTTGTGGCCGTCTCCTTGTCAGGTAAGCTAAATGAAAGAATGCTCCTACTTGAGTGCAAAATAAAATCCTGCTCCCCTTTAAATGGGCATTTGAAGGAGAAAAGAAATACATTGAGTTTGGCTTGCATCCAACTTCTCACTAAAAATGTAAAGGCCACAGAATATATGGAATAAACTTGAAATGTTTTGGTAACACATATAAGTCAAATGGCATCTTTTTTCTCACTTGTGTTCAGCGACATTGGCAGAAAGGATCATTGGGGGACAGGAGGTCACCGCCTACTCTATCAAATATCAGGCATCGCTGCAGACCAGTAGTGGACAACACTACTGCGGAGGAACACTGGTGCACCCTCAGTGGGTGGTCTCTGCTGCTCACTGCTGGAGACCGTGAGTACTGACACAAGACGATTAAATGGACCGATGACTTTAAAGGAGCGTTTAAACGTGAACCTGTGACATTTTATATTTTACTGATTTTTCCAGTTTACGGGTCAACACTAAATAAGCCTATATCTGTTTTTGGCCATCAGGAAAAATATGATGAAGGTGGTGCTAAGTGAACACAACCTGAATTTGGAAGAAGGATTTGAGCAAGAATTTGACGTTGCATGGTCCTTTTTCAACAACTTTAACTACAGGACATTCAACAATGACATCCTGCTCATCAAGGCAAGCACAGGAAAGGCAGCCTGACATATTGGGGCTCCTGACCTGTGAATACCCTTCACTCTTGTTGGCTATTACTAAACAATTCCACTGCTTAGTCAGCATATCTGAGCATACACAATTTCACTTGTGTTACAGCTGGATAGACCAGCGACGCTCAATGCCAATGTCCAGCCAGCCGAGCTGCCAGATGCTGACACTCCTCTCGGCCCGAATGATGTGTGCACGGTCAGCGGCTGGGGCGTGACGCAGACTTACTCGAGCTACCTCTCTCCCGTGCTTCGTTCCGTGGACGTGACATTAATCCCTTACTGCTACTATTATTACTGGCAGATGATCACTCCCAACATGCTGTGTGCTGGATCTCGATTTGGTGGCAAAGATTCCTGCCAGGTACGGAATTTGTCACTGGATGCGGTACATTTAATAATTCCGCATTGCGTAATGATGCCTTGTGAATCCGTGGTGGATTTACTGGAAGGGACTTAAGCCCAGTTGTGATGCTATAAGCAGTCAAAAGACAATAATGCTATTTACACAAAGAGGATTTGCACCTAGGTGATATAACAGGGCAAAGATAAGCAGCAAATATGTGGCCTTCTGTTTGCTATGTATACTTTCCCAATATTGTTTGTATCCTATTTCAGTAACCAGATACATTTGAGTATATTTGTAATCTCTAATTTGTCTTTGTGATCCACAGGGTGACTCTGGTGGTCCCCTCATTTGCAACGGGAAATTTGAAGGCATTGTCTCCTGGGGTATCAGTTGCGCGAATCCATACTACCCTGGAGTCTACACCAAAGTGAGGAACTACATCGGTTGGATTGCCGAGACTATCAAAACATATAGTGATTGACATTATAAAATATTGTCAAATCAAATGACTGTCGATAATGTTTCATAATCAACAGTTGCCACAATAGATTATAAAACAAACAGCTGATTTAAAACATTATGTGTAATGGCCCATTTGATCTTAAATGATTCTACGTTCAGGTTTTCTAATAGTTCATTTTACAAACTTTGATTGCAATACACAATGTTAGGATATGTTGCTTAGAGGTTCAGTCACTTCTTGATATTTCCTCGTTTCCTAGAGATGTGTTGATATGCTTGGAATTCAATTACTTTCAATTCATCCATTGTTCTGATATAGAAATAAAAGATACAGAAACAAATCCTTTATCATTATTGGTATAATTATTATTGTAATTATTAATATTCTTACTGTGTAACCATTGCCCAGTTACACAGTAAGAATATTAGTTGGTTCAAATTAATGACAATATTGAGATAACACAGTCTAATTTTGTGATAATTTAGGTTCATTTACGAAAGTTAGTACAAGCATTGAATCAATGGTTAAAGCATCCATACTTACATCCATACATTAAAGATGAGTTGTCAAATCAAAGAGTGTTTGAGGCTTCTATTGCAGACATTTTGAACCCTTAATGAACACTTCCCTCATAGCTGCATTTCTGCAGAGTTTGCATAATTTACCCACGACTCATGCCGTTGACGACATTACCGGTGGAAGACGCAGAAGGTTGTTGGACACAAACCTTTCAAGATGAAAAATAAAAACACCCAAAAGCAAAGAAAAGCAGGCAGAGACTATGTTACACAACTGCTTTATCGACAACCATTTCTTTTCATTTTGATATTTAAGGTTTGAGGACAGAAACTAGTAAACAGATTGTTTGACAGTTGGGTCTCTTAGGTAGAGAACCTGTAAGTAGTTCCAATCAGGGAGTAAAACATGAAATAAACACCCACAGTTGTACATAAGATGTTATGATGTCAAGCAAACTAGTTATAATAAATTAATTGTACAATTTCGACTTTATTTAAAAATTAAATTGCATTTTTATTAATATATAAGGAATTGTTTTTATTTGCTAAACAGCTAAAAACTGATTTAGTTTACTGATTTATTTCGAGAACCACACATAGAAAAGATTATCATTTGGCTTTCATGGAACAGAGCATTCTGTTGTTCTTTAAAAAAATATTTTATAAAAAATATTTATATTTATAATATAATATATTTATTATATATTCTGTGACATGCATGATCCATTTGTTGGTTTGGTTGCAAAGGTTAATAATATAAATGTTTACGTCACTATTTATGATTTCAAATCTAAACCTGATAATGACCACTTGATTCTTTGGAAGACTTGCCAGGTGGTTATTTAACTTCCTTATTTGTTGAAAGAGGGTGACTTCAACCCTGCTATGGTGTCGGTTCTTGATATATTTCCTCCAGGTCAACTTTCACAGTCAAATCCAAAGAATCACGAGCAGGTTTTCGTCTTCCACGTTTCTTCCGCCTTCGAATAATACGTCATCGCGTTTTACGTCCCTTGTGATTCTAGCGCATGCGCGGTATAAGCTGTTTTTGTTTACCATAACACCGACTGTCCTTGCCTGAGTTACCCGAGGACTACCCTGACATAAGCGGGGCACGACCATATTCCCTTTACCGTCCGGGTTGATCATGTCTGTGAAACACGCCATCAGCCGGGGGCTGGAGTTGGGCCGGTCCGCCCTTCAGCTCGGTCTCCTCAAGTCAGGAGGCCGGTTCGCAGCGAAGCTCCGAGCGGACCGTCTCCGCGTCGCGCCGTCGAGCCGCGCCGTCCAGCCTCAGGCTTTCCTGCCGTCTCGGTACCGCTACTACCGCACCTCGTTGAAGGGCCTGGCAGCCCGGCTTCAGTCCGCCGGGTTCGGGCGAAGGCTCGGCGGCGGGTCCCCCCGGAACAGGGCCGCGTTCTGGGCTTTCGGTCTCGGTGTGGGGCTCATCGAGCAGCAGCTTGACGACGATAGAAGGAGCGCGGCGACGTGTGACGAGATCCAGGTATGACGGCCGTTAACCATCAAATATAACAATAGTATAATGTTACATTGGTGTGAATTCCATTTCCTAATATTTCAGAATTGTACCAACAGTAACACGAAAATGCTGCTAACGTCAACACATCGGTAACAATAATCAATATTATTTCTCAGACATTTACATATAGTTAAATGCCTTTACTCTGACATAACTAGTTATTTCAGTGAAGGATTAGGGTTATTATTACCAACCCTGGTAGTTTTGTATTGTGAGGTTTCATTGAGACATAATAGTGGATAAAAGCTGTCCACCTGCTTTGCACTTAGTGCTATTATTACAGTACGTAGTGTGAGGCTTATAAAGTGTTTTCTAGTTCATGTGTGTAATGTGTTGTTTGAAATACTTTGATAATATTTATACTTGCTGTACTATTTTGACTTATGACATTTTTCTGCGTTAAAGTTATAAAAACTATATTAAACTGAAAAAGTGTTTCCACCTTACTTGGTCTTTGGTGAATGCTTTCTTTATCCTTATTAATTTAATTATTTTTCAAACAGCTCTCAGGAGGTCCAACCCATCCACCAAATGTCCGTACGTCTATTCATCTCCATCTTCTTGTTTCTGCATTCGCAGGCGGTGTTCAGGAAGAAAAAAATCCAGAGTTCATTCAAGCCATGCACCTCTGGATATAAACTGCAGGATTACATCATTGGGAACCAGATTGGGAAAGGCTCCAACGCTGCTGTGTACGAGGCTGCAGCTCAGTTGGCGCCTCAGAAGTGCTCCCCGCCTCAGCTGGGAGAAGAGGAAGGGGAGACCGCTCCAACGCTCAGAACCTTCCCTATGGCTATCAAGATGATGTGGAACATTGGGGTCAGTATTCCGCGATATCCCACTCATTCCTCCCACAATGTTAGGCATAACTCCAGTGTAGGGAAACCAATGACGGAAACAAATCAGCGCTGTCTTTGATGCCATTTGTTTGCAGGCAGGGTCGTCCAGTGAGGCGATTTTTAAAGCCATGTCCCAGGAGCTGGTGCCCGCAGGCCCTCTGGCCCTAAAGCGGGAGGAAGAAGAAATCACTCTGGATGGGTATGTGTTACAACCTTCACGTTTTTTTGTTTTCATCAATTCCTAGTCCTGCAGGCCTGAAACAGGGTGTAGGACGGATGCTCAACGGCTGTGATCTCTGTATATTCAGATATTTTGGAGTCCTGCCCAAAAGAGTGTCAGCGCACCCTAATGTGATCAGAGTGTCCCGGGCCTTCACGGCGGACGTCCCATTGCTACCAGGTGCACAGGAGGAGTATCCAGATGTGCTGCCAGCCAGGCTGAACCCTGCTGGTTTGGGCAACAATCGCACTCTTTTCCTCGTCATGAAGAAGTAAGTTAACAATGATTTATAAAACAGATGTCACCAGTCTCATCTTAAAGTTAAAAGGCTTCACTGCTGGTTGATTTGCTGACTGCCGTGTAAAGGGGGCGGCAACAGCGGGGGCAATTTAGTACTCCGTGAGGACAGACAAGGCAGGGCCAACTGTGGTGACAAATACTTTGCTTTTTAACGTTACTGCTTCACATAAATATCCACCTGGTGTCTTCTAGCTTTCAAAGCTTTATACCAAAAAAACGTAAGCCATCCAGTGGATGACGACTAATATGCTGTGGTCTTCTTTGCTATAGTTACCCCTGCACACTGCGCCAGTACCTGAAAGTGTCCACGCCAGGCCACAGGCAGGGCTCTCTGATGGTGCTGCAGCTCCTTGAGGGGGTGGACCACCTGTGTAGACAGGGTGTTGCTCACAGGGATCTCAAATCAGACAACGTGCTGTTGGAGTTTGACTCAGGTTAGATTGCCACTAAGCGAGAAAGAGAAGCATCCCGACATCAATTGGCTGTGTGATGCCATCAGTTCAATGTAAGTATTTCAATGGATTTTGCATTTTTGCAGATGGATGCCCTCGTTTAGTAATTACCGACTTTGGCTGCTGCCTGGCTCAGGGTGACTCTGATCTACGGCTGCCATTCAACAGCACATATGTCGACAAAGGAGGGAACGCCTCCCTAATGGCCCCTGAGGTAGGCTTTATTAAGCAGCTCTGGATGGAGGCTTTCACAGTATGTAGACAATGGTGTGCGCATGCAGTTTGGCAAGAAGGTCGGTGAAGCAAAAGCTTGTCAAGGACAATTATCACCATCAGAAATGACAAATGTATTTATAGATCTGAATGCTTTTAGTTAGTGAATATAAATGTAGTGGTAAAATATTTATTAGTTATTTAAAAACAACTTTATCTGTGGTTATGTATGAAATAGAGTCCATGGTTATTGGAATTTGAAAAGGCAACATATATTTAAACTTGCATGTCTGAACATACATTAAACAAAAGAAAAGACACCAAAAACAACCACTTGTTAATTGCAATTCTACTTTTTTTCAATAACCACACAATGAATTAATAACTATCACATCGCATCTGCCAAAAGGTGGCCACCGCAGTTCCAGGGCGCGGCGTGGTGATCGACTACAGCAAGGCGGATGCCTGGGCAGTGGGCGCCATCTCCTATGAGATATTCGGGCAGCCTAACCCGTTCTATCGAGCGGTGGGACTGCAGAGCGAGAGCTTCCAGGAGAAGCAGCTTCCTCCGCTGCCCTCCGGTGTTCCAGCTGATGTGCAGCTAGTGATCCGATTCCTCCTCAGGAGAAACCCAAGCAAGGTAATACATAACACACTGTTTATTTATTTATAGGAGCTGTGCGCATTGAGTGATTGCTCAATTATTTGAGAAATCAATGGTGATTACACAGCAAAGAAAAATACAGATTACCACCCTTTGTTTTAAAACATATTTTGATCATATTAAGTCTCCTTTGACTGTTAATGTGGCCTCTTAATAATTATCACTATATCTCATGCCAATGATCGGTCCGTGTGGGGAAAAAAGGAGTACAAATATTCATATTTAACAACCAAATCTTATTAAAATGAAAAGTATTCTGCAGGTACAGCCCTGCTACAGTACTTCTCTATGTGTATCATCACTCTACAGCGCCCCAGTGCCCGCGTGGCCGCTAACATGCTACATCTTAGCCTGTGGGGACGGAAGGCCCTGGTCAACCAAGACAGCGTTGGCATGAGGAAGCTTGCTGATTGGCTGCTGTGCCAGTCTGCTGTGGTTCTCCTGAAGGGCTGCGGTGGACCCAGTGGCAACAAGGTGGAGGCGGAGCTTCAGAGGAGCTTCCTGTCCAACCTGGACCTGGAGGACCTTCGCACTGCTGCGGGCTTCCTCCTCTATGGGCGAGCGCAGCGTCAGACCTGCATTCTGTCTGCGTAGATCCACTCCCACTTATTCACATACTAAGTCGATGTGTCATTGGTATAAACAGAAAGGGAGCCCCAAGTTGAAACTTGCTTTGATTTTTGGTTACACATCTTTATTTAGAATGCTTATAGTCTTGGCATTTAAACCTAATGTGTGTTAAAGGCAGGCAAACTGCTCTGAAACATGTTATCTAGAACACTCCTCTATCAGTGTATCCCAGGGGTTATTGTAATTTATCAAATGGTTTTATTCGCCCCTCAACTTAACTCAAAAAGGGCCGTTATCTCTTGTGTTCACTGCTATTATTGTGAGCAATAACAACTGAACAAGTGAATCGGCCCAGAGAGGGATGGTAACAATGGCTACCTGTATTTCTCTTATGTGAGTGAATATGTTCTATTACAAAATGCACTTTAGCTATTTGCTCAAAAAGATCCAAAGCTACAGTTGTCGTTCCATGTGTGTTGGTCTGTGTAGAGGCATTGGACTGATGATGGTGAAGGCAAAGGCAGGTAGTCTGAATTAGAATACACTACTTATACCTACTAGGGCATCATTCAGTTTCAAAAAGGTAACATGCATCCTTTGCACAACTAATGTGTCTGTCAAACTGTCAGCTAAAAACTGGATGGGTTTCTTTGACCTATTTCCTATCCTATTGCACAAAATGCATGGAAAAAACGTGAAAAAAAGTATTATTCCATGCGATGATGATGGTAGATGCAGATCATGCAGATTACTGTCTGACTATAAGGATGTGATTTTGAATTTTTGGGTTTGCACTTGTTAAGAGAGTTTATTTGTTGGTTATTACTGTGTGTTCTACGACTTTTCTATATTTAAAAGATGATGATTTGAATAATGTTTGAGCCTACATTTGGCAACATGACAGGCATAATAAAATAATTATCCTATGCACAGTGAGGAATACAACATACAGGGTGTGTATGTTTTCATACTGAAGATGGTGAAAGATATTTTAGATACGTGTGTACAGTTATATGTCTTTCCTGCTGTTTCAGAATAAAAGTACCTGTTAGAAAATACATATGAATGGGTTGTTCAGATTATTACAGGCTGGTAGGTTAAAACATTGGGGATACTTAGGTTTGATCAAACCTCATAGTCTATTATCTCAGCTCTGTCAAGTCTTCAGCTCTGTGCCAGTAAAAGGTGCCAATAAACGAATGCATGTCTTTATATTATTTGTTTTGTGTTTTGTGAATATTAATTGGAGTGTGTTAGCTCACGTGTGCACACATGATATTGTTATATAAGTGGAAAAGATAATTGAACTTTATTTTGCTGATAGCGTTTCATTTGAGCACAAATTTAACAAGGTTGAACAGGAATTAATCTTGACTAAAAGTAGGACTCAAATACTGTGTGGATCAACTTGGTAGTTGGTGTTTTGCTCCTCAGCTGTTTCTCATACTCTTCTAATTCTCTACATCCAGAGTTATAGAAATAAAATAAAAATAGCCCGCACCATGTCATTTCTTGACCGCATTAAGTAATACGAAGTTTTCATAAATAACACAAAACAACTTCACTTTACTGAAAACTTTATTTAGGACAGAGTCAAATTGACATTGTAATGGCTGACTCTGAACATAGCCAAGCTGGTAATGAATAGACACTGTTTGGAATGTGCTTATGAACTAGTGAAGTCATTTGTTTCATGTTTAACTTGTGCCTTTCTGTCCCTTTTAATATTCCTCTCCCTCTTCCTCTCCCTCGCCCTCAATGGAGTCGACTCCGACCTCCTCATAATCCTTCTCCAGAGCTGCCATGTCCTCTCTGGCCTCTGAGAACTCTCCCTCCTCCATTCCCTCCCCCACGTACCAGTGAACAAAGGCCCGCTTGGCGTACATCAGGTCAAACTTGTGGTCAAGCCGAGCCCAGGCCTCTGCAATAGCAGTGGTGTTGCTCAGCATGCACACAGCCCTCTGGACCTTGGCCAGATCTCCTCCAGGAACTACAGTGGGAGGCTGGTAGTTGATGCCCACCTTGAAACCAGTGGGGCACCAGTCCACAAACTGGATGGCGCGCTTGGTTTTGATGGTGGCAATGGCAGCGTTCACATCTTTGGGAACCACGTCACCACGGAACAGAAGGCAGCAGGCCATGTATTTGCCGTGGCGAGGGTCACATTTGACCAATTGATTCGCTGGCTCGAAACAGGAATTGGTGATTTCTGACACTGACAGCTGCTCGTGGTAAGCCTTCTCAGCAGAGATGACGGGGGCATAGGTGGCCAGAGGGAAGTGGATACGGGGATATGGTACCAAGTTGGTCTGGAACTCTGTCAGATCAACATTGAGGGCGCCATCAAAGCGAAGAGAAGCAGTGATGGAGGACACGATCTGACTGATCAACCTGTTCAGGTTGGTGTAGGAGGGACGCTCGATATCGAGGTTCCTACGACAGATATCGTAGATGGCCTCGTTATCGACCATGAAGGCACAGTCAGAGTGCTCCAGGGTGGTGTGGGTGGTCAGGATGGCGTTGTAGGGCTCCACCACAGCGGTGGACACCTGGGGAGCTGGGTAGATGGAGAACTCCAGCTTGGACTTCTTGCCGTAGTCAACAGAGAGACGCTCCATCAGCAGAGAGGTGAAGCCGGAGCCGGTGCCGCCTCCGAAGCTGTGGAACACCAGGAAGCCCTGAAGGCCGGTGCACTGGTCCGACTGTGGGAGGAGAGGGAGAGACGGCGATCACACATGAGACATAGTAATGTGATTTAACTTGAATACAAGAATGCATCCTCAGATATCATGATACCCACCAGCTTGCGGATCCTGTCCAGCACCAGGTCGATGATCTCTTTGCCGATGGTGTAGTGTCCACGGGCATAATTGTTTGCAGCGTCCTCCTTACCAGTGATCAGCTGCTCAGGGTGGAACAGCTGGCGGTAAGTGCCAGTTCGCACCTCATCTAAGGACATCCAATCAGAAATCCATTTAGGGTTTGACTTAATTAAATCCTGACACAACTGTGTGTTTGCCTGAGTGTTTACCGATGACGGTGGGTTCCAGGTCCACAAAAACAGCTCTCGGGACGTGCTTTCCAGCTCCGGTCTCACTGAAGAAGGTGTTGAAGGAGTCGTCTCCTCCTCCGATGGCTTTGTCACTGGGCATCTGTCCGTCCGGCTGGATCCCATGTTCCAGGCAGTAAAGCTCCCAGCAGGCGTTGCCGATCTGGACACCGGCCTGACCGACGTGGATGGAGATACACTCGCGCTGGTGTTGGGAGAAAGAATATTTGGATCCATTAATGAATGATAATAATAAATGTTATTGAATCTTAAATCTTGCAGTATCTTACCGCGACCATTGCTGCTGATTAAAATGGATGATTGTCTTTAAGAGAACATTTAAATGGAGGCTATACAGATCAGCACCCAACCTTCAATTAATGAAAATCATTTGTGACCGGTGTTCAGTCTATAATTTGTCTTACACAACAAGCCCATCCATTTTTTTTTGCTGCGACATAAAACTGCCTCGGATTACTGCGGGCAGAGGATTATCTGGGTCAGACACGATGCAAAGCTGTCTGTCCAAAAAAACACATCCCCACGAACATTTACCCGTCATTTTTCATCTATATTTCATTTCATTTCTGAATTTACTTCTAACGGAGATCGGAGATCGAGGGCGGCTTCATTTTATGTAACACACAAAGAGACAAAGGGGTTGGTCATATGACATAATTCCCGTTAGAACAGGTGAATTGGTGTAACAAATATTTATATAAAAGCTTCAATGTGCAAACTGCACAACCTGGTACGTTAGTGGGAAACTAATGGTATGCAAGCAGATTTAGACCAGTTATGTGGAAAGAGGATTAAGCGTTTGTCGTGCAGGAATGCATAAGCGTTACGCGCAATCCTAGAGGGGGTGTTTGTGTGTGGGGGGGGGGGGGGGGGGCGGCGTTGTATAACCAAGAATATTGTTAATGAAGCTATTTAATAGTTATTATGCGCTGCAGACACCGTCGAGACACCAAAAGGTATTTTGAGAAATCTCACAGGCGACCTATTTTTCTCTCCATCAATTTGTGATGTAGGTCGATGTATTACAATCGATAAATAAACGGTATATTTCTGGTAATAAAATTTTGCAAATCGTATGGGAAATCATGTAAAAAAAAGAGTCACTTACCATTGTGGCTTGTCGCTATTATGCTATGTAACGAGACAAGTCTGAGGAGCGTTTGCGTCCGAGCTGCGCGGTGTGTGGAGCGGATCTGCTGATGCCGACGCGCACTCCGCCCCTGGAGGAGGAGGAGGTGAAGTGCGCAAGCGAACCCTGAACTCCTCTTTCTGCCGCAGTAACCGTTTCCCGTCCGCAACCAGAGCAAACACACATGCTGCGGCTTTTACTTGGACCCCCAAAATATCATTTATCAGTTGATGATTTGGTCCGACAGATCTATAATATTTTATGTTATCTAAAGGGACACGTTTTACTACCGTCGTCATTTTGCCTGACGTTGCCCGGTGAGCGCCAGACCGTGTTCTGTTGTGACGTAAGGTTGAAAGAGAGACGCTTCATTTTCATAATAATTAATTAACTGTTCGGCGAAATTTAGTCTACACGATGACGTCATTTCGACGTATTTCATATGGACTGTGTGGTGTTAAAAAGATGTTTTAAGGACATAGTTATGCGGTCTGTTTTTTTTACTTTACTCCTCCACAACATTACTTGTAAATACTAACTCTGCTCACATTCTATATTTAGGGTATTGAACATGTTACCGAAATAAATGCAATTTAATCAATAATTCCACAGAAGTGTGTTCAGGACCTCTCGAACTACTGGGAGAAGTATTTTTACTGTACAGATACACTGTACAAGTTTTCGAAAGGGTTTGATGTCCTATCAAAACAGTTTTCTCAATTATTCCAACAATGACTTATGTACGTGTGTTCAAGACATGTTTGACTACTCTTATGGTGAAAAGGAAATGTTCCCACAGTAAAAATAAAAAGGTAAATAGATGTTTTACATTTGAATGTTTAAAAAGCCAATATATCAATATTTGAAGTAGGTATTGTAAAATGACTACTGTGGAGCCAAATCCAGGTCAAAGTTGAAGTTTTGGTCTTAAATAAGTATTCAAAATAAAAATAAGTGCACAAAAAGTATTTTCGGGTTAGAGTTTTTTGGAATAAAATGTATATTTTTTCATTATTTACTTGTATTTATTTTTTGATGTCCATTGTATTGTATTTTTCTGTTGCATATTTAATATTTTAAGATTCAAAACATGTTTTCACTTTCAGATCTTTTTTTCGCGTTCGGATCTTTTTGACCCTGATGTGGCGTAGGGGGCGGGGCATCAACTGGGAGGGGCGTGAAATCATGAGTGACAGCTCAGAACAGAATCGGACATCCCGGTTCAATAGCTCATCAGCGAAGGGTTGTTAAAACACAAAACGACACCTCTCTGTAACCATAGTGACGTAGACAACCAGCTCCAACCCCAATTAACCATACTTTTAGCAATACGGACTGGTCTGCGCATGCGTGCTGGGCGAATCACATTGATCTGTGAGACGAGTACGCATGGGCCGTCTGCAAAGCGACATCACCATGCTTACAGAGAGGTGTCGTTTGTGTTTCAACAACGTTTCGCTGACCAGCTATTAAACCAGGAAGTCCGAATCTGTGAAAATCTTTCCAACTCCACCGAACTCAGACGCCATCTCGCATGGATGCTGCGCTGCGTTCACAATTGTTTGTGTGAGTGGGAAATTTGAGATTCATGTGTGGTTGATGAACGGTTCATTCTGAGATAGTTAACTGGTCTTATTCTGCGATTCATGGCAATTAGGATCCAAAACAGCTCGCTAAACAGAACGGTGTCACGGGCGTCAATAGTTTTACATATAATCTTAAATATAGTGAAAAGAAAGGGTTGATTCTTAAGTCTCGCGTGCCTCCTGAAGGCAATGCGGTTGAGGAAGCTGTCACTCATTATTATACGCCCCTCCTAGTTGATGCCCCGCCCCCTACGCCACATCAGGGTCAAATGTCTGAATGTGAAAAAAAAATATCCGAACGCGAAATAAATATATGTGAAAAAGTTTTGAATCTGAAAACATAAGATTTGAATCTGGAAACATAAAATCTGAATCTGAAAACATAAAATCTGTGAACCGAAAAATACAATACATCGAATATCAAAAAAATATATAGAGTGAAATGAAAAAAAATATTTTATTTAAAAAATATATAGAATTGAGTCAAAACTATATTCAACCGAAAATACTTTCCGTACGCTTATTTTTATTTTGAATACATTTCTGTCATTTTTTCAAGCTTCAAAACCAAAACTTTTCAGGTTCACATTTGTTATTCAAATGATCAAAACTTTTGACCTGCGTTTGGCTCCATACGCCGTGAGGTGACCTGCAGCCTCGCGTGAGCGCGGGGACCTTCGCCGAAATCAGGGCTCGTTCGTGCACGGAACAAAAAAAAAAGCAAAACGACCCCCACCAATCAGACGTCGACGTTGCGCTGACGTCTCCTCCCCGGACTGCCTCTCAGACCGCGGTGTTATGATCGTGATTTCGGTGTGTTCCGGCACAGACGCCGACGGCCCGGGAGAAGGTCTCCGTGCGCGACTGGGCGTTCCGGCGTACTTTACTTTTTTTTTTTTTTAATTCGATTCATTCATACGTGAACGGGAGAATGTTCCCCTCGGAGTCACCGTGCGTCATGACCTCACCGCCCCCCCGTTGAATGGGATTCCTCATCGCCTCCGCGTCGCTCCTTTTGGCACACAGTCCGCCTGGTGCCGCCGCTCCGAGCCGCCGATTTTTACGACCCGTGAAGACTTTTGGTTTCCCTCATCGGCCCCCGCGAATGGTCTGATACGACATCCGCCCTTTCCGATCGTCAGAACAGCGACCGTGCGCCAGATCCCCCGGTAGCCCGCGCGTCAGGGTAAGTGCCCCAACTTGTTATTTTAGAGAGGGGTGACCTCAGTAACGACGTACGGGGGGGGTCATAACCGAATGAGAGGCTTTAACGATGCTGCGGGATGAAGCCACTGTGTGCTCATCAGTCTCCTCATGCTCTCACACGCTCATCTCTATGAACCAAATGTTCTTAATGATTATATATATATATATATATATATATATATATATATATATATATATATATATATATATATATATATGTTATACTATATATTAGTGATCAGAAGGTCACTGTCATTGCTCACTTTGTGATTTATCGAGGTCACGCTTGGCCACAGTTACAGAAACTCATCAGAGCTTTTTTTCCAAAGAAAAAAGCTGCATACTCTACTACACAATCCCTTCTCTGCAGCATTTTGTTGGTGAATGTTAAGAGAAATGGCTCCCTGGGTGGAAGCTCTCACAACACAATGTGAAACCTGGCAGCAGGTTTCAGTTTTTATGGGCTACCTGCTGTACTTGCGCTGCTTTATGTGAGAGTGAGAAGATCAGAGTGGATCAGAGAGAGACTGTGTGCATATATACTTTCAACAGCGCCAGCTCTGAATAATGTGCTTTTTCACTCAGGATGCCACTGATTTTTCCTTCTGTCGGATCCCACACACATTAAAAACAGGATTAGTCTCTCTCCCACTCAACATGAGTCAAAGCCTCAAATATTGACTCTAATGTGGTGGCGACTAATAATAGAGAAGACTGCGTAATTGTATAGTCTCTATGATGTTTTCCCCCTGAGCTTATAGATGCAGTCCAGATCCTTTCGTAATGGTTTGTATCTTAACAATGTGACATTGGCCTTTAGTCCTGACTGCCGGAGCAGGTTCAGCACGCGGAACTGCTGTCTAGAAAATGACACTCGGTTTATTATCTAGACTAGATTTACTCTCAGATGAAGGTCTCATTCAGCTTGTGCGCTCTCGACACACACACACACACACACACACACACACACACAGTACACACAGTACACACACTTGAACCTGCTGTGCCACTGATGCGGGGTGATTTTAGAGCTTTTTGATCTGTCTAAAACCAGAATATTGTGTATAAACCCACAGTTGAGTCTTTATAATCCTCTCTGAAACATTTCTCCAGAGGCGCATCAATATTGGTCATACATGTATTTTTTCCTGAAAATAAAATTGCTATATTATATATTATATTTGATTATCAGTAGTGCTTTAGACAAATCCTCCAAGAGATTTACTTTGACTTTTTTTTGTTGTATTTTCCAGAAGGAATTAAAATGTTTGGCAACATTCAGGCAAAAACAAATTATATCCCGTCGATCCAATATCCTTAAATTGTGTATCAGGCCAATGGCGTACAAACTAATGCTGGTCGGGATGAAGTGCAGTTGCATGTAAGCCCCCCGCCCCCCGCCTCCTATTGGCCTGCCTGATGCCCTTTTGGGTTGCTGTCAGTCTGTATCACACCCTCAATTAACACTTCTGACGCGGTCTCAAAGGGGGAAAAAAAAGGATTCATGAAAGATTCTTCCATCTACAGCAATGCCAAGAAGCACTTCAGCAGGTTTTTACCAGGCTCATAACATGCGACAAGCAAGTGGGGAGTCTATCTCTCTGTGGTACGAGATGACCCATTGTTACTTTTCCAACTGCCTGGTTCCGGGCTCCGCACATGGGGGACCTAATGCCCCTTGGAATCCCATGAATGCTCCCCAGTGAAAGCTGTAGATGTTTATGTCAGCTCCCATGCGATTGGTGGAAAGTGGCTCTCATGGCCGAAATTCCTGCTAATTGGCAGCGTGGTTGTGCACTGGCCCCTTTTGTTCCCCCCCCCCCTTTTTTTTTTACTAGAGAGGTCTGTCATGGTGATACACTGGGCCTGGCATCAATGAGGCGCTTGTTTCCGCAGCCACACCGGCCCTGCAGGAGTCGGCGGCGTTTGCGACAAGGCGCTTCAACTTTCCAAATTGCCTTTGTGCACCAATTCAGGGAGATGCAGGCGAAGCATTTAGGGGCGGTGTATGGAGAGACCTTTTTCCCAAGCATCCCAGCCGAGCATATTATTAATGACGTGGGTCGTTGCCAACCGAGCGGTTGCGTTTAAACAGACTCCTTCTCTGGCTGGCGGTTTGCTGGGTTCATCATTTGATCTGGTCAGTGGCCCACTTTCCTTTTGCTCAGTTGATCGTTAGTTGGCATTGAGCGCTGAGGACATATTGTGATTTGTTTGTGATACAGAAAGAGGATCTAGCTTATTGGCAAGAGATATGCCGCACATTGAAAACAAGAGATGACAAACTGCAGGACAAAGGCTGACTTCTTTAGTTTGCCAGCGAAACGTGGGACAAACTCGGAGGGGAGAGAACGGGAGATACACGAAAAGAGGGGCGCGCGATTCGTGACGGATTCCTGCTGACAAAAGCCTTTGAATTTTTAATGCGGCAGATACTAAACTTCTGTCGCTCTGGCCCAGATTTGGTGCTAATTAGTGCCCAGACACTTTCTGGGGCATATAGTGTAGGAATGCCAGTGCCACCTGTTCTCTCCCGTCCTGCCTTCATGTGTCCTGCCTCTGCGTTTCAGTGGCCTCCATCTGTGTCCGGCATTGTTGCCTTACCGGCCGCGGACCTCAAGACTTTCACTTCCGCTCTGAGGGCTTTATTACTTCCTGAATAAGTGACCGCGGGAGAGAAGTGGACGTGCACACCGCTGCAACCTGTAGCCCGCACAGCCGGTTCCTTGCACCCAGTGGAGGCAGTTGAATGGTGGAGGATGCGGAACTGAAGCGCTCCTGACGCGTCCCTCTGAGGACCTCTGTCAGAGGGGCCGGCCATTTGAATGAAGTGTCTCATGGTAGTTTGACACAGGCAAACAGAGGACGGCCTGTGTCCTCCGAGGATCCCGCTGCCACTTCCTGTCCCTCTGCCCTGGAAACGGTCCAGGGTGACACAGGCCACGCACGGCCGCTCAATCCACCCAGTGTTGCCCCGCCGTGGAAAGAGCGATCGCTCTCGCGCCCTCATTCCCATCTCGCTCCGTGCGCGTTTCTCCTGACAGGAAAAGAGTCTTTGGCGCTCGGAAAGAAGCCTCTGTGTGTGGCTTCTGTGCGGGCGCAGCTGTGCGAGCCCCCGTCAGGAGGATGAGATGCTGCTCGGCCTCTTCTCAAAGCGTAAGGCGCCCCGTCCTGTGAGAACCACTGTGGGGTTTTTAGCGAGGTGGTGGGGGGGGGTTGATGGGAACGCATTTTGCGTGACAAATTCACATCGGGAGAAGTGGGTGCTTATTATAACTTCACCGAGTGACGCATCAAGCAGCGGAACCAACGCATGAATTGACATATCATTGTACTTACAATGCTTACGAACATGACACTAACAAGCGTATGTTCATTCACCCCGGTGCTTGTCTTACGTACGGATATAATGTACCAATGTCTACCTCGCTCTCGCTCAGTGTGCTTTGTTTACTGAGCCTTTTTAATGCACTGTGGTCTCAGGCTCGTGTGCCACTGGCTATGTGGCTACTGGCTGTCATATGGCGGATACAGCTGATCCTCCAGTTGCACCTCACGTCAACACCGTGACCTCCGTCAGCACAGTTGAGAGGAAATAGGCTTTAAATTTTGTTTAAAGCTCCTTTAATTTGTGGCTGTTTGTCGGTGGAATACAAGCACACGCCACTATCTCCATTCTTGAAACCAAAATTCAGGTTGTTTCCCCTGGTTTGAGTCTCGATCAGATAAGGAACAGCATCTTCCTCTTTCCTTCTCAGCATAGGCTGGTTTATTGAACGCACCCTTCTGTTACGTAAAAACAAACCACCAACGCTCTGCTGTGATTGCCTAGCAGTCAGCGTGTAGTCACATTTGAATGTTGAAATCAGTGCCACCTGAACAAAGGGGTGGACTAAAAGAGAGGAAATCACTCCAGTGTTCGGCCCGTCAATCTATTATGGAAATGTGGCGGCTGGGAGCAGTTGCGTCTCGATGATGAAGCGTGACATGGGCCCATTTTCAAATTCGAACGGCAAACTCTGGTGGGTGTTTCAGATTTGTTCCGCTGCTCTTATTTGTCTGTCTCTAAGGAAGCAGTTTGAGTTCATCCATCGCAGCCATAGAAGTGTTGATGCAGCATGCTATATTTATCATTCTGCGCCTGCTGTTCCCTCTCTCCTAGAATGTTTATGTAGGGGTTTCTAGCCCCCACCTCCCCCACCGAGTCATCATAATATGAACGTATATGATTCTCGACGATTATCCACAGCAGCACGACACCCTCGGCGCGCTTTCAGCCATGTGTTTAAAAGGCGGACACTCCGCTCCACGGGCCTCCGTCGCGGCGGGATAAACAACCCACGGCGCGCGAGCTGCGACCTTGACCTCGCATTCTTGTTTCCGACTACGTTGGCTGCTCGGTACGGCTGAAGGGAACGTGCTTGGGCGGGTGGCTGGCGCGGCCCGCAGGCAGCCCCCGGGTGCCGCCGGTGTTTCTACCTGCTCACCGTCGCATTCCTGCTCCGTTGCCCGGCGAGCGGGAGAGGAGTTGCGACCCGCCTTTTCTTCCACTCCTCCGCATTCCTCAACCATGACTTGGCCCCCGTCGCACTGCTGCAACCGACCCGAATGTCACAATGCAACTCAAGGATTCACTGTAGGCAACATTTAGTTAAATATAGGCCCATATGATATTGCAGAATATCTCAATTGTCATCTGGCATTACCAGCTGAACGTCTCCCCAGCACCTTACTGGCAGTTTGATAAGCAAACAGTTGGTTTTCCTCCACAGGCGCTTACAGGGCCGACACATCAGAGGAAATGAGATCCTTCATTTTCGCCTTTTTCCTTTCCTGAATGGATTTGGTAAATTACGGGCAAAGAGCGCTAGATGGGAGGGAGGGTTGCCAAAGCCCTTGAGGATTATATTTATCTTCTCTCTCTCTCTCTCTCTCTTCCCTGCTTCTTGTTTGAACACAGCTCATCAGTCTCAGCTCACCTGATGGCCACGTTTACATGAGCGCGGAGGAGCAGAGAAAAGGACGTGAAGCCGACCTGGATATCTGAGACAGTGCAGCCGATTCCAAGCACTCCTGTCTATTCTCGGTGTGTACGTGCCGCCACCCGCTTCTTTTATACCCCGTCGACGCAATTCCCGTGAACACGCCCCCGGTCCCTGTACGGCGGTCACAGCCCTGAACATGCCACACGTGCCTCAGATCTCATCGTTCTTCCAGAGGAATGAGAGCTGCTGCTGCTGCTGATGGATGTGTGTCTGTGTTCATCACAAGCTGATAAGGGAACAGCTGAGAGACCGCGGGTTACGTTTTAACACGGGCTTGTTCGGCGCTCCATTTGACGTTTAAATGTGCAACGGTAACTACCGGTGAATGCGCTGCAATTGATTAGCTGTTTTGCAAACAAACTGATGAGCTAAGCAGAGGAAATTACAGTAATGTCCCGTGTCTGTCTCGCCTGAGCCGTGCCTGTCACACCCTGTCTAGGAAAGTCAGTCGGACGTCTCAGTCCAACCACACGACGACTATCGGTGCAGGTTTTCTTAATGTTGACTGCGGGATGGGGGGACGGGGGGACGGGGGCCTTTTGAGGGGTTTCCCAAAACGTCAGGAGTGAAACAATTGTCTGGAAAAGGTGCGAAATGATTGTGCTGTGAATACGCGACCGCAGCGTGAGTCAATACCTGGTGAGACTAGACTAGTACTTCATGGCCTGGTCCAGATAGGCCTCACAGGACTGGATTGAACTGGTCTTCGCTGTGGGAAGGGAAAACCTTGAGTCACACGTGTCCCGCTGTCGGGTGGCGTCTTCTCCATGTCGAATCGCTGCTGTGGAACCGGGAGGCTGCTGTTAGTCTCAAGTGTTTCCGTGTGGGATTTGTGGGCCGAGCTTGTTCCGGATGAGCTGAAGGACGGTGGAAAGGAAGAGGAAGATTAATGGAGATGAATTATAATCGGGGGGAAAGGTCTTTTTAGAGTGTTCCCGTTAACTCAGCCCAGCATATTGACTGGAAAAGAGATTTTTAAGCCAAACAAAGGAGATGTAACATGCTTTAGAGTTGTTGGGAGGCATATTTTGCTACCTGGCTAATTGTTCTCCCCTTTTCTAGTCTTTGTTTTAGGACAGCAGTTGTCACGTCAAGCACCGAAAGGAAAGTATTAATCTTCTTATCTAGTCTTGCAAGGAGAAACCTCATTACCACATTTCCCGAAAATGCTAAACCCTCTCAGTATGTCCCTCCCTTTCCCATCAGCCAATACATCACCTCTACTAAAATGGCCCAGATATTTTCTCACTGAGCCTCAATCCCAAAATAATTTGTTGTATGTCATACTCAGATTACAAAAAGGGGATAACGGAAAATCCATGAATTTCCAGTTGGTGCCAGCAGTGTTTGTTGTTTGAAAGTAGACAAACAAATTCCCCTGTAAGCACAGGGTTTAAGAGCGAGCGGCCAGCTGCTCAGCCGCATGAGCCCGGCGACGTCATGTGACTCTAAAGGACCAGCTGCGTGTGCAGCGTTTGGCAAACAAAAAGGTGATCCGAACACGCTGTAGGTTGCGTTCTGAGCACAAATACCAGTGGACACACACACACAAACACACACAGAAAGGGGAAAGGGGCTCGAGGCATCTTATCCTATTAGTGTAGAAGGCCAAACCCTGCAGCCGGCTGAGAGACCTGAGGAAAATGACTAAACGTTAATGTTTATAATGGGAATCTTCCTCTAGATCCCCGGAAATAAATCCTAATGGAAGGAATTTCTTAAGGCACGTTTCCTCTCTCCCTCTTTGTCCAAACTCTGCTCTGTTTTATCTCCCGAGCGCTCTGCAGGGAGTGACCGATATTCCACATAATCTAGAGAAATGGAGCCGCTGGTAATCTTGACTTTTTTCGTCATCCGACAGGCATGCAGTGTTCCGGCCCAAAAGGTCCGTGTGCAACCCTTCTGCCGCTGTGTAGTTTGTTGGTTTGTGGAATGCTTGGAAGCGCGTCCATGGCAACGAGCTGTGTGTGTGTGTGTGTGTGTGTGGAAGGGTAAATATTGACTTCACCACCTCCCCATCCCGGTGTCTGTCCGACACAGGACACACAGGGAGGAGGGGGGTGGGGGGGCGACTCAGCAAAGTCCTGCCATCGGGGGGGGGGGGGGGCGTCTGTTTACCTTCAGATCTAGTAGCAGCTCACTGTTCAGGATGTACCGACAATGCAATACTTTAAAACATTCTTCATCTTGGCTCTCTCTGCAGATTTACCTGATGGGGAATAAAATGGGAAATGGACGTAAGGTCGGCAGTTGCTGAAACCTGCAGTGGTTTGCAAACGCAGCCATTTCCTCTATTTTACGTTCGATGAAGTAGAGAAAACAAGAGGACATTCAACTGAAACCGAGCGTTGTCCAGAATCAGGAACCAGCCCCCCCTGCTGTGATACAGAATGATTGTTGGGTTTCTTCATCAAGCTGTATGAAGGGCTTGTTATAAACTATTGTAGGTGGATTTCGTTCCCGTTTCTTTTAGAGCAGACGGATTTGTTGAGACATGATAAGCAGACGGGCTTTGACTGCTCGCAGGAGCAGCCGCACTCGTAGTGGTTTGACTGGTCTGTTCCGTCCCGTCAATACAGCACACGAGTGGGCTGCAGGCCCCAGATGCAATGTCATTGCGCCGTTCGGCGATTAGGGAATAGTTGTTAATAATCTGGACGGAACGAGCGGGGGCTGGATTATGCTATACAACCGGTGGCTGGTGACGCAGGAGTCAAAGCCTCAATACCCACCTCCCTCCACCCTCCCTTCACCCGGAGTAATTACATGGAGAGCATTGAGATGAAGGAATACACCCGCCGGGCATCTGACACCAGGACCAGTAAACCACACTTCACGTTCTGTATATGTTCCATGTTGACACACACTAACACAAATAGTGCAAATAGTGCTAACAGGGTAGCATGTCTCTGCAGTTTACCCCCTGTTGTTCCCTCGGCGTCCTTAAGAGGACTCGCAGAAGGGGCCTACGTCTTAACTCGTCTCCTGCACACCGGCCCACAATCGGGGGTCACGTCTTCTCGTATCATCTGATCCTAAACGTACTCGTAGTCACCCGTTATTCCCACAACGTGACGAGGCGTTTCAGACAAACGCTTCATTGTTGTCGGGGTTTTTTTGTGTTTCAGCTAAAGCTCAATTGTGACCTTTGACCCGCGCGCCCTGAGGCATTAACGGCCGGCCTTTATTCGTGGAGGTAGATCGTCAGAACACCTCCAACCACACGCCAATACCAGCAGGCAACGGGAGGCAGAAGTGAGTGGTCTCTTACTGTAGCTGCCACCGCCACACGCAAGCCCCGACACGCCACGCATCACACAGCAGAGCTTCACCCCCCCCCTCTCCCTCGGTATTACTCCCAGTTTGCTCCAGCCCCGTAGCGGGGAGGCTCTCATTAACCCTGCATACGAAACATCTGAGGCAGGATTGTTTGATTTTTGATGTCCGTGACTATTTGATCCTTCCCCCGAATGATGAAACCGTTTTTTCCATTTTGAGGGGCCGGAGCAGCGGGGAGTTAACCGCACAGGGGCTGTGTTGCCGAAGGAAATGGACCAGTGTCGTGAGCGTACCGACTCCATCAGTGGTGCCTGTTAATGACACAACTCCTCTTTTCTTTTTCTTCAATGGCGGAGATCGTAATTCTTTTCTTTTCTCTTTCAAATGCAAAAGCAAGCAAAACCGGGATATTCAACATCCTGTTGGTGGAAAACAACCCCGGCAGCGATATTAAAAGACTATTTCCATTTACCAAAAGCCCCGGAGACTTGAAGGATTTGGAATTCATTGTAAGATCTTATGCATAATTAAACAAATCCCCCACTCACTCAGCCACACACCCCCACCTTGCCAGAGGGATTTTGAATGCAAACCCCCACCCCCCAAACGGTGGGTGCTCGTTACAGTATCTCATCCCTATTAGGCCAGAATTAGTCTCTTGTTATTATCAGCTACCGACGATACATTCACAAACAGCATTCCTGCAAAACATGACGTTGTTTGTCTTCGTGACTTCCTTCATTTCCATATTTCCTGCCGGCTGTTGGAGCTAAAACACGCTTAGAGCTGGCAGCCTGCGAGCTAAAGGCCACTTCTGTGTCTTGTTTACGCCGCCTGCTGCGAGCTGACAAAAGATGGTTTTGTTGCAAACCGAGTGTGAAGAAAGAGAGAGTCTCTTAATTCCTCTGTTTGTTGCTCACTCGGTTCGGTCTCCGGCTCCGGGACTTTTCAGTGCATTTGTCTGGTTTTGCAGCATTGGGACGCTGCTGGACGAATGAACCTAATTCTTTTCGACCTTGAACATTTGTGGCAGGCCGAATCAGATCTGATGCCGCATCACGTGCACAGCTGCCGTCCCGCAATCCTGTCCAGCGTTGAGAGTTATTCATCATTTAGGCGACAACACGTACGTGTGCGCAACGGGGGGAAGCTTTGAATCGGCCAACAACTGTCGATGAGACGGGGAGCGACTCCGGCGCGATGGCTTATTATCTATGCAACCCGTCTGCCTGCTGGGGGAGAGAGCAGAGATCACACAAAGAGCAGCTCCCCCGAGTCGCCCGGTATCTTTGTGTCTGCCAACCTGCACGCTTTGTTACGCTTGCGACCTCCATTTATGCAGACATGCCCTGGGGTGAGGAGGGTCGGCTATCGGCTGCCCGGCTCCATTGACCCCCCCTTTCCCCCCCGACCCTCTTAGCTTCCTCGCCCTCCCCTCCTCAGTTACGATGCCAACCCCAAACCAACCCCTCCCTTCCTTTCACTGCTCCCGTTTTACGATTCCGTTTCCGTTTCTGAGCTGCGTTTGTCTTTCGGATGAGCTCCCATGTGCACATATACTGTACATCCAAAGGAATCTCAGAAACTGGCAGCAGGCCCTTATCCCCTATGTTGCCTCTGCTTCCCCTCGCTCAGCAGATTGCCAGCCTGAAATAAGAGGGAGGGGGTGGGGGCGCAGGCAAAATGACGGACACGAACCAGTGACAGCTCGGCTAATATCCATTAGATAACCGCGCTCGTCTCTGTGCCGCGCGTTTTCCACCATATGCCGCTGCACCGCCCCGGCTGCGAGCGTGCCCGCCAGCCCGCGCGGGTGTCGGCGCTTGTCCCCGAGTGAGGATTAGACCGGTTGCCTGCGAATGGGAGGGAGGGGGCTCACGCATTGGCCGGCTCCGGTGTCAGATCCAACAGATGCGTGGCCTCTTAAATAGTAACAGTCAGGCGCGGCAATGTCAGCTGAGCAGCCCGACACCGGCCACATGCACTCCGACCCGCCTCTGCTTATCTGCAGGGCCTCCCCAAGCCCACCCCACCTTCATGTGTGCTTTAAATTAGCATAGACCCCTGTGGATGTAGCTACCCACGATAGGACGTGCTTGACTCTAAATGATCCTTGGCTTAGTGCAACGATTTCCTGGCACTAAGCTGTTATTGGAGCCATTTCATCAGCCCAAGTAGGAGGGGGAGGGCGAGGAAGGGGGGGGGGGGGCTTTAGTAATGAAGAGATGTAGAATTTCAATCCAAAACTGCCCCCTTGGCCTTTGGTCTGTCCTCATCCGGCTTTTGGAGAGAATCTCCGTTTATGTTTAACACTGTCGCCTAATAACTCGTATGCTCTCACTGGTTAAATCGACCTGGAAATTGAGACGAAACGAAAAACCTAAACTATGCGTGATTGTGTTGAAATGTTCTGGTCACGTGAATGAGAATCAGTGGCTGCACACGAGAGTTCCAACAGAGGATTCATTATCAATGCATGTGTTGATTATTTTCACCAGCAAAGCTGCACTAATCAATTCTTTCAAATTAACACGGGATCCAATGAGCTGTAATGTGAACAGGGTCACTCCCTCGTAATGATGGAACCACAGAGCGTCGTTGCATCACACTTCGCCCAAGTTGGAGAGCGTTTTAGCCTTTTTAGGCAATTTCTTTCTTGGCAACACTTGATGAGATTCTTTGTGTGTGTTTGCTGTGTGACTTTGGTGTTAATAAAAGGGTTAGTTTGGATTCAGCAAAGTCTGGCAAATACACAGATCAGCAACCCTCTGTGAGGTAAATCCCATTTTATTCATTTCAATGGAGCCGTGGCTGCGGAGAGAGCACAGATGAAAACAACCGCCTCAGTCAGAAATGGCTCTAAACCCGTCAAAAAATAATTGGAACATACTGTACACTTAAACCGATCCTTTCTTTTAGTGCGCCATGTGGTTAAAACATGTTTATTTGTTGCCCCATCGATCCCGTTAATGACGCAGGGACTCTTCTTTGAACAGACTCTCTGAATAAAGCCATGGACTGTGGCACCGCAGAATGCGGATGTCTCTGTGTGTGTGTGCATCTGTGTCTGACACATGTTCAGGCAGGAATGCGCGACGTGTCCGCTGTGTGTGTGTGTGTGTGTGTGTGTGTGTGTGTGGGTGTGTGTGTGTGTGTGTGTGTGTGCGCTCAGCTGGTGGCGGTGCTGAAATGCGTCTGTGTGTGTGTGTGTGTGTGTGTTTGGAAACCGCGGAGCGGCAGCTGCTCCTCCGTCCGCCGAGGAAGCTGCGGTTCATGCGGCCTTACATGACGCTGCGCCTCGGTGGGTTTAGAGACGTGGTCTCCTTTTCAGTCTCTGCGTTTCTGCATCTGGCATCTTTCCAGACGATGAGACGAGAAAGAAAGTATTTCCAATGCTAATGCTAATAACTATATCAGTTTTGTTCCTATAGTGCCTTGAAATACAATTTCACTCATATCTGATATCTCTTTCCTCTAATGCACTGCAGGCCTCGGCCATGGGAGGATCCAAGAGTAAGCCGAAGGATGTCGGCCAGCGGACCCGCAGCCTGGAGGGCAACCTGAGCTCCGGCGGCGGGGTTGGCGGCCACCTCCTCAGCGCCAATCAACAGTCCTTAACACCCAACCGCAGTCCCACCATGGAGGGAGGTCTGGGCGGCAATCAGCCTATGACCAACAATGCAGAGATGACCCTGTTTGGAGGCGTGGACAATAACACTGTCACCTCCCCCAGCAGAATCACACTAGCAGGTGAGAAGCTCAGCTTAAAGATATTTGGATCTCTTTTGTTTTTAATTGTGTCAACAACAACTAGTGTCTGGTAATGGCCAAACTTTCTGTCCTAATAGGAGGCGTGACAACCTTCGTGGCGTTGTATGACTACGAGTCTAGAACGGCCTCAGATCTTTCATTCAGGAAGGGTGAACGCCTCCAGATAGTGAACAACACGTAAGGAAAAGCCCTTCTTTTTAAATCATTCTTGTAACATTCACACTCTCTTTGTGAATGATGAGGGATAACTGACAACTCCGTTGTCTGACTATGCATCCCGAAGCCTGTCGCCTCTCTGAAACCCGCTGTAACCATAGAAACGGGCTTCTTCAGTAGAGTTGGCTGGCGCGTTTCTAGAAAATCTTCGCTTCATTCACAAAAGGCCGACTCCGTCTCGCCGCCCACCTCAGCGAGGACGTAACTATTTTTTTATTGCGTTTTCCCGAAGACCCGGTTACCAAACACAAATCCAACCTGCTTGTGGAGAGCCGTGCTCGACTTTAGAGCTCTTACCCACTGAATCAATGGAGGTGCAATGAACCATGTACTGTGGTGCTGCTTTTCTATCAAACTGCTGACCTAGAAGGCGGGAGCTGAGGACAATGGTGGATCATCACTGCATCTGGCCCCTTAAGCAAAGACCTGGGTCATTATTGGGTCAAGTACAACCAGAATACACAAACAATCTCTAAGATTAGTTTTATGGGTTATTAGAGTCAAGTAAGGTGGCAGGACAACTTCTCATAGCTGTCTGATTGGTCCAGTTCCATTTTGTAGCCTTGAACAGTGAGCTGATAGGGTTTTTATTGTAATAGTTCCGTCCCCTCTGCCTCATTGTTGTGCCTTCCATGTCTGCAAGTTACGTAATGATTTAAAATATTTCAATCAGCATATTGGTCATATTATGAATCTGCACTTTTTTTTACCAGCTTTCTTTCTTTAACCTCTGTCTTTTCCACCATTTCCTTTTCATCTCTCTTTTCTATTTCATCACAAACCTCACTTTTTTTTATAGGAGGAAAGTGAACTGCAGGTTTGTGAAGCTTCCCTGCCATTTGTATTTGAATGTCCCCTTTGTCTGTCTCTGTGTTCGTATCGTCCCTTCTGCACTGTAATACCACTTTGCTAGAGAGGTACAAACCACATAACTCTTCCAATGCAGCCCTAGAACCGTCCCTCCCCATTGTCACAGCTACACAAATGCATGTTTGGTTAAAATTTAAATGACGTAACACCCATTTATTAGAGATACCTGGGCTTGCCTTTATCAAGCTTCTCTAGCTCAGCTTCTGTGGCAAGTAAAAACCTCCGAGTGGCTACAGGGAAAGCAAATTTAATCAGCAGCAGCAGCATATTTTGATATTCTGAGACACTTGATAAACACCAGCCCTTTTAGTCAGACGGACTCATTTGTGTTGTTTTGGTAGTGCGATGAGCCCCGCTGAAGGTGTGTGTTGTCGTTTCATGTGTGCAGAGAAGGCGACTGGTGGCTGGCGCGCTCCCTCACCACCGGAGAGAGTGGTTACATCCCCAGCAATTATGTGGCTCCGTCTGACTCCATCCAGGCAGAAGAGTAAACCTTCTTCTTCTTCTTTTGCTGTCTCTTGTAATTGTCTTTAATCATGCACACTGAAGTATTAAGAATTTCCATGCGTTTTCTTTACGTCAATGTGAACTTTTCCCCTCAATGAAAAGTACGACGCCTATTTGCTTCCTTGCCGAGAATTAGACGAGACAATTGAGATGACGCTAATATATCTGTGTTAGATTGAGCTACAGTCACCAGCTGGTTAGCTTAGCTTAGCACAGAGGCTGAAATAACGTGGGGCGAGCGTGGGCGGGGCTAGCCGGGTTAGCCGGTTCCCTGTTTCCAGTCATTATGCTAAGCTAAGCTAACCAGCCAACGGCTATACTGTAGCTTCAGACTGCCATCAACATGTACAGATTTTGTCAAGAAAGCAATTAAGCATATTTCCACAAACTGTGGGAGTTTTATTTAAAATTACTGAGGTACGTTCACGGTTTTCTTCTCTTGCTTGTCACTACTTGTCACTACTTGACTTTGCATGCTAACCCGCCTGCTTATACAATCGAGCCACACAAACTACACTATATTATACTTTTATAACGACTCAATTTCTCACTTTCCCTCCTGCCTCTCCAGTCATCTCAGACTGACTCTAGAGTCCAGGTAAGCAGCTGCTGCACTGTAGGCGTTAGCATGCGTTGCATCTGGAACGCAAAGACCAAGTTTCACCACATTTTCTGAAACCATGAGCGACAACTCACCCCTGCTTCTTCGTCATTCCTTCTCCTTCTCCTTCTCTCACACACATTGTCTTCCCCTCACCAACCTGCTCCCTGTGTGGCCCATGTTGTTGTTTTTTTTATTTTTTTATCTCAACCTCACCAGGTGGTACTTTGGTAAAATCACTCGCCGCGACTCGGAGAGGATGCTGCTAAGTTTAGAGAACAGGAGAGGGACTTTCCTGGTGCGAGAGAGTGAGACCACCAAAGGTAAGAGGGCCTCACACGAAGAACAGGGTCGGGTTGGGTGTCAAACCTCAAGTCTTAACCAAAATATGCTTGCTATCCAAACCTTTGTTTGCTCCAAAATTCTTTCAAATAAAAAAAGGGCTTTTGTCAAGGAAATTCCTCCACGTAGGCAAATTTGCCTTTACATGAGCAATATGTTATTCATACACGAGGTCTGATTTTGTCCTGATATTTGAATAAAACAACCCTATCGGACGGGGAAAGGATTGTCATAAGCTTTCAAAAGCAGAGCAGAATATTGGGGACTTACTTTAATAAAGTGTCTCTTTGTGTCTTTGTGAAACGCCCGACTTGCTGCAACTTATTCAATTTATCACCGGTATCTTTTTTCAAATGCATTTTTGTGGGCTTCTAAAAAAGACAAACATTTGATCTGAACTTTAAGCTTGTGACATGTCGTAACCAAATTGCACAGCGAAGGAAGCTAATTCTGCCACGCATTAAGATATGTCGCCACGCTGTGTGCGAGACTAGAGAAGAGAGAAAGAGGGCAGATGGGAGAAGGTTGGATGTGGCGCCCATGGGACTCTGTCTGCAGGCAGTGCTGATAGGCAGCTGCAGCAGCGCTGTCCCCTCAGGTTTAGCTGGCTTTGTGTTTGTGTGCGTGTGTGTGTGTGTGTGTGTGTGTGTGTGTGTGTGTGTGTGTGTGTGTGTGTGTGTGTGTGTGTGTAATTTACGTACACAAGTACATTTCAGGATTCCTGTAGTTTCCTAGTACTGGATATCTTTCCGAGTAGAATAGGAGAAGGGACACGGCGGGGAGGGATGAGGCAGAGCGAGCAGATGAGTGAGTGGAGAGGTACTGGGTGGGTGAGCCGGACAGAATTAGGTCAGTGTGGATCCTGTGCAACCACAGGCCACATCGTCCCAGTTCCAGCATTCAGGGAGCTCTGGGATTCATGCCGTTTTATTCAACTGACGGATGCTGCCCTCTTGTGGCGCAACGAGCGCATTGTCACCAGAGCTTGAAAGCTTAATTTCTCTCTTTAATATCCACGAAAACTATGTCATCACGCTATTTTAACTTCTTTTTTTTAAGGTGCCTACTGTCTGTCCGTATTGGACTATGACAACACCAAAGGGCTGAATGTGAAGCACTACAAGATCAGGAAGCTGGACAGCGGAGGCTTCTACATCACATCTCGCACACAGTTCAGCAACCTGCAGCAGCTGGTTAACCACTATCGCAGTGAGTTCATACGCTCACATGAAGACTGTTCTGTGATTTGGGAAGGAAGCGCGCTTCCCTCCTTCACCGCATGTCTCCTCTTGTGTCCCCCAGAGCACTCTGATGGGCTGTGTCACAGCCTGACAGACATTTGTCCTGTGCTGAAGCCTCAGACTCAGGGCCTGTCCAAGGATGCCTGGGAGATCCCGAGGGAGTCCCTCCACCTCGACCTGAAGCTGGGACAGGGCTGCTTCGGAGAGGTCTGGATGGGTAAGCCGCGCTTCGATCTGTTCCCTGATTAAAAACGCGCTTCTGTCGATTTTTCTGTCATTCTATTGAAACACATCCAGTAAACTATAGACAAACTGAAATAGAAACTATATTCTTCCATAGTGATTTCAAATATCTACTCAAATCATGAATTTCATCTCCTTCTTTTTTCTTCAATGCTGTTATTGTTTCCATAGCGCATAGCTGTTATGGTCAGTATGCAAGAAATACTCTTTTTGAACTCAGGAACCTGGAACGGGACTACACGCGTGGCAATAAAGACTCTGAAACCAGGCACCATGTCTCCGGAGGCCTTCCTGCAGGAAGCTCAGGTCATGAAGAAACTGAGACATGAAAAGCTGGTTCAGCTTTATGCCGTGGTGTCCGAAGAACCGATCTACATCGTCACAGAGTACATGGGACAAGGTCAGCAAGGACTCATCACACTTATTATAATAATAATAATAATAATAATAATAGCTGTATTATATACTCCTCATTATGTAGGTACTTAAATCAAATACCTGCATTTGACTCTGCCAACAGGTAGTTTACTGGATTTCCTGAAAGGCGACATGGGGAAAATGCTCCGCCTCCCCCAACTAGTGGATATGGCTTCACAGGTCAGCGGCAGTAGTTTGATGCAGTAACACTTCTATTACTTCCAAAAAAAAACTGTGTGCAGGTGCTTTCTTTCAGTGCAGACGATCCCAAACGTTTGTATATTTCTCAGATTGCTTCTGGGATGGCTTATGTGGAGAGGATGAACTATGTGCACAGAGACCTGAGAGCCGCTAACATCCTGGTGGGAGATAATCTGGTTTGCAAAGTGGCTGATTTTGGTCTGGCTCGCCTCATCGAGGACAATGAATATACTGCGAGACAAGGTGAGATTGCAGCAAGGAGGTCGTCTTGCAGTTTCTCAATTTAGCAAGTTGGTTCTCCACCTGATTAGCTTCCAACCAAAATGTATTCATATCTGTTTTTGAACCCACATCACACGTTATAGGGAGATATGAGCATTTCAACTAAAGGGGGACATTTTTCCCCCCGTAATTCAAATATTTCGTTTAGATTTGGAGATGTGAAAGTATCCAGTATATTTGAAACAACATGTTAGAAACGGTTTATGCATTAGAGATTCATCTGGTTTTCTTTCTCGTCCCTTTGATTATCTCGTAATCCCTCCGATCGGGATTCAATTAGGTGATTTTGGACAGACATGAATGTAAACTGCAACACGACAAGGTGGTGATTGTAGTAAAATAATGAACCTGTCCTCCTGCAGGAGCCAAGTTCCCCATCAAGTGGACGGCCCCCGAGGCCGCGCTGTACGGCCGCTTCACCATTAAATCTGACGTCTGGTCATTCGGTGTCTTGCTGACCGAACTGGCCACTAAGGGCAGAGTTCCCTATCCAGGCAAGGATCGTTTTCTCTCTTTCTCTTTAAGGCGTTTTTTATCACGGAGGCTCGATTGCCGACATCACGCTCCACCAGTCCAACAGCGTGAAGATCGATGTCCTAATAAAATGATATGCTTCAAATTGTGATCACGCGTTTCTTTGCCCTCCCAGGAATGGTAAACCGGGAGGTGTTGGACCAGGTGGACCGCGGCTACAGGATGCCGTGTCCGGCGGAGTGCCCCGATTCCATGCATGAGCTGATGCTGACCTGCTGGAGAAAAGAGGCCGAGGAGAGGCCCACCTTCGAGTACCTGCAGGGCTTCCTGGAGGATTACTTCAACGCCACGGAGCCGCAGTACCAGCCGGGAGAGAACCTGTGAACTGGGCTGAGCCGTGGGAATGTGCATGCGTCCTGCATGCGCAACACTGAGCATGTGCATCTACTGCTGGAGGGCACGGGCGAGTACGTGTCAGGGTTTGTCCGTGCTGTTGAAACGGGGGCGAAGAGCCGACTGCATTCTGGGTACTCTTTGACGTCGGTTGGTATCCGTGTGACAAGAAACCAATCAGCAACCCTCAGTTCCTGCTTCTTTCCAAAGTCGTTGTCTTGCTCTTCAATCGCAAGTAAACGTCTATACTGTGGTATTTTGAGTTTATTAACCAGTGCTGTGTTATTATTCTGTATGTCAAATCAACACCCTGCAACATCCAAGCGGGTTTTTCCTGCCTTTCTTGTGTTCGTAAGGCGCCCTAAATGTATACATTCCCCATGCATTCCTCCTGTGTTAACTCACCCGACTGTGACACGAAAGACGGCACATGGGTGAATCCTCCGGAGAAGAAATGTGCTGGAAGCCCGTCTTTGGGGTGTCGATTTTATGCTGAATTTTCTTTGGGGTACCATTTAAAACAAACAAATGCTCGGAGTCCGTCTTCCACTTTGACAAACAACTTTTTGGAACGTACAGTAGTTTTCCGGGGCGATCTAGGTTTTATTTAGTTGTTAGACCTGGATCCACCGGAATATATTCAGGTAAAAGATTTGACTTTAAAACAATGCTTCCGCTGTGCAACATTTCAGCTAGTGTCCCGACCGCTGTGAGATTGAGTACCAGACTGACACCTTTCAATTCTCTTTAAGAGTGCGTAGTCTCACTCGCCAATTGGAAGAAATTGGCCGCTGTGATCAACATACAGCTAAACTCAAAGAAGAGAACAGACAGAGTCTATCTATTTTCTAATGGTGACTTTTCTTACAAACCAATGGCTACTGATCACTAACGCTCGTCTCGGGATGGAGAAGGCTAGAACTCTGCTGCAAGGATTTTTTTGTGCCATTGAAAATCTCTTTTGTACTCTCTTCTACTGTGTAAAAGTGTATTTTAATACGCTGCTTTTCTTACAATGAAGTTTGAGTTGTGTAAGCAGTTGTTGTTCTTCTTAAAGGACAATCCACTGAGACCCTGCACCCGAGTACAGAACCAGCCGGCTCACCGTCCGCGGTTATGAGGTGCTGGTCTTCAAGCATTAAAATTGAGATCAGGTGACTCTTCTGGTCTACCTTTTACGTTTTTGACCTTCATTTATTTGAAGATTTCTATCTGTAATCAGACTCAGTATTTTATTAATTAGCGCACACTGGCGTTATTATGTTTGTGTGATAAATGAGGTACGAAGTGTACGCGTGCTGAAGAAGGTAACGCCTCCCTCCAGCTGCCAGAGAGCCTTCCCATATAAACAGCATGTACAGCAAATAAATTGGCATATTGAAACTTAATTGTAAATATCTTTACTGCTTATATTTTTTTGTGTATATCGCCTTTATAATTTATTCCTTTGACAATAACCCCCATTGTTTATTTTACTTTTGGCGTCATCATTCAAACTTCAATGTTTATGGTACTTTCATGGGTTTAATAACAACAATAACGATATAAATCTATATTATTAAAACACAAATTTTTGTTTTTTTCTCTGTGCTTCTGTATTTCTGTGAAACGTATCCTGGTTGTACATTTTTAGTATGTCTGACGGAATAGGTGAGGAGAACTGCTCCGTATCCACTGACTCAGTACTGGTTGTCTACCGGCGTAGAAATAATAATACATTATACAATCAAAACCACAAATGTTTACATGGAAATAATCTTCAAATAAAGTTGCTGCGTGCTTCAGAGGTAAACGAGCAGTTAACCAAATGAGATTGTTGCTAACCATTTTTGGGAGTTTCCTGGGTACACCTGACCAGCAGAGTGTGAGTGTGTGTGTGTGTGTGTGTGTGTTTGTGCGCCCACAATCGAAGGAGTTTGATATCTGTGAAGCGTACTGTGTCCTGTGGACATGTGCCACAATGAATCCGTTGACCTGCGTGGGTGTGGTCGGGCGTTCTGGCATCGTTCCCTTATTTGCCTGACCTGTCACTCAATGCATACGAGCAAAAGTACACAAAAAGGATCGGTTATTGGTATGCAGCGTTGCTTAGAAAGCCATGGTTATTTCCTGTTGGGTTTTGTGGGTCTTCTCTCTGGCTATGCAGATATTTTTTTATCTGTTATATTCCTATATATACTTTTTTCTACTCTATCCATTGGAGATTTTCAGACAAATAGCTCTTTGTTAAATCCTACTGAATATTGTTCAAATTTAAAAGTATGTTTCAATAAAATTTGTATATTGCCAACTCTATCTTGTCGTGTTCATCAACTGAACTAACAGTGTTTCTTATCAGGAAGAGCTCGCTGAGTCAAGACGTCTGTGATCAAAGGTTAAATAATAAATAAATGAAAGGCCTAATTTTTTATTTGTCGGTAGCCTGAGTGCGGGTGTGGCTTTTATTTACAAGAGATAATTTATGGAAGGTGATGTAAATGTAAAATAATAAAAGATAAGATGTTTTATTAGTGCCGCGGCGGAGAAATTTACAGGATAACAGCATCAAAAGTGTGTTTAAAAATAGTCAAATAAAACAAGACCAAAACAGAAAAAAACAGCAGTAAAAAAACAAGATAAGCTGCTCTCTGCTGTAAAGAAGTAAGGCACGTCACCGCTGACATTACTTTTAGATTTGAAGAAGCGTGACACCTTGGAAACCCCGCCCCCTGGCGGTCACGTGTCCGCAGCGGAGACCAGAAGCTCCCGGAAGAGGCTGCGCGCGGGCGGTGTGTGCGCGCGAGAGGCAGGTGAGCTGCTGCCCGCTTTGTTACCTGCTGGGAAGCCGACATGTACGCAAACAGCAATGCAAACGAAACCGGGCTACACTTTTAATTACTTCCAGCTCGACTTTTACACCGCCGATGTTTCCGTTACGTCTGGACGCGTTTTCTCATCCGACTTCGCAAACATTTGACTTGTAAGAAAACATTCTGTTTATTTGTTTTCCTGTTCGTTCGTTACATAAGTTATTTTGTAAGTTGTAACATTTGTCGGCGGGTTTTTGGAGACTGTGATGTGCTGATTCTTTCTAGTGACATTCAAAGACTTTATCCGTGTTTTTTATTTTAATTTTAAATGTATATAAAACGATGTTTGCTGCCTACACGTCAGCTCGCGTGTCATCATTTTAAACGTCTGGTGGCACGAGGCGATATGTTGTGAATGCAACCTCCCCATGAGGAGCCCCACCTCATCAGCTTCCATTATTCTGTGTGAGGTCTTGCATTTAAATGCTAACTACATTGAATATTACTACTGTTATTATTTATGTTCTATCTTGTCGTCTCTCCATCCCCTTTTTCACCCCTTTTCTCTCTGTGTCCTCTCTCCAGGGAGCTGTCAGGCTGGAGATCAGAGTTCCATCCAATATCCTGGTTGACGCTGCCAGGCGCACTGAGCACAGATTACACTGGTAACAAGGTGGGTCAATCCCATCCACCACTCGGAAAATTAGGTCAATTCACCGTTTAAATCCTCGCTTCTGCCTCGTCCTGTCCACAGAATTACTGCTCAAACTCGTCTCTTCCCTAGAATTGCTTAACACAAGTCACATGATGACTGTGTGTGTGTGTGTGTGTGTGTGTGTGTGTGTGTGTGTGTGTGTGTGTGTGTACACCTTTGTCACAGACGACACTTCATTCAGTATGACTATCTGCAAACTATTTTAGTAGCCAGACAAAGGGTGATTCTAACCACAGGGGAAGTAGAATTTCTGATATATATCCTCTTCAAGTTTACACAACAGTAAAAATACAGCAGCCTCCTTTGGAATTAGATAAAAGATGATCGCCTGAGTTATTTTTGTCTTTTGTCAGGTCGTCTTGCTGTTTTATTCTCGCTAAATGTTTTTCCTCTTTGCAACCCGTTTAGGAAATGGATTGAGAAACGGAAAAGGGGACGTTTATAGATTTATTTATTTTTTTAGATTATGATCATCCTCTAGAAATCAAACATTTTATTGGCCGTTGTATGATTTATTTTGAGAAATTGAGGTTTGTTAAAGATGGATTACGTTCTGCTCTGCTTTCACGTTGAAGCCTTATTGTTAGGAGTCCATGGCGTAGAGCCTCCAGCATTGTAGTTGTTTGCCTTCATTGTGTCTAGTAACTGGTTTTGAGTAACTTGAACTTGCATGTGCGAGTGAAAGGCCAATAAAAGAAACTGGGGAGAAGTAGTTTTGCTTCATGCATGTTGACGTGTTCTCCCCCAGTGAGTGTCTACAGCAGTAAGACATACGAGGGAAGACTGTTGGTCTTATATGTGCATTCCATCAATTTTCTACGCATGCACACGCATGCTGCAGCGGTCTGCGCCTGTAATTATGTACTCAGAGTCTCAGGGCTGCAGAATTATAAGCGGAGGAGATTTCTGTGCACCATCATGAGGAAGTGATGCATGAGTTTTACTTACAGGAAATGTCTTCTGCAACTTCACACATACTGTTTTTGTGTTTGAACATGTCTTTTATTTCACGTCGCAGATAGAGAAGCGCTGAGATGTAGTGGGGATGTACTGTGGCTTTATACGATGCTTTTAGTATATTTATGATCTGTTTATCATGCCAGCTGTGGAGCCGGTACTTTCTGCACATAACCTCCCTTAAGTAAATGTTGACCGATAGATTGTGAGCTTCTATTTCTACCAAATGATTCTGATTATAAGACAGGTGGATTATAATTGAGAAACAACTACATGTGAGAATTCACTGCCTCACCTGATCGCACATTGCAGAGAATTGAATGTATTTGGCCTTTGGACTGTAAAAAGATTGTGGTGTTTTGATGATTTATAGACCAAGCCATAAATCAGTTACAGGAGAGAATAGTCAGCGGATGAAGCCGATTATCTTTTAAACTAAAATTCTTTCTTATGTAAGTTATGCCTTTAAAGGATACGTGGTGTTTTGTTATGCAAACATTTGCCACATTATGTTACTTAATGATAGACAGATATTCTTAATAATTTATAATAATAAAAGTGACTCCAGCCCAGACATATGGAAAATATTACACTCCTCAGCCCCTTGTTTCCATTGAACTGCACATCTCCAGAGGCAGTTTGTCAGAATAACACCTCAGCTGCGGGTGTGTTGTTCATTGCAGAGCATTCGTTAAAAAGAAAAGACGCAGCAAGCTGCAAAAAACCCATTGAGGAAGTTAGTCATGACTCCGTGTACTAGGTGACAAGGGGGGGTTCTACGCATTTAAACATCTGGACCACATTTAGCAGAGCGTGAGAAGACGACTTCCCACCGCTTACAAGGTAGACGGCTCTATAAATGTTAACAACAAAGGCGTCGAGGGATTTGTAGCCCTTTCGTCATTTACAGTAATTGTATCCCCTCGACCTAGTTATCTGCAGGCCGGAAGTTATAAAAAGTTCTGCTCACTTCCTCTTTCAGAGTTAACCAAACAGACCCGGGGACCTTCATCCTCCACTATGGATCCAGTCAACCCGTCGCACGAAACCTTTGACCTCTTTGTCCAAGCCCAGACTTGTAAGGATGTGAAGCAGCACTTTGCTGCGCTCTGCCGGCAGCTGGACATCAATCCTAAGGATTTCAGGACCTTCTATATCAAATTAAAAGAAAGACTAAACTACTGGAAGGCCAAAGCACTGTGGACCAAGCTCGACAAAAGGGCATCTCACCCGGATTACAATCAAGGAAAAGCCTGCACCAAAAACAAGGTAGTGGCAACTAACCTGTTTTGTCTTCCTGTATATTAAAAATATGTGGCCGGCTTTTCTTGGTTGATAATTTATTTTTATATTTCCATTGTGAGTAGTTGCACACTACACTGGCTTTAAATCGGGTTCAGCTGTTTTACTGTTATTTATTTCTGAATATGACAATTGACAATATTGCTTTTCCAACCAGTAATTCTGAACCTCTGGATCTTCTTTTTTTTTTTTTAATCATGCCCACATTGGCCCCGCGGGACTTTCACCTCGATGCCTTGTTCTTTATTTGGCAATAAATCAACCGTGCATATGCATATTTCTCTCCCTCTCTCTCTCAGTGTCTTGTGCTGGGTGCGGGGCCATGTGGGTTGAGAACGGCCATCGAACTGGCCCTGCTGGGGGCTCAGGTGGTGGTGTTGGAGAAGAGGGAGCGCTTCTCCAGAAACAATGTCCTCCACCTGTGGCCCTTCACCATTTACGACCTCCGCGGGCTCGGAGCCAAGAAGTTCTACGGCAGATTCTGCACCGGGTCGCTGGATCACATCTGTGAGCGACAAAAGCTTTTCTCTGTTCTCACAAAACACGCACATTTTGAAGACTTCTCCTGTTGGTTATATATCAAAATAGTCGGTATCAGAATAAATTATTTAATTACAGCACAAGCTGAAAAATAACTTTAGTATCCTGAATATACCAAAGAAACATTTCCGATGAAAAGTTACATGTTTTTTTCAGGCATCCGTCAGCTGCAGTTGGTTCTTTTGAAGGTGTCCCTTCTCCTCGGGGTGGAGGTGCACACCGGAGTGGAGTTTCAGGGCTTGATGGAGCCCTCGGGAGAAGATGGTACTCACATTTGCCAAACAGCGGTCACTCTGTCTGCTATTTATTTCTCCGTAAACCATCATCAGTATGTAAAGCAGCAAAGCTATTGTGAACGTTTGATGGGTTCCTCACAGGTTGGATGGCCAAGCTACAGCCCGGGTCTCATCCTGCCGCATCCTTCCAGTTTGACGTATTCATCTCTGCTGGAGGAGGCAGGTTTGTCCCCGACGGTGAGACAAAGCACACATTTAATTTGGGAGGTCTGGTGATTACACACAACCACAAGCTTCCTCTGGCAGCTGCATTCAGTCAGTAAGCATTAATCAGCCCAGTTTCCCTCTTTTCGTCTCTGCCAAACCACCAGGTTTCAAGCACAAGGAGCTGAGGGGCAAGCTGGCCATCGGCATCACGACCAACTTCATCAACAGGCACACGGCCGCGGAGGCCCACGTGGCAGAGATCAGCGGCGTGGCCCGGATCTACAACCAGAAGTTCTTCCTAGATCTGCTCACTGAGACGGGTAGGAACTCACTGACATCTACCGCCGCGCTCAGCTGGGTGGAAGATAAGAGCACATCTTGATGTGCTGTGAGGCAACAATGTGCTCCATTTCCAAAAACGGTTTTATCATGTAAGCAAGAAAAGAGGAAATTGATTGCCTGAGAGTAATTCGTCTTGTACCATGGTTTGCACTTAGGTGTAAAACAGGAATTACAGGAGTTACTGAGCCACGACAACTCTAATAAACGCAGCTGCACTCTTACTTTCATTATATTGTTCTTTGCCGGAAGAAACCCTCAAGGCGTGAAATTGATGTTCACAGTGTCGGGTCGGATTCATTGTGCAGTGTGTCAATTCATTTCCTGTGACAGCGTTCACCCCGATGAAATCTGCCCGTTTACTGACTACCTCACCCTGCAACCTGGTTTGCAACATACCTTATAGGAATTATGCAACGCCTGCCAAACCATGTTGACAGCCAGTTGTATCACTTTTTGAATTCCCTCTGAGCAAGAAAACTTTTACAAAGAAAAGCAAGAAAATTAATCACGTAGAAAAAAAATCACTCTCTCGCTCTCTTTTCATGACCGCCATGCTCCCTCACCATCTTCCATTCCAGGTATTGATTTGGAGAATATTGTCTACTACAAAGACGACACCCACTACTTTGTCATGACTGCCAAGAAGAAGAGCTTGCTGAAGAAGGGGGTCATTAAACAGGTGAGAACAACACATCCATCAGCAAGAAAAGGTTTCTTTATTGGCACGCGCTGCATTTGTTAGCCAGCGAGGAAAAAGAAACAAACCGGACGGATGAGACAGCCATGCAAGTGCTCCAGGGAGAAGAAAGGAACCGTCAATCATCTTCTTTCTCTGCAGCCCGGCCGTTGCAGTTAAACCTGCAAACCAAATATGAGAAGTGTCACTCATACATCATAACTAGCCGGCGTGACTCATCAGATTGCACCTCTCACTGTGTCTCGGCAGGACTACAGCAACGCAGAGGAGCTGCTCGCCCCTGCAAACGTGGACCGGGAGGCTTTGCACCGCTACGCACATGATGCCGCCTACTTCGCCACAGGTGGCAAGCTGCCCGACCTCCAGTTTGCCAAAAACCACGCCGGCCAGCCGGACGTGGCCATGTTCGACTTCACCTGCATGCACCGTGCTGAGAATGCCTCTCTGGTCAGGGAGAGGAGGGGGAAGAAATTGTTGATGGGTCTTGTTGGAGATTGCCTAGTGGAGGTAGGGGCAACATCTGCAGAGATTTGGGTACAAGTTGAGCCTTTAACATGAGCGTTTTAAAATTTTTGAACATTTTCATTCTGACATCATCCTGCACCTCAAAGTCTTAGTGTTGTTTACATACAGATAACAGCTATTTGGATGTTAAGCTCTTTTATAGTGTGTACGAAGGGCCGCAGAGCCGTTTCCTTTGGTTTCCGCATCACTTTTTCTACATGACCTGTTGTCGACTGTACGGTACAATAAGTTCTTCCCTGTTCTCTGCAGCCGTTCTGGCCTCTGGGCACAGGGATCGCCCGTGGGTTCCTAGCTTCTTTTGACACGGCGTGGATGGTGAGGAGCTGGGGAATGGGACTCCCACATCTCAAGGTCCTGGCTGAGCGGTGAGCCGGTTTCAGAATACCACTAAACCGCAAACGACATGATGCTGCTGCTTCTTCCTCTTTCTTACTTCCCCCGTTGTGCTACTATTAGGATGTTTGAGCCTAAGAGGAACTGAACAAATATTTATACATATGCAAATGAATGGACAGCACTGGAAGTATTGTATAGAATAGTGTCAACATTTGTTAGATGGCCTGTGGATCTCATCAGCCACACTTTCCATCCTGAGATTATTAGTGTGATGGATTGAGTTGCTTTGATTGAGTAATTATAAAAAACACTTCAGCAAAATTCTGTGACAAGAATGAGACAAAATGGCTCCTGGGGTTTGAGAGAAGTCATGCTAACCTATGAAGTCAAAGAGTCTGACAAAGGAATCTGTTTTGATAAACCTAATGGTTATTTTAAACCACATAAACGATGGTCCTCTAGATAAGAAAATGTACATGCGGTCATTTAATCCCACACCATTCCTTACATTTGCAGTGTAAAGCTAAAAGTGTGTGAAGTGATGCTGTTAAATACCATCTCTTTTTTGTTTCCATTTTTGATTGATTTGACTTGTTTTTTCTCAAATGTACAGAGAAAGTATCTACCAGGTCCTGTCTCAGACCACACCTGAAAACACCAGCAAAAACTACGTTGGTTACAGCATTGACCCCAAAACGCGCTACACAAGAGCCAACCTGTCATCCATCCAGGCCAACCAGGTCAGAACGGTTTGCCTTTTATTTATTTACACAACAGAGTCGCTCTAATCGTCGTTGAGGTTATGGAAGTCGAGGCTGGTACACTAGAAATTAACAAAAAGATGACCTCACTTTTGCGGATGCTAAATCTGAACAAATGTGACAGAAAAATATTCAGGGCACCTGCAAAGAGTGAAATGCGGCACTAACGGTGCCGCCAAGCAAGCAAAGTCCTTTTGCTCCTGTAACACTTTAAATTTAGGGAAACATCTGCCACTTTCTATGGAAATGTGCCTCATCGCAAAAACACTCCCAATTCACAAAGGTCGGTGGCAACAGCCACACGGTTCACAAAGCTGAGGGCTTCTACTGTCCTTAGACTCTCTTCATTGCCTTCCGGCGGTTCGGATGGAAGTGACATTGAGTGACAAATGGCACTGAGCTGTAAACTTCTATGGGCATGTTTAGTGTAATGTCATTAGCTCCGTAGCCTTTGTGAATCGGACCTTGAGAAGATGCAGACAGCAGTGGCAAAGGATGCACAATTAATGGTGCTGTTACATTACTTTATTTTCTGTTCTAATACCATGTAAATCAGTATTGGTTTAAGTAACTGCTCTATTTTCTTCTGCATTCATCATTTTAAATATTTGTTGTCAATAACTGAAACTGCCAATTTTCATCATTTCTGTGGACAGACAGTGATTTTGACAAAATCGGAACGGGTTAGAGTAAAGAACAAGGGTTGATTGTATTTACAAGTTCTGTTTGATGAGCTGGTCGAGTGTATTGATCCACCTGTCACTTTATTTAGGTGCAGCACCTCTATGAGGTCGATCAATCCAATCCATCGATTAAGAAACAGAAGAGCGAGTCGGGTCCAGTGCACAAGGGTGAGCTGCTCCTCATAACGCAGTCGCTCAAGGCCTGTACGATCATCCAGCTGTGTTGAGTAAAGGAGTGCGATGTGGTCATAAGTGACACCTCGTAAAATAAAAACTCACGCCATCTTTACATGTCAGAGAGTGACGTTTTTAAGACTCCTGATGTTGGTAGCGTGTGATCTGATGATTTGTTTTTGTCTGTCCCCTCAGATTCAGTCAACGGATTTACGGAGTTGTTGAGATGGTGTAGGAAACACACTGCGGGTTACGAGAATGTGAACGTAAAGGATTTTACACAATCTTGGAGGTCCGGGCTGGCTCTGTGCGCTCTCATCCACCACTTCAGGCCGGAGCTCATGTGAGTTGCTCCTCTGGCATTAGCTTAGCATGCATTGGATTGCAGGATGCCGCATGCACTGGTTTGATCATGGTTCTTTAACACAGCTCTTTTAAAACAAAGTTTGCATTCAATATTGACATTTGACACCGCACAGGCAACTGTCCTCTCTGCTGGGAGAAGATGTTATGTCGGCTAATCCCGACTATCCTTTTTTTTCTACACAGTGACATGTCCGCTTTGAATGATTCCAGTGCTGTTCACAACCACCAACTGGCCTTCAGCATTTTAGAGAAGGAGCTGGGCATCCCGCCTGTCATGTCTCCCAGTGATTTCACTGAAAGTGGTCGGATAGACAAGTTGTCCATGGTCCTGTACCTCACCCAGGTCCGAAAGGCCTTCAACGGGCCAGAAAAAGGTAAAGGTTAGGAGTACAGAATGTACATGCATGGTCAAAAAACAAATAAAAGCCTTTTTCTGTTCTAATATATGTCACCATATGTAGTTTTAAATGCTATTCATATTACGGCATATTTCTGATGCTAGCTTTTGGTGACCGCAGCATCATTCTTGGTTGCTTAGAGACTGCAACGCATTAGCATTTACTTAAAAGGCTCAGGTGCCTTCGCACTGAAGTGTGTTGAGAAGTGATCGAATCACCGCTGTCTCTTTAAGAGCCTTGTTACCCAGAATTCATTTGGCTTACATGGCTAGTGCTGTGCTTGGAGCCAGCGCCACTGGTAGGGCTGTTCTCCTGCACTGAGCAGCAGCAGCAGCAGACAGAGCAGACAGTCACCGTGTGGACCGTGGTTATCAGGTCAGATGGGGCTGCCGTCTCTGGAGGAGGACCTACTATTCCTGCACGGAGGGAGGATTTATTTGTAGCAGAAGTATTTTTATAGTCTTTTCAGCGTAAATGTGAGCCCAGCGTTTGGAGGCACCGAATGAGCTGAAGTGGGTGGGATAAATGTGTGTGTGTGTGTGTGTGTGTGTGTGAGGCTGCTCAGCTCGCGGTCCACCGCCCGATGAGCAAGCTGGAGGCAGCTGTCACTCTCCAGTTTCCTTAACTGGTGGGAGGATGGGAGTGGTGTTCAGCGCCAGAGCTGAGGAGCTTTTATGTGGATTGACAAGTTGAATTCAGCTGCTGTGGCGCCCCAGAAATTACAAGTTGGGTTATTTATATTACTGGGAGTATCAACATAAAAAGATGCACCTTGAAGATATTAAAGAGGACTCTCAGAATATTTCAAGCTGCTAAATGCAGAGCTGCAAGTAGGCCATCACTGAGGCTCAGGTGCCTTTGGTGTGCAGCGTAGTGCTACAGTAAGGTAAACTGAATGTGTTATTTGTCTTTCTTAGCTACAGACCTAGCTGCCTTCCTGCCGTCGACCAAGCCGCTGAGTTTCTCCCAGACCCAGTCGGCTATCTTTTTCCTGAACAAGCTGAAGCTTAACTCTCTGCAAAGACGCAAGGTACGCCCACTGTGATGCGTGTTCACTGTTTACACAGCAACCAGGAATGTTTGATAAGGATATTTTCATGCACGCTGGCTGGAGTTCACGCCTGGGCCTTCAGCCTGTGTTCTTGTGCCATCTGTGACTCGCATCAGTTATTTACCTGTCTGAACCAATTGGGAACATTGTTAGATTTCTTTAATAACAAGAAAAGTGGTTTCAAGTCGGCCATTAAGATGTTTTTTTTTTTTTCTACCGTCCACATATTATACATAATCAGTCGATGTTTTTTCTTATTTCCTCTGCAGGAAAAGCTGGCAAGTGAGAAAAGAAAAAGGATGGACGATGAGGACATTGTGCGTTTTGCAGCATTCTGTACTCATCTTTTTTTCTTTTTTTTTGTCAGTGTGGCTTCACTGAATTTAACTCTTTCCTTATCAAATTCCTTGCATGTCTAACCTACTTTGGCAATAAATGCTCCTGATTCCTGATTCCTTTTCCCTCAGTTAGAGGTGCTTCCCGGTTCCCCCGAGCTCAGTCCTACACCCGATACGGCTCTTGATCTGGATCCTGATCCTGAACCTGGTGCTGGTGCGTCGATGACAAACAGCGAGGAGTGTTACTTCTGCGGTCAGAGGGTTTACGTGCTGGAGCGCATCAGTGCTGAGGGCAAGTTCTTCCATCGGAGCTGCTTCACCTGCCACGAGTGCAGCATCACTCTCAGACTGGGAGGATACACCTTTGACCAGACTACAGGTTTGTCTAATAAAAGGACGTTTAAATGTTCGCAGGAACTATCAGGATAGAAACACTCCTTCAAATTATTGTTGTGATTCTCAGTTTCCTTAAGCATCTATGAATGTTGGATGTAATGTTTTGTTTTATCCCTTTTTTGATTTATTCCTCGGTTCAAGCGCACTTGTATTTCTGGGTTAAGCGGCAATGTTAACAGCAAGTGAAGAATCGCTTATTTATTAATTCATGAAATTAATAATTTGCACCCAGACCCACCGAGAGGGTCAAAATGACATTAATAATTAAAAAAAGAACAGCAGTCTTTTTCTTCTTTAGCACGTCAACATTCACTTGTCTGCGACCTTTCAACTCCCTTTACTGCTCGTGTGTTCGATGTCCCCTCAGGGAGATTCTACTGTGAGTTGCACTCAGAAGAACTGCAGCTGGAAGACGGGGCTGAAGCATCGTCTAAGGTGGGTCAGCAGAGCAGACGTAAACCCTTCTGTTGCCCGCTGCTCGGACTCCGCGTTGAATCCCTCTGTTCACAATGCTCGTGTTGCACGCTCTTCTGTTGCGTGATATATCATCCTTCTGGCGCCCGCTCCCATGTCAAACAAACTCGTTCGCAGCAGTTGGGCCCAACTAATGAGGGGGCTAGTGTCAAAGCAGCTGGGGTCTGAGGGGGGCAGGGAAACATGTTAAACAGGAATTGTGCTGTCTTTTTTTCTACAACATTTCTTTATTCAGAATCACAAAGGAAATCCGGAGGGAACAAACGAGGAGAACGCGCTTTCCAGTTCTGATTATACACCGTCTCCATCAGATGAGGAGTCTGAGCACACTCTGGACTTTTGTCCCTCTGCTCAATCGCAGTCACATACGCCTGAATACGAGGACCCCCATGTTCTTGAATCCAAAGAGGAGCCTGAACCACCACGTGGGTCCAAATCTCCCACACGTGCTCCATCTCAACCTGTGGTTGCAGCACCCAGCGAGGAGGAGGAGGCTGCCGTGTCCTGTCCTGTGCCAAAGCCCCGCCGCTCTCAGCAGGCGGCGCCCAGCCTTCAGCTCTCCCCTCCGATTGCGAAACCTCGCACAGTCCAACTTGTTAACCCCTCAACACCCGCAGAGCGCTCCCCTCCGACGCTCACTAAAGCGCCAGACTCCCGTCCGAAGCAATCTCTCCGGAAGCTTCAGCTGACCGATCAGGAGAAGAGCGTCCTGGTGAACCTTCAGAGCCTCAGCATGGACTCTGACTCCGAGACCCCCGGCGGATCCTCCTCCTGCTCCTCCTCCTCGGCGACGGCGGGAGGTCGGAGCCCCCCCAAGCCAGAGGGCACCAACGGGCAAGAGGAGGAGGGCTACTGGAGCGGGACCACCACAAGCCACATGCGGGACCAGAGGAACCGCCGCTGCTTCAGGAGAAAAGAGACGCCGAGCGGGCAGACCAGGGTCCGCTCCAAGTTCTCCCCCTGGAATCTGTCTTCCCCGAGAATCAGCAGAGACACCCGGCTCAGTGTCCTCATCGATCATCCAGGGAGGACGGGTGAGTAAGGACTCGTTCTCTTTGATCTTTGGTGGAGGAAAAAGACAAAAACAAACAAACCAAACCGTTGACACATCTTTCTTGCATTTGTACCACAGAAACAACATTGAGACACGCTCACAGCACCTCCGAAGAGGGCGCGGATGATGATGATGACGATGACGATGATGATGAGATGTTTGAGCGAGATGATGTTGACTTATTTGATGAGAAAGTAAGGAGAGGAATATCGCAGATGTTTACGCGATGGTGAGCCCGTTGTATTTAGGCGGCAGTAGATTTACGATGCTGCCACTGTAGTTTCAGACGGTGCCGTCAGACCCGGTTGAGGCTGAGAAAATGGAGTTGATGAAGATGAGGACACTAGAGCGGCGGGCCAAGACGTGCGAATTACAGCGGTTGCGCAATGCCCAGGTCAGTGTCTCTCACAGGGTTGCAACACCCACCGCTGGTTAATGTTGTTTTGGTAAGTGGCTTCTGCAATTTCACGCATTTGCACATCTTAAATACTGTAAAAAATAAACAGGAAATAAAAACACACCCAAAATGACTGACCGTTTTCAGGACAAACATTAAAGTCCAACCTTAGTACGTCCTTTGAACGATTTAAATGTGATGCAGCAGCAGTGTGAAATGTTTAGTTTGCATTGGAAGTAACTATGAATTCTAATACGTCAGTACAACAACTACCATCATATTCGAATAGTGATTCGTCAGAATGAACTCAAGATCCTTTCTCACCGTTTGTTATCCGTGGTTTGCAGTCCATCCAGCGGAGACTGGAGGAGATCGAGGTGACCTTCAAGGACTTGGAGGAGAAGGGTGTAGGGCTGGAGAGAACGCTGCGAGGAGAAGCTGGTAAGACCACCACGCTAACAGCAGACCTGTTGTCTTCCACAGATTCTGTGTTCCCATGCGACCAAAACTGGTGGTTTTATGCTGGAATTAAGATGCTGACTTGTCAACTAAATTAAGACGGTTCTGGAGAAAATAAAACCCCCAAATGAGCTGCTGTTGATTTTAGAAATGAATAATTTAATAAGTAAACAACTAGGGAACGGCTGCTCGGCGAATAATAAATACGCATTAATTATACATAAACAGGAGGTTACATAAAAAACTGATTATTATGAGCACTGTATACTAAATACATTAATTTGACAACTCTGCTGAATTAAAATGGATCAACCTCAAGAATTCTCACAAGGCAGCACATCAGCATGGAAATTTCATAAATTCCTCTTTTCCTTTAAACCTGACAAAACAAACGTGTAACGCTGACAGCGTTTTTTCCCCTTCCAGGCAGCGGCGGTTCTCCAGAAATGATCGAGCATTGGATCCAACTGGTCCACGAGAAGAACGCGTTGGTGTCTGAGGAGTCTGACCTCATGGTGGCGTGAGTGTGCACCTTTCAAATTAAAAAAGGAGGAGGGAGAAAAAAACTCACCCACGCTAAAAGCCGCAGTAGTTATGCTGGTAATACAACACAGCTTTTGTGCAAAGTAGAGGTGACACATTAAGGTCACGAGGAAGCCAGGGGGGGGGATTACTGTGTGTTCTCACCTCGGTGGCTCCCGGTCATGTTTACAGTCGCACTGTGTTCGTCACATGACCTGCAGCCACAGCAGAGTGTTTGTGTTTCCCTCAGGTCCCGGCAGCTGGAGCTGGAAGACAAGCAGAGCATGTTGGAGTTGGAGCTCAGGAAATACATGGAACTGAATGGTGTGTACTTTGGTGTGCGTCTTGAATAGTCCCTTTTGATTTTGAAGCAGTTAGTAGAGAGCAAGTTGTGCTAAGCCAAGGCTGCTGAGATAATCACTGCGTGTTTTCCTTTCTGAATGAGAACATCAGTGCTCTGGCTATGCGGCCCTGTTCACCCCGTCCGCGTATTTGGAGCATATTATGTTTATTAGCTTTGGTGGAAGTTTGAAAAAAAAAAAAAAGTAATCATTTGTTCCCTATTCATGAGAGTGAGTTTGTTTGTTTTACACAACACCATCATTCATTTTAGACGGTGTTTCTGGAAACTTGATATTCACGATTCTCCAGCTCCTGCTAGATGCTTCTTCTTCTTCAACAGAAAGTCCCTCGCTGTGTGGCTTTAGAGCTGTTTCTCTGAAAACAGGGTGAGGTGGAACCAAATGAGTAGAGTTTCACTCGGCGCAGCTAAACCCCCGAGCTGAACTTTAAGGCTGCGTAAAGCCGAGCGGAGCTGCAGATTCAAGTGACCACTATCTGTATGTTCATCACTACGAGCGGACCCCCGTCACATTGTCACGTTATTTTTCCCCATTGCCTTCGATACGTTATCATAAACATATTGACTATAGCCACAATAAAGAGTGCCCGTGTGTTTTGCATTGGCAGACAAGACACCAGAGCAGCTGGCGGAAGAAGACCGGGTCCTCCAACAGATGATTGACGTGGTGGACATGAGGGACTCCTTGGTGTTGTTCCTGGACGAGAAGAGGCTGACGGAGATGAGCGAGGAGCAAGAGGCCTTCTCCATCATGGAGGCCAAGCGGCACTCGAAAGCAGGTGCTCAGGTCCACTGGGCGTAAGGCTTTCACGCACGTGCGTACTCTTGTGTGAACCCCCCCCGTGTGCTTACGGGGTGGAAAAGCAGTAACGTGAGACTTGACTTCTGCAAAGCCAAAGATGATTCAGAACGGTCTGGGGGGGAAGGGGGGAGATAGACTGTCCCGCTTTATACAATTTAGGAGAAAGAAATGAGGCTTGTGGGCCAGGAGCGATCGGCCCCCTAGAGGGAGACATAAACCGGGGAATCTGAGGCTATGTTGCCAATAACGGCTCTGCTAAGCCCTGCAGCAGACCACGTACAGAACCGGGTCCCCAATGTTGTTGTTGTTTTAATATTTTGATGAGTTAATGCAACTGTACACAATATACACAAAGTTCTATGTTTAATATTTGTACACTGCATAAACTTTAGAAAATGAAAGAGGTAGATGAGATATAACAGTTAATCCATATAACAATTTCTTTTTTATTATCCATTTTTCTTTTTGATTTTTGTATCCCATCCTACCGTTGGCCTTGTCCTTTTACAGAGAGAGACTTACTGGACTGTTTAATCTATTTATAAATGCTACCTTTTATCTTTTGCAGGTGTTCTTTATTTCAGTGCTGGCAGAATAGCCACAAATCAAATCAATGCACAGTTTGTTTTTCAGTGAAAAGGAGCCTTATGCATTCATTGTTCTGCTGCATCTCAGTGCCGCCTGGACGGCACATCACAGTATATCAAATAAAGATCTTGCACTTTGATGATTTACGTTCCATGTTTTCATAAACCCATAGGTCTTCTCTCCGGTGTTTTCTTTCGTTCTCTGCGTAACCATCAAGTACACTACTGTGTACTGTGCGCCTATAAAGGCTTTTGCTGCCCCGAGCTATTCTGACCTCTAACCTCTGGGTGCTCTCCGCTCACCCCGCAAAACGAGCGTGTCTGAGATGAAGCTTTTCCCATCTATTGCTCAAAGCTAGGATCAAAACTAAGTAAAAGTTGTTTCATTGTGACATATTTTTTAATATGCAAGAAGCATTTTAATCTAGTCGAGGTGGAGCTGATCGTAAATATTTTGAAGTAAAGTCTATCTTAAAGTAAATATAGCTGTCAGGTTTGCAGTGGAACAAAAAATACATTATAAAGTACCTTAAAATTAGGATACTGCCAAACTGTACTATAGCAAAGCACAAGAGAAATGCAGTGAATTATTTTTAAACACTTTATCCTTGTTAGTTTGTGTGGCCAAAGTTGTGTTACTCTAAACAGGCAAAGAGAAAAGTGTCATCAGAAGTTGCCTAATTCTAACAAATGCATCAGATACTCGTCCAAACCATCTTTTTTTGGACTCTTATTTAAATCCTATAAATTGGGAATTGTGTCACTGGTTTTATGCAAGCACTAAATTCCTTTTAATCTCAGGTTGTGTGAGCGGTGAACCGCCTTTGCACAATTTCAATCAACATAATTTATTGAAAATAATTTATCTTTGTTTGAATTTATATCGCGATGACCTTTTTGTTGAATGATTTCTGAAGGTCTGTGGATGTAATGAGTGTCTTCTAAGACCAGTTGCATAAGGCATTGAACACTTACCTGATCCGGTTAGTGTAATCCCATTGACCGTGCTGTTAGTCGCCATGGATCTCTTGGAGCCTGCGGCAATATTAATTGTGTTGTTTTTTGGACGGCTTTGCCGTTTTAATGACACAAATAGTGATAATAATCTTAAACCTGAAATGACCACAATGTAAACTGGCTCCTGTCAAGATACCAGTCCGGACCTGCATAGGGTCCCTGTGGAAATATTAGAAACAACTAGAAGCTTCAACCCGGACACAACTTTATTAACATTCACCCGATAATACTTGCATGTATAGTAATATATCATTTGAAAGTAACATTTTCAATTCAGCTGTTTTACTTTTATTTAAGGTGTTGAATTCTTTACCCACATTTTTGACTTTGTGTAAATTAAATGTCTTGAAAATCTCCAACTATTTGCTGTTCCTTATATCATTGTCATTGTGTCCCTCTCGAAGGCTCTCTACTTGCAGCCTGTAATAACCGTGACTCAGCAGCGGCTGTGCAGTTTAACATCTACCTCCAACCTGACGCTCTCTTCGTAGGAGCTGCCGTTGCCTGCAGGCCCAATGCGCTCCCACTGGAATGGAAAACACTTGAACTCATTCTAGTTCAAAAAACCAACTCCATAAATGGAGGATGATCACGGCAAACAGTATCCATGACAACACGATGAGCCGGTCAAGCCATTGATATTCGGTCCCACCATTTACAGAACGTGCCTAGTAAGTAAAATAGGCCGAATTTCGAGCTATGAAGCTGAACCTGGTGGATATAAAACAGGATCAACACTGCATTGCTGTTCCTTTTGATTAGATTTGATTCCTTTGATCCTTTTGAAATGCGTCCCTAATTATTGTGCAGAGCACACACTTATTTTGTGCCCTTGTTGATTAGGGAGGGCCGACTGTCTTCTGTCGTGTCATGCACATATATGGCTTTGTGAGCACCCGATGCAGATTAACACGTAAACCTGTTACAGGTTACCTCTGAAGGCCAAGTCGTACACCGGGTCGGGCTTAGAGCCTGATGCTGCAGTCATTTCAATCTGGACCAGGTGTGAAACCAGTTTCTAAAGACACTTCTGTCGTCTTTACCCTTTGTGATGGTACCCATGTTTAAGAGCATGTGCACCAGGCTTTCTTCATTAATCATTTAACAATGCTCGGCAACACGTTAATATAAGGTCATCTTTTATTTATTGTGTTCTAAAGACTTCGATTCCAATAGAGCGGCCTATGAAATTAGATTGGATGAATTACTGTGAGAAATGATTTCTTTTTGTTGAGTAAAAAATCAACTGTTTATTCACGCACACTACGTTTATAATGTCATTAAAAACATGACATACATTGTATTATTGCATCATACAGGTATTATATTGATATTGAATTGGAAGTTTTTTAAAACATTGCCTAAGCTCAAGACCTCTAAATGACTTGTAATCAAACAAATAAAGTAAAATAAAGATACTGGTTTCCAGAAGTATTCCCTTTATGGACACACATTAACCATCAGGACTTGGAACTATGGAACTCAAAAACATTATTTAGCTAAATGTAACTCTCACAGGTAAAAATACAAGTATTTCCTCATATCTGAACAGTTGTCACTGGGGAAGAATAAACACTGTGACTGAAGGAATGTCATCTAAAGAAAAGAAAAAAAGACCTATACACTTTTGGAAAAACAAAAATAGTACATCTGTATCTGCTTTTCACCTCAAAAATAGTGTGTGAGTGCCACTTTAAACGTGGGCCCGTGCCTGAGATAATTACTTACATTTAGGAGCAACATGATTGAAACAGTCCCCTTTTTACTCTTTTATGGGCAGCCGTGTAGAATAGAATAAATCACCTCTAAGATATAGTTAGATGTATTGCTCTGAGGTTTGAAGGGACGCTAGTTGGTGGATTTAAAAAAGGGCACAGTATTTAGAATAAAACATAAACCCTTCACTTATATAACCCCCTTAATAAATAATGAACTACTCCAGCAAAGAATAATTTCCCTTTTGATGCTTTCATTTGTATTTTGATACAATCAATATCACAACGCATTGATAATAATCCACCGTATTAATTAAGCCATCAGACGCCATCAAGGCTGCCGCACAGACTGCGCATGCGCGCCCTCGTGTCGCTGTTTTGAATGAATCCGTGTAAACTTGTTGCAGTCGTCTCTCCTCCCGCAGCAGCGGCGGTGTGACCCGAAGTCTCAATGTGCACCAGTCCCGCTGTCAGCGGCGCCCCCCGACGCCCCCCCACGCCCCTCCCCCGCGGCGCCCACCCCCTCCCCCCCATGGAGAAAATCTGTGATCTGACGACAGGTACGACTCGAACAGTCCCGGGGGAGGTGAGCGGTCCGCACCTCGGCGAGGAGGAGCACTTGGCAGGAGAGTCGGAGCGCGGCTCCAGAAGCGGCCGGTCCTCAGGTGAGTGAGTCAACCACCTGGACGTGAGGAACGGAGACTACTGCCACTCTCGCTTCCTCCTCACTGCTGTGCGGAAATTGGAGCGCTTTGTCTTTTCCTCCACTTGTGGTTGTTTTTGGTCTCACTGTTGCTCAGGAATCCACAGTGCGCGTTGCAAACACGATCAGAATATCCGATCAGAGAGGCTGTTTTTGCCGCAGAGAAGAGCACCGTCTTTACTATTACTATGTCTGCGTGTTTTCTTACTCAGTGCTGCAGGATTTGACTCTGCAGACGAGTCCTGCACCAGTGCTTGAGGTTTAGGACGTGTGCATTCCGTTTCTCTTGTGTGTGTGTGTGTGTGTGTGTGTGTGTGTGTGTGTGTGTGTGTGTGTGTGTGTGTGTGTGTGTGATACAGCTGCAGTCTGCTGCACGTTTCAAACAACGCGGTCAGAGAAAAGATGAGTCTGCTGCAGAGGGAAGATAACAAGGGGGGCTCAGAGCCCAGCATGGTGTGTGTGTGAATTATGAAATGAATCTTAGATATTGATTGTTCTACCACATTTGAGATGCGCAAGGAAAGATGATTAATGATCAATCAAACCCTTGTAAATGTTTTACTTTAATTGATTTATATCAAGATACCAACATGCATCTAACTTAACTTCATGTTTATTGCAAGACCTTTAAAGAATATTTTTAACAGTATGGTATTAGTTATTTATTTTAAATTAAAGGTGGACATACTTCCTCCACCGCTCTTGTATTTAAACCTGTGACGAGGTCGGGTCTCTAGATCAAGTGTTACTTATCGCTTATATAAGAGAAAAAGAGGGCAGGAAACCAAACTGGGTGACCTGCTCATTTATAGTGCTCCTAATCCTTCTCAGCACCTTCATTGGATATACCTCATTCTTCCTAATCACTGACGATATTCATTGTCTGAGTAAAGATTATTTATATAAGTATTTTTCACCAGGTTAGAGGTGAATATCACTGCATGATGAGATCAGATGATGGAAAAAAATTTAAATTTTTTTTATTTACCAACATTTTTTGATCAACATCCTTTCTCAACAATTCTCCTCCTTGTTTGACATCTCATGACAGACTATTCAGCCCTGCAGCATCATTAGATCCTGGTACAGTATCTTGCCTGTGAGCTGGTTATAGCAGGGATTAGTGGTTCCAACCTTCGACCGTCTCCTCTGGCCGTCCTCCTGCAGACAGTCTGAGCAGACAACCATCTCACCTGCTCCATCGTGCCTCTTCAGTAACCTCAAAGGACTTTTCCGCTTGCGATCTTGCCGATGAGTCGGGGCGGTAGAGCAGGATTATTGACCTCACTCGTGGAAAGGAAACGAGAACGTTGCGAAATTTAAGTGTTGACGTTTTTGTGCTTTTCTTTCCTCTTTACCTGAAAGAAAACGTCATTGAGGTTTCTGCAGAAATGGGTCGTCAGGAGGGGGAACACTTGTGGAAGAAGGTCACCGAAAACATTGAGGAGGTGTTTGACTGCATGGAGGAGTTGGGATCGTAAGTACATTTTAATTTAATGTGAGCTGGCATGAGGCTTATTTAGGTACTGGTTTACTCAATAAGTCTTAAGATTGACTTTTTACTATTACTACTTACCACCTCTGTCATTATTTGGCTCAGGGTTATTGAAACGTGAGTCTTGCACATGGTGGGATGATACACTCTGTTCATGCTGCTTGAGATGGTGGACAGATTACCGGTTTGATTGGATTGAAATGGGGGGGCTACTTTACTGAGGTCTTAGGAAACTGTTGGGAAGGTACAGTTTGTTCGGCTTTTATGGTACTTAATTCACAGTAAAGGCACAGAAATAAATACTATTTGTTTAACTTCACATTGTTTTTTACAGAATAACAACTTGACTCACAAAAAAACAACAACTGGGCCACCCACATTTAGGGGATTATTCGCTAAGTGGATTTAAGGAAAATCTTCAACACCTATTTTGATAACAGGATAATCCTCTGGGTCATTTTTAAGACTCTGATCTGAAATATGCCCAATGGCTTTGATGCTTGTTGTTGTCCGCAGTGATAATAAACTGAATGTAACTGGGTTCTGACTGTTGGGTCCGACAAACAACAAAAACATTTGGCTTTAGATAAATATGATGGACAATTTTCACTCTTTTCTGTAAATATTGAACTGACGAATCAATAATGAAATCAGCTATTAGCTGAAACAAAGGAAGCCGTTTTTTCATCCAGGACCGTGGAGATAATGTCTTGCCGCGTGTTTCTGCGAACACCGCATTCGCTCAGCTTGTGCTGACCTCATTCCTGTCAAATCGAGTCTGGCGAGCGCCCGGAGAACAGCAGATCAGAGGCCCTCGGCAAATAAAGGCGGCGATGAGATCGCTGCCGTCGTGTTTTGGGGGAAACAGAGCAGATCCACCAAAGGAGGAAAGGCTTCCTCCCGAGCACACTATGTGATATAATACATGGCCCCATTAGTTTGGAGCAATTACCTTTCATTTCCCAGCACACTTTGTAAAAACAATACTGGGGGTTTATTGGAAAAGGTGTGCGAAAGAAGTTTAGATCCACAGTAACAATCACATGTTCGGAGACACTTTCTAATTGAATTAAATGAGAAACTGTGTCGTTTGACTAGTGCTGCATTTACTTCACATTTATTTCACTTCATCTGCAGCATTCAAACAAAGTCAACTTCAAGGCAAAATTCTGCTTCACGCTGCAATTCGATTAAAGGCGCGGACTCAAAAGAGACGCGTCTCTTGGCGGATATAAAACAGGATCAGGTGTCAACAGACTGAACCCTCGGTTCCTATCGTCAGGTGCACGTTTGTTTTTCCATCACAAAGGAAAGGGAAAAAAAAGAAGAAGAAGAAGATAACCCCGGAGGGACAGGATATCAGCAAATAGAACCTTTTCCACTGGGCTTTTGTTGCCATGCACAGTGTGAACAACATCCTTAATGGTTGCCAGGCAATCAGCACAAAGTCTCTTTAGGGGTGAATGCCACTCTCAAAAAGTCTCATCTACAATTTTGACTTTTAAGGTCCCAAATTTACACAATCAAGTCGGGTCGCCAGTGATTTCTGATTGCCCTTTTGTCTTTCTGTAAAAAGGATTTTTGTCAGGCCTTCGTGTTCAGGGCTTGATTGATGATTTCTCTCCAAGTCTTCAAGGAGATGTGAGGAGCAGAATGAGCCGTGGGATGATGCTTTGGGGAAAACTCTGCTGTCACCACTCTACAACTACTTTGGCCCCTATCATTCTGAAGTCTGTACACGCAACACTAGTCTTCTAAATACAAAATGATACACTTAATGGAATAATGTGAAATCCACATTGTCACACTGTGCTGTTGGATCCGATCCTGCAAGTTTCGGACGGCTCTCAGCCATTAACCTGCTTCTGTTACGTCAGGGATAAAGCACCTAATCCGCCTGGTAGAACAACGATTCCCAGAAAGCGCAGCACAGAACACCACAATAAGCCTCTGACATGTGAGTAGTTAAGCCACACAGATCTTCATCGGACCTTGAAACCCTTGATATTGCTATTTACTGAAGCGCGTTTAATTTCCATCTGATTTCTTTAATTGCGTCTCCGCTTCCGTTTCCGTGTGATGCAAAATCTCCCTGATTTGACGGGACAAAAGGGGCCAATAGTCTTTTTTTCGGTGTTGTCCGGGTCCCCGTTCTAATAAGAGGGAGAAGACTAATTTCCTCCGGCTGGGGAAGACTGTCGCACTGTGATCTTTCCAAGCAATCAACAAATGCACCGTTAACAACACATGTGTTTGTGTGTCAATGATCAGGGGGGCGTTCTCAGAGGTGTACATGGTGAAGGAGAAGAAGACAGGAAAGCTTTTTGCCATGAAATGCGTGAAAAAGAAACAGAAAAGAGACCTCAATCTGGAGAATGAGATCGCCGTGCTAAGAAGGTACTTCAAGTGTGAACTTTTATGAGCCTTTGACTTATGTTTCATATTCTCTAAGTAGTCAGCGGTTGTTTACAATATAAATATGTAAATGACGTTGTGCTTATTATGACAGCACTGCCATGATGTTGTGTTTCCAAACAGGATCAAACACGACAACGTTGTCGGGATGGAAGACTTGTATGAAAGTCAGACCCATTTCTATCTCATCATGCAGCTGTGAGTTTTTTTACATTTTTTTGCACGATTATTCAAATGATCCCGAATGAAACTGAATGAACTGAACGCTGGCGTTCATTTCGTCTTCATGACAGTGTTGCAGGCGGGGAGCTCTTTGACCGCATACTGGACCGGGGGGTGTACTCGGAGAAGGACGCCAGCAGCGTGATCCAGCAGGTGCTGCAGGCCGTCAGCTATCTGCACGAAAACGGCATAGTGCACCGAGACCTCAAGGTAGGATTTAGAATAAATAAAAAGCGAGACCTTTGCATTGGCTGAAGTATTTCTATTGAAGTACACTTTGGGGATAAAGCCACCTTAAAGGACCTTGCTTACTTCAAGTAGTATTACTTAATATTTTAGTGGGCAGTTGCAGCTTTGGTAGAATAATATACTAAATAAAATATAAAAAGTGAAGCCTCAGATTTGAGATTACCTAAGCCTACATGATTTTCACACCGCTACTGTTAAAACACTTGAAATGAGATCTCAACACTAAATATGACAGTTCTTCTGAACGATTACTGTCTATTCTTGTCTGTGTGCAGCCAGAGAACATCCTGTATTACAGCCAGGCAGAGAACTCCAAAATCATGATCAGTGATTTTGGACTTTCCAAGATGGTAGACCATGACATCATGTCGACCGCCTGTGGCACGCCAGGATACGTAGGTACGGACACATGTCTGGAAATGAAAGATGTATAGACACTGAGTGCGTGTGCAGGTGGGAGGAGTTTGAGGGGGAAGGGCTTAAATGGATATAACTACAGCATTATATACCTGTATGTATCAGAATACCGGCCTAATTACTACAGGCCGACCTTTGACATGGTCTCACTCTTGCAGCTCCTGAGGTGTTGGCACAGAAGCCCTACAGCAAGGCAGTGGACTGTTGGTCGATCGGAGTCATCACCTACATCTTGTGAGTGTGAACGTCATGTTCTATGTGTGCACACATTAGTAGATTGAGATAGGGAGAGGAAGACAATAGAGATAGACTACTGAGATTTTAAATCAGCCCCTGGTCTTAAGTGGATTTTCAGATTAAAAGGCACTGCTGGTCATGTGTGTATCAAACATGACACAGATACCTAATTACAGAATAATGATGCAGGGATGGAGCCACAGCACCACCTAGTGAGCACTTACAATGCACCCTGTTTACCTTAATGTGTGAATTAATCACAGCTCCCTTTTTTAATAAATGCTTTCGTTTCAGACTCTGTGGATATCCGCCTTTCTATGAAGAAAGTGAGACAAGACTGTTCTCCAAGATCATGAAGGCGCAGTACGAGTTTGACTCTCCCTTCTGGGATGACATATCGGATTCTGGTAAGTTCACGGATGCGTAGCGCGCATTTTCTTCCTCTCTGGAGACCCCGCCATAACGTGTGTGTGTCACCTTTTGATCCGAAGCAAAAGATTTCATCCGTAACATGATGCAGAAGAACCCCAGCATGCGCCTCTCCACTGACGCTGCGCTCCGACACCCCTGGTGAGTGTCGATGCTCAGCCGGGAAGGATTTTGATACAAACATTGGATCACGATGCATTGAAGAAAAAGCATACAGTGTGAAATTGTCCAATGCTTTTAACATTAAACAATCATTTGCAATGTAGTCAAGCTTTATTTTACAGTAAAATGTCTATTTGCTATAGCATATTTCTTTTTAACCACAGCTTTTTTTCATTTGTTATTTGTGTCTTCAAATGTATATTCATCTGAAGAATTTCATTGTTAGTTTTCATTGTTGTTACTGTCCTGCAATACTCCCAAATGGGTTATATATCTCCTTGGATAAGGGACGGTGAAATAAACTGTATAATATTCCTTAGATTTATCAAATGTTTGTGACTTAAAAGAGATAAGTATGACATGGCCGTGACGTAACTTTCCACTCCGGATGGATTCAGGATTAATGCCAACCTTGAAATATATTAAAGCTATATTAAAGCGCTCCTTTGCGTCATCTGTTTTCCAGGATTATCGGAAAGACGGCCCGGAGTCAAGACATCTACTATTCAGTCAGCGCCCAGATCCAAAAGAACTTTGCCAAGTCTAAGTGGAAGGTTAGTCCTTGCTGATTTCTTAAGCTCATTATGGCCTTGCAGTTTATAGTAGATTAACCCGGTGCCTCCCTAAATCCTCCCTGATCCAGGACCGTTTGATACTATGGTTTTTTTTGGTAATCTAGGCCACTTATCTGGTGCTTTCACTGTCAGTCCAAAAATCAAAGTGCACTTTAATGTCCAGCAGGAAAATGACACTTGAATGCATGTAAATCCATTGTATTGACAATCTAGTGTTTGCTCGGATTTGTTGTACCAGAAGCAAAGTGCCTGTCTTTATCTTCCTCGTATCATCGTTGATAAGCAGATAAAGTGAAGCTGTCTGTGTTTGTTTTCCTTGTACTCGCTCTGTTCGCAGCAAGCCTATAACGCAGCCGTAGCCATCAACCACATGAAGAAGCTGCAGCTGGCCACCTCAGAGCTGGTGTTGAGGAACGCCAGCATCCCGGACATCAAGGTGATTGACGTGTCCTCCCCGGACAAAAACCGCAAACGTCTTGAACCAGACAAATTCGACCCAAAGTTGACAGACATCCGCGGGATCGTCAAGGGGACGATTCACATCTCGCTGCCCACGAGCGCCCTTGAAATGAAAAGCCACTATCACACGCTGAAGGCCACGCAGAGTCAGGCCGGCCCGCATCACGCCCCCACCATGGCCGAGCAGGGCAAGAACGCCTACCGCTCAGAGCCCGCCAACCTCAACGGGTGCGTAGCGCTTTCTGCTTGGTTCGTGCGTTTGTCAATTTCTGACATCACAGCAGGACGGCCGCGTGATGGAGATGTATTTTTGTTTTTTTTCAGGTATGGTAAAAATCGCAACGGCATGACTCTGCAGACCGGAGTTTGCACAGTCATGTGAAGACTGCAGGACGTTTACGTGCAAACAAATATTTTACTTGGTAGGTTCAAGTAATACATTTACAAATTGTCTCCACATACATCCAAGTTATATCTGTATCTGAATTAAACCCTTATTAAAGGTCTCACTATCTCCTCAAAAAAAAACCTTAATGTATATTTGCTTTGAATGCAACACGTGATGTCTCCCTGTTGAGAACGTGTTAGCATTACCTATACATCTGCTTTATGGTTGATAACATTCAATAATGTAGCTTTAAGCACATATAAAAAATGATCACAACCAAACACACTATTTTGCAAATACATTGCACATAGAAATCTGGTAGTCAGACATTATGACTTTGTCACAGTGGGAGAAGCACAGGTGACAGTGTGACAGAGAAGTAGCGTGAACGATCCCCGGACCCTGGAACTGAAGCAGCTTAATGGAACTCAGTCCATATTGATTGTATATATTTAGGCTTGTGCTTTTTCTTACTGTGACATGTCAATATGTCTTCCATGAAAAAAAGGCCTATTCCTATTTAACTACATGGAGTTTGGTCACTTCCCACAATTCCCAACTTTAGCCAGAATACCTCCCTGTGGTGTGCAGGGCCCTTAATAAATGCTGTTTAACACCATACCGTTCAATGTGCGTGTGTCTTTGTGTCTCACCACGGAGTGTTTCTGCCCTCTGCAGGTCAGTGTCGCTGACCCGACTCAGCATGCAGCGGTTTTGTGTCAGCGCGTCCCCCCCGGTACTGTGACTGTGAGGTGGTCGATCCGCCGACGGCCCATAGCGGTCCAAGAGGTCCACACAGTCAGGAGGGGCATCTTTATTCTTGGAAAGAGTGCCTGTGTAGCCTCCCGAATAACCACACAGAAGTACACGCTCGCACACGCACACACACATAACAAGACATAGCCTGTAATTAGAATGCATCTGGGGATCTATAGGTGTCATTTTTATGCTGCTGCTATAAGCCGTCATTCTGGCATTTAATACTATGTCACTTATTGACAGCCTCTCTTAGCTACGCGGATCGCTTTCCCTGCAGTCAGTACTGACTACATATGGTAGAAATGACATGCATAAAGCAAGAAATGTGTTCTTAAATGTGTGCGCTTAAGCCTGTATACACACGCACACACACACACACACACACACACACACACACACAGATGCATGAGACTTGCTTTGACTCCGATACACCGGGTAGACTTTAGTTAATCTTCCTCTTGTGTTAGCTTTCTCTCTTGTTGATGGGTCGGTTTTGACTCATATCTTAAATCAGTTGTAAAATACACTAAAAACAACAATCTATTATCCAATTGCCTACCTTGTTAGGCTTCCTTATCCATGAAAATATTGATTTTATTGTGGTGTGGGGGCTCTGGGCCTTTTCTATGTCAGTTGGTGACTCTGCACGTCACCTTAATTGACCTCACGTGGTCGTCCGTGTTTGTTTTGTTTTTGCGCAGGTATACCCGATAACAGCGCAACGACACAAAGGTCATAATTTCAACCAGAGCATTTTATAAATCAGTGAAAAAAAAAGTTTTTGAATAGAGATTCCCAACAAAGTCAAAAAGCCTCGATGCAATAAACACATTTATGCGGTTCTTTTATGCATTTAAAACCTAAAATGCAAACACAAGTGGAAGGGAAAACAAGATGAGCCAGAGTGGAAGTTGTTGAGGGATCGGCTCACTCACCAGGCTTTATATCACACAAAGAGGTTAGGTCATTAACGCACAGCATCCAGTCTTATGAAGACTTTGCTTACATGTTGTTGAAGAAAATACACACAATGCAATATTATGAAACTTCATGTGTATAATATTATTGCTTAGCAAACCTGCATTTGTTATTGCAATAGAATACATGACAAAATAAATGCATGCTTACTGCTTGAAATAAACCATACTGGTATAATGTATCCGGATAAAGTTGTTTCTTATCTTTTATTACCTTCTTTTTGTTATTTGTTTGTTGTCGAAATAAATGTATTATTTCCAAAGTGTTTTCTTTCATTTTTATAAATACAATAATGATGAAAATCGGGCTGTAAAGACAGAAAAAAAAGAACATACACGTTCAAACAGACAAGTCATCAACAGCGTAAATGCCACAAGTACAACCAGAACTTGATGAACTCATAATTATCACTGCCATCAAACTGCTGAAATGTAAAATGTTCATATTCACTGTTGTAGATGTACACCTCTTCAGACTCTACCTCGACTAAAGACTAACAAATTGTAGCACTTAAATTGTACTTGTGACGTCACTCATCTATAGCAAATTGTAAATTCGCTTATTTGAGGAAATTGCACTTTCTTGTTTCTTGTTCTCCTGAGTTTATACCCTATGGTTGAATGCACTTATTGTACGTCGCTTTGGATAAAAGCGTCAGCTAAATGACATGTAATGTAATGTAGATGTTTGTCCACTTACTGCGAGTGCTTCACTCTTCAGTCCGTTTGTCCCTCCAGCTGTAAGTGGCTTTGATATTGATCTAGTCTTTGTGTTATGAAGGGATGCTCATCAATAAAGCTTGTACGGAATCTGCATTAGTCTCGCTGCTATTTTGTTTGCCTTAATCATCTCTTTCTTATTCAAAAATGACTCCACACCAACCATTAAACAGCAAATAATTGGAATGATTAGTGGGAAATTATTAGCAATCTTATTTAAAGCCGTTTACTAGTTTAATTTATGGGAGTCTTTAGGAAGCTTAAGGAATGTATGTAGAATAAAACATGGAGAGGAATGTATACAAAATATTAATACATGTGGCGATTCTTTGGAAAGTTAAATGAACATTTTGAAATGGAAATTTTTATTAAATCTATACATTTCTCTTTATACGGGCTCATGCCCGATGCTGAAAAGAGGTTTTGGTTTTGTAAATAATTGTTAGATATTCTCGGAGCAAAGGAATCTCATGATTAATCCTGAATATTGTGGATATTAACAGTTGCTGAGTTTTTAAAAGTAAAACAATTCAGTGTAACTGTGCTTTGCCTCTAAGTGATGCAGGATATGGAAAAAGGAACTACACAGACTGAAATAATAAAGAATTAAAAAATGCCACCCTGTTATTATAAACAATGTCCTCTTGGACAATGGAAACCTAGTAAAATTAAAACGTTCACTGTTATTTAACTTAACTTTAAAAAATATTAATTCTTTGAATTTTACCGTGCAACATGTGCAGTTGGGTTATTTTTTATTCTAATTTAAGAAAAAATTAAAACAAAAGAAAAAGTAAAAATAACTCCACTTAGCGGATTCTGTGACATGACCTCGTACTTAAAATAAACTAACTTCTAAACCAATTACCGGGCTTTACCTCTTCAGTAGATTAGATGAGACCACAGATTTCAAACTCAGCCTCGGGTGGTGTCTTAAGAAAGAAGGTTTCAGCCAGGGTAAATTACATTAAACCATCAGATACACATTTGTTACTTCTATCAAAAATATATGAAACAGAAGTGGGAAATCATCATCATGTTTTGTAATGCGTGTTGTCCTAATCGCCATATCACTTTGGTCATAATCAGTTTTCCCTGTTTGCAGCCTTTGCCAAAGTGGAAAAGAACATTGGCCTGATTTTGAACGACCAGTTAAAAAATATTTGAGAGAGAGATTGAAAGTTAAAAAGTCAGCAATATTAAAAGATCCCTGTGTGTCATTTTTTTTTTCTCCCCAGCGTCAAACGCAGTGTAAACGTACCCTCTTCTCCCTGAGCTCCTGTTGAGAGAGTTTTCATGTGTACACACACACGCACACACCGTAAACCCTCCCAAACCCCCTCCCGCCCCACGACCACAACATTGTTGACTTGGTGAGTCTAGTGTCCAGACAGACTGTCCATTCAGGCAGAGGAAGCAGAAAAGTGGGGCAAAGGTCTCCAAACAATCTGAACCATTTTCTAGCTGCGTAAAACGTAAATGCCCAGAATCCAAACAGAGTTGCTCAAAGAGAAACGTTGTTGAGGGTGTAATTATCATAATAATACCAGCAACTTTGTGGAAAGTCTCCACTCCGGAGCTGACTAACGAGGGAAAGGTCGGTCTTGAATCACTGCTGAGCAAGAGTTTAAGAGTCGATCAATAGGGGTCGTCGTGGCGCAGGGGTTAGAGAAGGTGTGCTGGGAAGCACGAGGTTGGTGGTTCAATTCCAGGCTGCCCTGTGTTCCATGTCGAAGTGTCCCTGAGCAAGACACCTAACCCCTAATTGCTCCCCGGGCAAAAATGTGAAAAAAGCCATGGGTTTAAAGTGTAATGTAAGTCGCTTTGGATAAAAGCGTCTGCTAAATGACATGTAATGTAATGTAATAAACCACCAGAGGAGCGGTTGCACCTGCGGCCTCTGAGTGGTTCCTGTATCTGTGCTTCAAATCTGATAACAAGAATCTCTGACTCACAAGCCTCAGCAGCATCCAGTACCTCTGTGTTACAGGTTTGGTTTTCTCCATTTATTTTGTTCGCCGCAGCATCCATGCAGTACATTTCCCTGCATCGAGCCCCTTAACTTTACACATTTCTCCCGTCCATTTCATTTGTTTTGAATTACCTTTTGGTTATTAAGTCCCTTTATTTGTTAATTTTACCTTTGTGTCGGGAGTCTGCAGAAGCTGTTTCTTCTTTTTACCTACCTGGGGTTTATGGAATAAATGTGTGTACCAAATTTCAATGTCTTGATGGCCCTAGAGGAGGGGGAGGTCGTTTGGCAATCCATTCAATAACCTTTAAAGGTATTTCAGTCAAAGTGGTAAACCAACACAAATCCTACCGGATTACTTGTTTTAAAGTTGGCAGATGTTGAACCGACACGCAGACATCTCCTGGTCTCAATTTGCCAATTTGACTGAGATTTGATCACATCTCTCTGTGACAAAGATCAGACGCGTTTCACAACTCACTTGCCTAACTTCACTCCCTCCTCTCTTGCAGTGAGTGGACGAGGTCTAAGGTCAGAGAGATTCAGGGGAAGGCACACACACACACGTATGCACACATGTTAACCCCCTGCCAAATGCTGCTGCTTCGTGATCGGCTCTATGGTCAGCCAGCGAGAGCATGAGCCAGAGAAGATCAAGACGCCACGATCACAACGTCTTTACGCCAATAAATGGGATCGGCTTAACGCAGTGATTGGACACTATTCAATCTCTCGTGATCAGGATCAATACTTACTGCGACAAGCCAAGCTTCACCAAACAATGGCTTGTGTGGTTCAATATCCAGTAACATCGGAGGTGTTCGGGATGCGTCTGCTGCAACACGTATTGACCTAGTGTGATGTCACATGCACAGTTTCACTGACAAGGGAATATGTGCTTCACCTCTGGCCCTACAGACCCATGCCCTTTTACCCAAAAAGGCCCTGATATCCAAAAAGCGATCGCCACAGCCTCATGAATATGCATGCCGTCACCGCTGTGGGAGTGGACTTGCTCTCCACGTTGTGCTTAAATCTGAGGGATCTGCCCTCGTCTCTTTGCCTGCGAATCGTTTCCTGGGCCGAGCACTTGAGAGCTTTGGGTGTGCTTCAAAGTGAGTATCCATCTAATCAGGATCAAAATTTCATCATGTACAACCATCTTTATTCTTCACAATCTTCTCTGTCACAACATCTTCTTTCCCCCCATTCAACAGACTTACCAAACACCAATGGAGACCATTGGAGAGATCATCCCGTTCGCTAAGGAGATGCTAAACCAGAGGCCAAGCCGAGGCATGCTGAAGGTCTACATGCTTGGCTCGACCATGGCGGTGCTGGGAGTTGTCGGAGGACTGGTGGAAACTTATTTCCTGCCGTCTGCGGAGCCGGAGGCTGCTGAGGACGCACCAGCGGAGCTGATTGTGGAGATGGAGAAGAAGCCACTCGCCACCTTGGTTCGCCCGGAAGTGGTGGACGCGCTAACCACGGTGATCAAGGCCAAACATCTGGTGACCGATGGGCAGAGGGTCTCTAGGCGCTTATATGCTTCCTAAAGAAAGCCCTTCCATCCTGGTGTAAATGGACACGACACATGCAATGTTGATGGTGATGGTGGTAAATTAAAACACCACGTTGAACTGGTCCCGTTGTACTCGTTCTTTTATCTCACATTTGGTGAAAAGGTCTCTGTTCACTAGCAAATAAACTAGTAGATTTTCTGAAAACTGGAGGGTACAGCAATGTCGGGCTGCTGGGCAGCAAGTATCTATCTCTCTGGATGTGCATTGATGAATGTGTGGGGGAAAAATGGAATGTGTGTGATTTAATTTTGCACTTTAATAAAACAATTTTTCAGCTAGCAACTGATTCAGGTCTTGTTTTAGAGTAAGATAGCCTTTTGCACATGTTGCAAGATCAAATAGATGTCTTCCTGACATACATTTGTGCATGAAGAGAAGATGAACTAAACTACATTTCACCACGATAATCCGACAAATGCATGGTGAGTAAAAAAATAAGAGGTAAGGCATCCCGACATTGAGATATGTGCAAAATCTATTCTGCCTCTTTTTTTATTTACTTCGGTTAAAGAGGCAAACAGCAAAGTGAAAATATTCTGTAAAAATAATGTTGATTCTGAATCATACTTAAATAAATGTATGTATGTATCAGCTAAATGTAGATTTATATACTTCACCAAAAGTACTCAAAAAAGGTTCCTTTCTATCATATGATGGTTTTGCCATAAATGTTTAACTGCAGTAGATTACTTTACACTTGCACTTCTTACATTCGGCTATTATTTAGATATTTTATATTGATTTATTTGATCTACAGAAATACAAATGGTATTTTGAATTGTACTCACTACACTACACATACTCTGTCTAAACTAAATCCAGTGAGGAAAATGAATAAAACGTGGTATGAAGCAGTAGCTGTAGCTCCACACACCGCCGCTAAGCAGCAGCAGTGAGTCTGCCACGAGTTTATTTTAACTTCCGTCTGCGTCACAGGAATCGACGACACACAATCACGCCGTGTTTACTGACGGCGGCCGACGGAGGAATAAAGCTTTTCTTACTCTACGGTTATAGTTAGTTTTATCAAAGAAAAGTACAGACAATTTAATATGGCGGACCCTGCAGTGGTATCGGGAGGTGCGCTGAATGCAGGAGGGGTAAGAGCCCGCTTTAATACCCGCTGTCATTAGCAGGAAGCAGCTAATTAGCTACCTTAGCGCGCCCTGTGACGTTAGGTTGTAACGTGAAGCTAACTGTTAGCAGTCCGTTAGGAAGAGACCGTGTCCCTAAACAAGGGACGTTATGACTAAAGCAGCTCCCGTGGAGACACACGACACAGCTTCGTTAGCTGAGGGAACGAACGTGTCCCAGTCTGGACAAATGTTGGCTAACGTCTGTTTAGTAGCAGCACGTTGCGGGCGTGTTTGTGAGCAGTTAACGGTCACCAATGTAACCACCTTAACCCGCTAACGAGGTGATTTAGCATAGTAACCGTTATATATGGTAACGTTAAGTCTCTGTTCATCTGTGCTTCAATGTTACACCTGCTAACGTCCAGCTAGCTACGCGTTAGCCAACGGACAGTGTTTCCCTGATGATATTTCAATTTTAAATATTAAAATGTCAGCAATGTTATTTGAGCAGATACTTTATTATATTGCTACTCTTTGAGTTAAATCCCTCTTGTTGCAAATCCAAAAGAGCACTATAGGTTTCTTTTAGTTTTGTTTTTACTGTGGTTCAAATGGGCTGCAGTTTGATGTGTATCCTTGTTTTATAACGATGACAATGAATGATCCTTTATGGATAATGGATGGAAGCTACCAGCTGCTGCATGTGCTGTTACCATATAAATGTTAATTTAATTGAGAACTCTGTACTTCATTACATTTTTCTGACAGCTTAGGGGAGGACAAATATCTAAATTAAACCTACGTACCATATAAGCCCTATTGCAACTTAAAACATTTTTTTCTTTCTGTGTAATATATCTTTCAATACCTCTGGGTGTTATTTTAGGCTCTTTATCGTTATCAAATCACATTTGAAAGTTTCTGCGGATTCCAAAAGAAGCTTTGATAATTGTGTCACATTCAGAGGATGACATTTGATCTATTATTTACAGTTTGATTTATCAAACCGTATAATTTAAAACAATTGTGGGTACTTACATTTTTTTAAATGTTTACCTGGCGGACATAAAGTGGGTGTTTTGAATTGGCTTGTGTGAGGTACTTATCCCTATACTGTCAGTAGACCGCAGATTGTTAAAGGGATCTTTAAGTGTCTCTTCTTTTATGTGTGCAATTTCTGTGTAACTTCATGTTTTGCTTTTCAGCGTGGGAGTGGTGGCAAAGCAGCTACCAGCCCTGCAGAGAACTACCACCTGGCCCGACGTCGCACCCTGCAGGTCGTGGTCAGTGCTCTGCTGACCGAGTGCGGCTTTGACAGCGCGGAGAAGGCAGCGGTGGAGACGCTCACTGAGATGATGCAAAGCTGTACGTGTGAATCATGAAGTAGATGGGCCTGTATTCTAATGTTTTTTGTGTATTTAATTTAAAACAGGATATACAGTTCTTTCCCCAGTGCACCATACTTTATTCACAGCCTGTTTTCGACTAAGTTCCCTTCGTCCGTTTAGTTTTTAGTAACTTAAAAGTTAAATCTTTTTGTTTATTTGCTCAATGGCTTATGTTTTTAAAAGACTTTTCTAAACACCAATGTGTCTCGTCCTTTTTCTAGACATAACTGAAATAGGTCGTTGTGCGAAGGCTTATTGTGAACACACAGCCAGAAGCATCCCAACCCTGTCCGACGCCGTAGTCACCCTCATTGAAATGGGTGAGTACAGGAGGACCTATGCGTAAATATCACAAGGTAACACCGAGAAGCTCATTCCATGCGTTTGTCTTGCTGCAGGTTTCAAAGCCGACACACTGCCTTTGTACGCCAAGAGATCGCAGAGGATGGTCATAACTGCCCGTGAGTAAGCACTTGACTTTGCGCTGTTTGTATGGATTATGTCATTACATAAATCTGAACTTTTATGCATTTTTCTTTGTGTTTGGAATGACAGCGCCAGTGACGAACCCACCTGTGACTCCCAAAGCGCTGTCAGCGGGCCAGAAGCGCACGCATCCAGCTCACATCCCCTGCCACTTCCCGGAGTTTCCTGACCCGCACACCTACATCAAAACACCCGTGAGTCAAGCCTCCTGGCGTTACGCCGTGGCAACGGTCTGGGACAGGTTTGGGAGTGTGAGAGGGACGAGGCTACGGCTTTCATTTTGCCAGGAGGGAAACATGAACAAACCATGAACTCATTTTCCTTTATAGTATGATCTAGAAAGAATACGGTTTAATATGGACTCTATTCCATGGCATCAGTTCATTATGAGTAACAGATCAAATGTGTGTCTTCCCTTCTGCACTCAGACCTTCAGAGAACCCGTGTCAGACTACCAGGTTGTTAGAGAAAAAGCAGCGAGTCAGAGGAGAGACGTGGAGCGAGCGCTCACGCGCTTCATGGCCAAGACTGGAGAAACCGAGAGCCTCTTCAAAGACGACATCACCGCCTTCCCGCGTAAGCGATGTGCCAATATGTCGTTTACGTTGGAGTGCGTCTTGTCGAGTAAGACCTGGGGTTTTTGTGTTTTTCAGTGATCGCGGCCCAACCGAGCACTATCCCATACCTCAGCGCCCTGCTGCCCTCGGAGCTGGAATTACAGACTCTGGAGGAGACGGACTCCTCTGAGCAGGACGACCAGACCGACGGCGAGAACGCAGTAGGAAACATGATCAGTGTAAGTCCCCACTGGAACTCCCAGGGAGTCGTTACCCTCTGTGGTTTCCTACTATCCGTGTCTCTGAGTAGCCAGATTTTCCGAGATTTTCAAATATTCACTTCTTAGGAATATTTTTCTTGTTTTTTGTTATTATGCTTATGTTTCTCGCTTACTCGTGAAACGAGAGATTTTAGAGTTGCCAAGAAACATTGAACAGCTTAACACATACACTGCACACGGCTACACTCTCGACACAGATCAGCCATAGCCATCACCTTCTAAAGAACAACATACACTACAGATTGGATTCAGCTAGGCTAGATGTTTCGCCCTGTTTGCCTTCTGGTTCTAGCTCTATGCTACACCCACAAACATAGCGGCGATGTCAATCTTCTCCCTGTAAGAAAGGGGATTCAACACATTTCCCAAAATGTCATTACTCTTATCAATGTGATGTTCAAGGTGTACGGTGTCCCATTTATTTCCTCTTGCCTCACTCAGGACGACCCAGGAGCCGACAAAGAGAACGCCATGCTTCCGCTCAGCGCAGTGGTTCCTGCAGCAAAGGCCAGCGAGGACAACGTGATCGACAACCCGTACCTTCGGCCAGTCAAGAAACCCAAAGTGAGGAGGAAGAAATGAGTCGGACATGGACCAACAGACTCCCGTTTGCCACAGTGGTTGCTGCTGTGAGCCGGTCAGGAGCTGGCTGTGTGAGCCGGGACCAGCGCTGCTGTGGCGCTGCTGTGGCGCTGCTGTGGCTGTGTGTAAGCTGACTTCTATTGAAGAGAGAAATTTCCTTTTGTTGTGTTAACTATTAATATTTTCTTCAGCACTCACTTTGTTAAAATGTTGTGTAATGTCGCTTTGTAAACAACATAAATGTGTAATATACAAACTGTACAGGGATAGTCATTTTGAGAATAAAGAAAAAAAATTAAGTATTTTTATTTTACTTTTCATTCAAACATTTCTTGATAAGAACGTCAGTCTGGAACCTTAAATTTACATTTAAGGTTCAGGTAAAAAATTATGACAACATCACTTTCACAATGTATTCACACCCATCAGCTTAGTTAATAGTACAAGCTCATGTAGGCCACTTTGCTTCTGTGGTTCACGAACTCCTGTTCGCCGTTTAGCTGAAAGGAAGGAAAACGTATTAGTAAAAAGTATTAGATGTTGCTCAATATCATTGCACAGAAAATTCCTATGAGAAAATGCTTTTTTCTTATCTAGTAGGAACTGTGACATTGAAGAAGAATCAGTTTTTGGTATGTTTGTATCGGCAACATGTGAATGTCCGGAAAATATTTCCATTATTTTACCAATGCGTTTCGCCGTATTCCACACGTATGAACCCCCTTTTGTTTGTTCAACATTTGGGATTTTAACCCCTTACCTTCCTGAGGAACCTCTTCTCCATCTGAGGCAGCCTGGACCAGTCTGGCCTACCGAAGCACATCGGCCAGCTGACCTTCCTGTTAGTCGCCACCGCGTGAGCGTAGGTCCCGGGCCTATTTCACAAAACGATCTGTCAGCTTGGTTCAGCGTGTGTGCGTCTGTGTGCGTGTGCGCGTGTGTGTCTGCCTCACCCTGGACTGTCCTCGACTGCACGTGACGCAGAGTAGAACCTCTGCGCAGTCGAGTTAAAAGGTGTTTTGCCCGGCGGAGGCACCAGGGACCGGCTTTGATCCCGCTGGTACTGCTGTGGGGAGGGCGTCCCTGTCTGGTGATGAACAATGTTACAGAAGTGTAACCAAGTTCATTTAATACTAGTTGCTGGTGACTTTCAAAGTAAGATTTCCAAACAAAACACAATAAATATGTAACACTTAAATATGCAGTAACTACATTCCGCTTTTAAAAAAGTTAAACAGAAAATTCCAATAGAAATTGTTAATTCTATGTTCATAAGATTTGAGCTGTTGATTGACAAACATTGTGAATGAGTCACTTCATTGATAAATAGGGAAAATAATCACCAGAGTAATCTGTATTGAAAAGAATGATTAGTTAATTGATCCAAAGGAGCTGCAGCTCAAAAAAACTGCTTTTATATTTACGCAGTGCAAGAATATTGTTGATATAAATAGTACATAATACCGCTCACAGGGGACATTTTCTTTTAATACTAATCCATATAAATACGTAGAATGTACACTTATAAACTTCTATTGGGGAACACTGTTGCATGCAGCCTACCATCGCACCGCAGGGGGGGAAGCGTGCAGCGGTCCTGGAAGCGAGGCTGTATCCTTTCTTACTTCCCGGTGTCCTCTGTAGGTCGTACACGATGGTCCCGAACTGTGAAGAGACCCAGTCCGACCTCTTGAAACCACGCGATGGCTACACTCTCCTTCGACATGCTTTTTGAAAAACAAACCTCGTGGTTGTCATAGCAGCCGGGGCCGATGTGCGGCGCGAGCTCTCGTGACATTTGGCTTCCCAGGCGGTCCGGTGCATAATGGAGGGGAAAAAGTTTCCTCTCCTGCGAGCTGCCAAAATGTGCCCTCCGAACAGGAGCTCGGGACATTGTGGAAACAATTTGTGGGCGAAAAAGTCGTAAGAACTTGTGTCACAGCAGCACCGCTAGCGCAGCTCTGTCCCCTAGCTGGATGACGTCGTAGTGTTTTGTTTTTATGGAACTATGGCAACCGGGTTGGTACATGAATTTAGCAAACTGCGCCACACTAAAAATATATGGTTTCCTTGGTTGACGTTAAATATAACACATCACTGGAGTCCCGACTAAGATCACCATTTATATATTTTTATTTTCGATTGGGACAATGTACATTTTATGGCACATCATTACGTTTGACAAAGTCAGAACGGAGGCACGTTTTTTTTTATGAACTTGAAGCAAAGGGTAAACTCTAAACATAAATAAATATATTTTTTAAAGAAAATATTGGATGTAAGTGGAGGCACTTGATTTGTCAATAATAGCAGAACTAATTCGAGGTCAAGTATTAGCATACTGTTATAAGGCCATTCTCAAACACGGTCACAAATAGAAAAGCTCTCTTCAATTACAGGTTCTTCTTCCATAACCAGTAGTCCTTAAATTACAGTTGAGTTGGAAATATAAAAACACTCAGACGGTCCTACAGAATCCAGCAATCACATGCATGTTGGCATAAAAGACATTCTCTGTCACCAGAAATGATTGCTAATTATTTTAGGAGAAATAGCCAGCGTCTGACCAACAGTGGCACAAAGGCATCTCTTAATAAAGACGCTCAAAATCAATTAATACAAAAGGTGCATCCACTTTGGCACTTGCGAATACGGAGAGAGGAGAATGTGCCTGGAAAGATATGACATTATGCAAGAGACGGCTGTGGAACAATTCAGGAAAGAAAACTACAGGGGAGAATATTAGAGGAAAGGATCTTCAGAGAAAAGGGCCCAAGCTCACAAAAGCTACATGACAAGGAAGGACTTCCCAAGGAGGCACTGACAGACAGAGGAGTGTTTGTGTTTGGCAGCACTTCATTCTGACTGAGGCACTGAAATCGATGGACCTTTTGGGTCGTCAAATCGATCCATGGTGTTTAGCTGCATGATCATGTGCAGGCCGTATACAAAAATCCACAGAAAGAGCAGTCCGGTCAGCAGCCCCATCCAAATCCCTGGAGTAAAGAAGCCTGCACAGTCACTGGCATAGGAGAAATTTGTTCCATTGGCCAAACCGAAACCCTGAATCTGCAACACAAAATGCATTTAAAAATTCACTGAGTGAACACAATCCTAAAGAGACACTTAAAGAAACACTTAAACACATTAAAATGCAGCACTTCTATAGTCGCACCTGAAAATCAATGAAATTGAGCCTCCACAGAGGGGACGGGTTGGTTTTGTTTGCCACTAAGAGGATATCTCGGAAGCTAGTGACGGACTGGCAGTGGAAGGAATACTCCGCGGGGGCGTAGATGTTGCGGCTCCCGGTGAAAGATGAAGTTTGACCGTTTGCCTGCAGCTGCACAGAATCCAAGGTGAACCAGTTCCGTGCAGACACAGGATAGAACCGTTGACTCATGGCGAAACTGGAGATCAACAGAAGAGTGTTGCTCAACAACAGCATATCGGCGTGGAAAGAGTAATATATATTGTTACAATTGTGGTAAATGTTATTAATAAATGCATTCAATAAATATAGCCCCCGGATTAGAACATCCTTCACTCTACGCTACGGTAGTATCAAAAAATACTGAGACGGACAGAACTGCTACTGAGGTGAAGTAAAACTCGATATAATACAGAACGTAGTTTAAAATGTGAATTATGCTGAAGAATGTTTCCACGGGGGTTTCAGAGACATATTATCCACCTTCCGGCAGCTCTAAAAGCGTTTAAGCGCATTAGATCTTGTTTTTTAATGTATAATGTGTCGTTTGAGAAGTCAAGCCCCTCCTGTATGTAGTAACATATTTAAAAGATAGATATAAGAGAGGTACTTTACCTTAGAATGTAGCCTGATGAATAAGTGAGGACAAGCCTGATGTGAGAGAAGAAGAACACATTTAAAATGACATCTGTCCTTTATAAATAAAATAAAACTGAAGTTCTCTTGAATAAGCTCCAGAATGCTAACACGCTAGCCAACTCACAGTGAGTTGCTGCTGTTGCACGTGGATCCTGTCAGGGAGGGTACTTGTGCAGCGAGGTCGATCCACGCAGTCTCGCCTGTAAGGCTGATGTTGAGATTCTGGGCCCAGAGCATTACGCAAGGGTTGCCGGATACGTTAAACATGATGGGCGGTTTAACCTCGGGCACAACTGCTTGGAGCAGGGATCGCCCCGCAGGATGGACAGACAACGATGCCTCTGAAATCACCTACAGAGACAAATCTATATGGTGACGTGTGTCTTGACATTTTGACATTCGTGTGACATTTTTATTGTTTCTGATGATGGATTAGCATAGAAATCGTATAGTTCAATTTTGGTACATGATGTGCAGTTATAATTTCTTACTCGTGATGGTTTAAGTCCTGTGTATATCGCAGTGTAAAGGACATTTTTGTCTTTCATGACACTCAGAACTTTTCCAATAATTCCATCTGAGGAATGAAAAATACACTTGAGTTACACATGTCAGAAAAATACTGTACTGTGATTAAAATAGATACATTACTACAGAATGAACAGTTAAAACTCACCATTGTCATGTAGGACTTCTTTACAAGACTTGCCAAAGCTATGAAACACAGTCAAAAAGAAAGTTAGTTTTCACAAAGCTAAAAAAAAAAAAGAAGAAACTTTACAGTTACAATGACTGATGTTCTTACCTAGTACAATAAGGTAAATTGATGATCAGTAGATTGCTGGCAGAGGTGTTGATGCTCAGATGAGGCAGAGTGTCTGCGTCTACAAGCAGAGGCGAGACACCCAGCTTCTCTTGCAGCAGAGCTGGAATGGCAGAGGAATCCAACCACTCCAAAGCAGGGAACATCACTGATGAGGAAGAATGCAGCGCAGCCTGAGGAGGTGGGATTGGAAAGAATGAGCATTATTATTAGTCAGACAAAATCATCTCCATTTAAGACTCATGCATAAGGCTATAAAAACCTACCTCAAGATTTCCAAAGGCACCATCCTGCTTGTTTCCAAACACTCCACCAAAGACTGTGAAGTCATCTTTGCTTAACTGAACACAAATAAGGACAACAAAAGTGTTTACCAAGAGGAAAAACACTTGTAGCTTAATACAAACAACATCTGCAATGCAACTAAAATACAGATCAATCCCATTTATCACGACACTGATGACCTCCAGAGAACTGAACCGAGACGGTGTATTATTATAGAGGAGCTGTGAAAGGGGAAGTAATGCCAAACTCATAGTCACTTCAGAGTGAGAAGTCCGTTACGCTGCGTCACATGGGACGGCAGTGCAACTACACGTGACTCACTACTACCCCATTATACGCAGCTACCAAGGACAAACTTGATAATAGACCAGTGAAATGTATTTAAAAAAAATCTCAGAGCAGTCCATCTCCACTAAACACTTGGCTCCAATGCGTTGAGTGACATCTTGAAACCACCGTGTTTGCTACAGGTGTATTAGTCACTCCCCTTCATACTGCACATGCCACTTTAACTGCAATTCATCACTTTGTCACTTGTCACTTTGTCTCTTGTCTGTTACTTGTTTGTTAGTGCACTTTATGCTTAATATTTTGCTTTTTAATATTTAATTTTTTTTAACTTTATTCTCTTGTTTTATACTAACCCATAGCCTTAGCCTTATTCTACTAACCCATTGCATTAGCATTTCCATCCATCCATCCATCCATTGTCAAACCGCTTATCCTGCACACAGGGTCGCGGGGGGGGCTGGAGTCCATCCCAGCCAACTTCGGGCGATAGACAGGGTACATCCTGGATTGGTCGCCAGCCAATCGCAGGGCGACACAGAGACACACAACCATTCACACTCACATTCACACATCTACGGGCAATTTAAAGTCCCCAATTGACCTGATCCCCAGAGCATGTCTTTGGACTGTGGGAGGAAGCCGGAGAACCCGGAGAGAACCCACGCAGACACGGGGAGAACATGCAGACTCCACACAGAAAGGCCACTGGGCGGAATTGAACCCAGGACCTTCTTGCTGTGAGGCAACAGTGCTAACCACCACGCCACCGTGCCGCCCTGCATTAGCATTTCATTCCACTTTATTGTATTACTTGTGCACTGTTGTCTTGTCTGTCTACTGTCGCGCACTAATCGCCAAGACAAATTCCTTGTATGTTTGACATATTTTGGCTAATAAATGATTCCTGATTCCTGATAGTTTGCACGAGTCAGGGACTGACCTTATCTTGCAGGAACAACAGCACAGTGTGGGGTCCAGACTTAAAGGCAGAGGAGAGGTAGGCGGCCAGCTGCTCTTTGGATGTGATGTGACCAGCAGCAGTGGAGGCCAGTGCTGGTAAACTTGACAGGCAGGAATTATATACATTTAATAGTGATACATCTTTTGTTCTTCAAAGTTATTTATTGGAGCTATGAACAGTTGATCACGCCTAATGCCAGCCGGCAACGGTGGTAGCTATAAAATGTGTAACTTTAGTTTAGTTGAGCTAGCAACAAGTGTTAGCATATTAGCATGACGAACAGTTGGCTGATTACTAACTCTTAATTGTCTGTTTTAGGTAAAACATAAACGATACAAAATGAAATATTACCCATCGCTGGACCACATTAGGAGTGGTACTTGAGCAACGGAGTCCCCTGTGGAGAAAAGAGCGAAGAGAAGGGCAAGAAATGCCATTAGTCGCACTCGACTGGAGCACCTCGATTCTGCCATTTCTCCTTCTTCCGCAAAGCGCTGCTCACGTGACGTGAAGCAGCTGAGGGTCATGTGAGTGTTTTCCGGCTTCTGTTAGCCACGCCCACACCCGTCCTTCTGACACCGCGACAGCCAGCAGCTCGGTCCACCGTGCCTCAGAAACCCAGAGCAGTAGCAAGTCTCGCTACAAACATACTATAATTATATAGAATGTGATGCATGTAGTTTATAAACTACACAACAGCATTTAAAGTTTGTAAATACAACATACAAATAGCAATTAATGTAATCCCAAACGCATCCTAATACTAAAACACTTCACGCCACATTGACTTTTTACACTTATTATATTATACTAGATTTTATTTGTATGTATCATTAACTGTTGAGCTGGGCAATGACTTGACAACTGTCCAAGGTGCTGATACACCCTCACTTTGGGAAGTCCACTCCCGGTGGCATCGGGTCCATCATCCTTATATGGTCCATTAACTAACTACAGGAGAATTTGAATATACAAAAACAATCGAGGAAGTAAGTTTTTAAATTATGTTTTTTTTATTATTAACGGGCTTGCGCGAGGTCAGTCAGCGAAAGCAACTCCCATCCACACAGCTGTGGTGGCGGAGGGATATCACTGCGCCTACCACTGGAAAGGAAGGATAGACAAGAAAATAGAGCACAGAACAAGACTAAATATATTTAAAATGGCAAAAACACGTCAAACTCGAAGCCAAAGTATGCAACAAAACTGAGCACACATTTAACCGCGCCACAACTCCAGTTTTAAGCGAGACTTCCTTTTACAGTTAACGCTTCAGTCTGAGTCCATTGTCTAGCGTGGTGGGAAGAGAGGAGGAGAATACGCACTATTTCCCGTCGCGCACTGACATTGTTCTAGAGTGCTCCACGACCAGGGCCATCTTTGGTCGTCCTCGCCGGTGACAGTCTGGACAGTTTATTCCATTGGTCATTAATGCCGAATGACTATTAAACAATAATACGATAATAACAGCACTACGGGCAGAGAAAAGGGAGCTTAAACCCCCGGTTTGTGTAAACCCGCCGGCCAATTCTTTCCTTCCAACACCCTTCATTTCTCACGGCAAAAAGAGGGCGAGACGGGAAAGGCGGTTGATACAACATGGATGAGGAATATGATGTGATCGTTTTGGGCACCGGACTCACGGTAAGTAGTCGGGCTTCGTTCGCTTGTTCGCACGGAAACGAACCGGATTCCGCCGTGCGAGTTAAAGCATAAAAACGTGTAAATGCGCGCGTCGATCCTCCCCAGAAGCGTGAGATCCATCCCGCATCCCGGCGTCCGTGTGCTCGTGACACCACGCAAGATTGTCACAAAGAAAAACAAATAATGCTTTTTTTTAAATGTACTTTGACGTGCGTGTGCATGACAGGAAGCGAACACGGCGTCCTGATTTTTATTTAATTTTTTAATCTGTTTTATTGTTCCCCCAGCCTGCTGCGTGTCGCGTTACACCCAGGAGCATCTTTTAGGCGTAACCCCACAATGTGTCATGGTCCTCTTTGCATAGACAGGCCTCCATCCTGAGGCTGGCGCAGGCCTGAGCACGGCTGCATTAAACGACCGAGCCCGTCTGCGCTGCTGCTGCTCTCGCCGCGGTTCCCTTCTCCCATCGCGGCCGATGCGGCAGAAATAACGCCCGATACATTTGATTAGATATTTCTCCACATTGTCACGTGCATAAAAGTCAACATTTCTTAAAAAAAGAAAAAACACACACCGGTTTTGTAACAGGTGTTGAATATACTTTTGTGTATTTGTATTTCGTGATGATATGTTTTTACGCGCGTGTGTCTGAGTATAGACATCATTACAGATATTGTTATCCCTGTTATTATTTAACAGGACAGATCTTTTCGCGCATGCGCACAACGTTTCTCTTGTCCTCCCTGCACCCTCCTGTCAAAACGGCCGCTGATGTCTTCTGTTAAACATTTGGCCGACAGCTCTGATAAGTCATGATCTGATCGTGTCATTTCCGAATGGATGTTATTGACTTTTGAATATCGCTCCATGCAGGAATGCATTCTGTCCGGCATCATGTCTGTGAACGGGAAAAAGGTTCTACACATGGACAGGAACCCCTACTACGGTGGCGAGAGCTCCTCCATCACCCCTCTGGAGGAGGTAAAGGCCCCCTGGGATCTATAACAGCAATCAATATATTTTATTTCCTTCTGCACATCTCAGTTTACCTCCTGTGTCATTGTGTGTCAGCTGTTGTTTTTATTGTCCTCATTTGCTCGCCGCCTTATCCTCTGAAATGATTACGCTTCTGTCAGCTTCATAGATTTTACCCTCGCAGGATGTTGTTTATGCTTCCCCTTTGTTTTCCACAGCTGTACAAGCGCTTCAGTCTTCCAGATAGTCCGCCCGAGTCCATGGGCAGAGGAAGGGACTGGAACGTAGACCTCATCCCCAAGTTTCTCATGGCCAACGGTCAGTGCAAAGTCTCTGATTTTGTTCATCAAGAAAGAAATATATCTCCATAAAAGTCCCTCACCTCAAATAACACATACTTGGTCTTACTAATAACGCCCAATTAACCAGTCAGAACTGTCTTGATGCAATCAAGGCACGATTTTTACAAATAATAAGCTGTAACATGTGTTTGTCTGCGTGATTGCAGGTCAGCTGGTGAAGATGTTGCTATACACAGAAGTTACACGGTACCTGGACTTTAAGGTAGTGGAGGGAAGCTTTGTCTACAAAGGCGGAAAGATCTACAAGGTTCCTTCAACCGAGACCGAAGCACTGGCTTCAAGTGAGCTGTTCAAACATCTCTGTGTCTAAGATATCGAGAGTACGTCAATCACTTATGGGCGATCATGTTCGCATTATATCAGTAAGCCTCTGATTGAATTTCCAGATCTGATGGGAATGTTTGAGAAGCGACGATTTCGGAAGTTCTTAGTCTTTGTGGCGAACTTTGACGAGAACGACCCCAAGACCTTTGAAGGCGTGGACCCCAAAACCACAACAATGAGGGATGTTTACAAGAAGTTCGACCTTGGCCAGGATGTCATTGACTTCACCGGCCACGCCCTGGCCCTCTACAGGACAGACGAGTAAGGACATCAGCATGACGCCAAACATAACCTGCATGCATAATGTTAACATTAATGTAACAAAATAAAATAAAGCATATATGCTGCAATTGAAGGTTAATAAAACATATTCTTAACAAGACTGGCTGTACAATATGCATATAATTGCAATTGCATAATTTCTATTTATTGCTACTAACCATCTTCCCTTGCTTGCTTCTTTCTCCTTCAGCTATCTTGATGTTCCCTGTTTGGAGACGATCAATCGTATCAAACTGTACAGTGAGTCGCTGGCACGGTATGGAAAAAGCCCCTACCTCTACCCCCTGTATGGTCTGGGAGAGCTGCCCCAGGGATTTGCCAGGTTAATAATATATTTTCTATTAATAGCGCTTTATTATAGATTACAGCTTTTCTTGAATGGTAAATTCCAAAGCGCTCACCCACTCTCGGATTGAATGGCTCTCATTCACCTGTCATATTAGGTTGAGTGCAATCTATGGAGGGACCTACATGCTGAACAAGCCAGTGGATGAGATAGTGATGGAAGGTGGCCATGTGATTGGAGTGAAGTCTGAGGGCGAGGTACACAGATTTATTGACAATGATTATGCAGTTTTAAAATGAGTCGTTAAGTTTATCCAAGCAGAGGACCAAGTAAGTCCTTTGAAACGCTCCGCGTGCATTGCCGTGTCATTCCGGCTTCAGGTGGCTCGTTGTAAGCAGCTCATCTGCGACCCCAGCTACATCACGGACCGCGTGCGGAAGGCGGGTCAGGTGATCCGTGTGATCTGCGTCCTCAGCCACCCCATCAAAAACACCAATGACGCCAACTCCTGCCAGATCATCATCCCTCAGAATCAGGTTAACCGCAACTCCGGTAAGGACCATCCTCGGTGTTTTTCTAATCAGCAGAGTTTAGCTCTTAGAAAATGTAGTAGTGAGACCAATTACATAGATGCCCTTTGACCTGTGAGGACAAATCAAGTGTGCATATTTCCAGAACTTTATAGCCTTTAGCCACAAAGCGCATAAACATGTTGAATATTCAAATATTAGCATTTTTTTAAATGACTAAAGAGGCTACAATAAATGTTCTAATACCAATAATTGATGATTTGACTAATGTCTGTGAAAGGGTGCAGTTATAATATAGTATAAATGTTGGGGGTAGCAAAAAATATGAATAGAAAGAAACACCCGTGTTTTTCCATGTCTGCCGGCAACATAAATAAGCCACTATTTACTCACAAATTCAGCATATAAACCTTTATCTGTGATTATATGCGTGAGTATTGTGTGTACAGCAGAAAAAAAGAAAAGTTCCTGATGCCTTCGAACTCTCCACCTCTTCTAAACCTTTGTATCAATTCTCCAGACATCTACGTGTGCATGATCTCCTATGCTCACAATGTGGCGGCCCAGGGGAAGTACATCGCCATTGTCAGCACCACAGTGGAAACCAGCGAGCCGGAGGCCGAGATAGAGCCCGCCCTGGAGCTGCTGGAGCCCATCGACCAAAAGTCAGCGTTTCAATAATTCACGCAGGATACAACACTAAACGTGGCGACAATGGGATAATAATTGTTAATGCAGTTTGCGTTTGCTTTTCTTGACAGGTTTGTGGCTATTAGTGACCTTTATGAGCCCACAGATGATGGTACTGATAGCCAGGTAAGAGGAAGAACGTTTACCGACAAAAAGAAAATGTACCATCGCGTTTCAGTGAAGAACTCTATTACCCAATTCTGTTTCTTTTATATGATAACTCACTGTGTCGTAAAAGTTCGGTATTGTGTCTGTATATGTTCAGATACAGCACATGTCTTTATATTACTCGTATTTGAACTAAATCACACATCGATAGCTCGCCACACAGCCCAGCAAACCCTTCATCCATAACCACAATGCTACGTCTGGCCGAGGGTTGCTGAAAAGCCTTCAGCTCCCAGATGAATATTTGCAATGAATCGACATTCATGACACAGAGTTAACATGCTAACAAGCTTAAGTAAGATGCTGACCTTTGCTAAACGTCAGCAGGTCAGCATTGTCACTGTGAGCGTGTTAGCCTGCTGCTGTTAGCATTTTTCTCACATCACATAGCCGCTAGCACACGGCTGTAGATCCTCAATCCTGTCATCCCATCTTTCCCAGGTCTTCGCCTCGAGGTCCTATGATGCCACCACTCACTTCGAGACCACCTGCAACGACATTAAGGACATCTACAAACGTATGACCGGCAGCGACTTTGACTTTGAGAACATGAAGCGCAAGCAGAACGATGTGTTTGGGGAGGATGAGCAGTGAGCGGTAGAGGCAGAGGGAGGTCCGGGAGAGGAGGCTGGGCGATAAAACGGGGCGAAGGAGGCGTCAGAGAGCCGGGGCGCAGCTCTCTAAAAACAGAATGGTTTGCTCCTGAGCTCCGCCTGCCCTCAGCCGTTTGCCTCCTTTTCCCTCATGTCCCCTCTCTCTCTTGAAACACGTTCAAACACATAAATGCTCACAAACCCACACACAATCCTTATCTCTGTCACTGAAAAGCAGGGTTGATATGGTCTTTCATTCCATTGTAGAATTTACAGTATAATCATGTCTTAACTATTCTCATTAGAGGTGAATTTATTTCTTGTTGTTGGCGATTTTCACCGCATTTCATTCCTCCTGTAACGTCTTTCTCGTTGGGTGGAGGGAGGATTGATGGGACTGAGAAGTCTGAACTGCGAGCTCTGACATGAGAGATCTGTAATGGCTTAGTGTAGAATCCACTTGACATGCATGCATCTTTTACACACAGTAGTATTGTACATAGATTCAAAGTAACACAACGTATGAAGGCTGGACCATTCCACACATCGCTCCTGTCAACCCTGCTTTCACTTCCCTCTTATTCGGTCTTTCTACCTGTTTTTTCGTCAAAAGACATCGCTCGTTTTGGCAAAATCTGTTGGTCGGGCGATAAAAATAAATGTGATGAAAATGACATATAAATGGGCTGTTCTGTCAACTGATAGTGCTCACTTTGCAATGCTGTTGTGTTCCCTGTGCTAGCAGGCAAGCTAACCAGTGGCTATTAACTGTCACCCACCTCCCTGTCACCTTGTTTATCTCTGTTGTGTGATTTAATTTTGGAATTGAATAGTTTACTTTCTAACATTTTAAATTATTGAAGAGTTTTATTTCTATATACTTGGTGCCCATTTCACTGGCTGAATTTATGAAGTTTACAGATCTGAGGTTGAAGCTGTGGTCTCCAAGGGGAACATTGGGGAAAAAAGGGAATGTCTGAGGCAAAAGAGGCATGGAGAGGATTTCTAAGTATTCTGAAAGGTTTGGAATGAGCGACAAAAGACGATTACAGCAAATTGTACTCCGAGAAAGTATCTGATGGGCGGAAAAGAATGTATGTAGAAAATGTTTTGGTATATTGGAAAGTTTCACTTTTGAGTGAAGAGGATGAAGACTGAAATCTCGGCTCATAGTGAAAAGCACCAGGTCGTGTCTTGGTTGTTTCAACCCTTGTGTTGTGTCATTTAGGTCATTCCCTGGAGGACTAAATCCTATGGAAAACTGTTGTTGTTAAATAGAGGGAAAAGCTGGATATTCCCATAACTTTCAAAGACTTTGTAGCAAAGGTATGGAGCCACAGTTGCAGGTGCTGCCCCTCAAAAACAAACCAAGATGCTTTTATTTGGTTTTAGCCTTAATTTGGGGTCTTATTCAGATTTCTGGGGCGCTTTGTTTAGACGAATTGTTAGTGGCAGGTCGGTCTGGTGCCAAAAATGGTGTTGCTGTTATTGGCAAAAGTTACTGACAAGTTTGTTGTTGCCTGTTGTTCCGGAGATCTGACAGAATACTATAGAAGGGGAATTGTTTTCCAATAGGGCTGTTGTTGTACAGCTGGGTGGAGGCAGTCCTCATATCTCTGCAATGCACGTTCACTTTGCTGGTTTGATCTGCGGCTTGTTACACATCAAACAGATGAGACGCCCCGATCGTTTCCTTTAAAACGCTACAGCAGTTCCATCTCACTTCATCCACCGCGACAAATCCCTGAGCAACTCTAAAGTAAAGTTACCCCGCGTGAGGGGTGTTTACGTGTCTTATTGCTACGCTCTATTAATTTGAATTTCACTGACGTGTCGTGAGAAGGTTTATGTCAAATGCTGAATACGCTATGCTAATACATTATGTTCTGATGATTAAAAAAAAAAAGATTTTAAAAGGGATGCACACAGGAATTCTTTATTTTTGTTCGTTCTTTGCTGTGTCACTTGTTACGTTCACGTCATCCAGTGATCATTCCGGTGTTGCATTCTGACGTAATATTAATATTAGCGTTCCTAAGAAACGGGTTTTGAAGGAAGAATTGAAACAACAGTCAGTCATGGAGCTGAAATCCAAATCTCTAGAGCTGTGTGTTAACGCTGTGCATCGTTCAGCAACGTGAGTGGTCTTTGTTCTGGAAACGTGTTATCTGATAAGAAACTGGAATACCGTTTACTTTTTAAACATTGACATATCTGAAGTCCTCCCTCCCGTGCCCTTCCACAGCATCAGATACTATCCTCTCTTTCTATTTATTTATTGAAAACAAAACCCTCATGTGTGGTTGTACTGTTTTAATTTTCATCCAGTTTGGCATATTTGGAAACCACTATTGACTTGAATATCCCTTGAAATTGACAAAAGAAATAGTTCAGGCTAAGTAGTAGAAAACTTACTGTCCTTGTTTGATCACTAGTTTGTGAGCAATGCCTAATGTCTTGTGTAACAAATAAAATGAATTAAACTATGAATGAAATGATAGAAAAATAAAAAGCACATGGCAAAACTGGAGAAAAACCCTGATTTTGTTTGTATCCTCTTGACGATTCAATTGAAATATCCAGGTGAGATTTGTGGGATGAGTATGTACATACAATAATATTTCATACACAATAGCACAATACAACCCACCCAATTACAAGAATTTGTTTAATAATCATTTCAGGATGAAATATGACAATAATCTAATAAACATCTTTTAAGAGTCAGTGAGCAACACATTTTGGAGCGGGAACAAACTGCTGCAGCGCAAATGGATATTTTGTGGTTGCCATGCAACCACTGTCATAGATACAGAACGCAGCGTTTGAATCCAAAACCAAATCCGCCTAATGCACAACAGCATCATTGAGTCCTTCATTATATTCCTGCACCCATGCTCCCTCACTACTCTTATAAAACGTTATTCCCTCTCCGGCTCTTTTGTAACCACACCTGTTGCATCGCTCCTAACACAATATTACACAACGAGAGGCGCCGTGTCATTTTTAGCCCCACGCAGCCCCAATTCCTGCTCATCCCGTGTCCAATAACCATGCCATGACAACTGCCGTGACCTGAGCTGAGCTGTGAGGAGGCGGAGCGGACTCAGGTAGAATTACACACCATCCACCACGTAGCTCTCGTACGGGTGTCCCAGTAGTCTCTCCACCTCCGCCTTGGGCACCACCCAACACTTGCCCACGTGGTGTTTCCGCAGCGTGTCTTTCAGCGTCTTGTCCTGCAAGGTGACCGGAATTTCCTCTGATCCCCACCTCAGGAGTCCCAGAGCTGAAATTGCCTGATTGTGCGCGCCGCCACCCAGATAATCTTTCACCGGCGTTACACTAATGTCAGCGTGCTGAAACTGGCCTGTAGGAGGAGAAAAGACAAAGGTGGAGAGTAACCAAGTGCTTTTATTAAAACAGAGGTACTTGTACTTAAGTATTTCAAGTTCATGCTACTTTATATTTCTGCTCCCCTACATTTTGGAAGAAATTATTATGTACATCTATCTGACCAAATTTGATTGTAAAAAACTTTAAATACGATTACAAAATCCCCAAAACACTGTGTTCAAGAGTGAACCAGTATTTTTCTAACCTTTTAACCTTTCAGATTCAGTACATCAGATACTCATGACTTATTCATGTTTGACTTTTGATACACATAGCGTATTTGGATGATAACCCTCCTGAAGGAAGCATATTGTGTGTGTTGGTACTTCACAATGTGTACGCACCCAGCAGGCCTTGGGTCGAAGCGGACAACCCCCGCCCGTCTGTGATGTAGAAACCCAGGTGAGCCATCTGCAGGTAGCTGGGGTGATCGTACTGGTGGAACATAACCAGGAACTTCACACCCTTGTTCAGCTCGATCCAGCAGCTCCGGTGGTTGTCCACGGTGACCGTCGCTCCCCGCCTCGCCACGGACCCTTGCTGATTGATGGGAAGAATGTCCCGCCCTTCCCCTTCCACCACCACGGCGTCCAGTGAGAGGCTGATCATGACCTCACCAGAGCCCCCCGCGGCTGAGGAAATAGTCAGCCGGTCAAAGTAAGTTCGGGGGCGTAACTCTGCGCCGCGCTTGGGTGGAGCCCCCATCAGGTGGCCGTCTACAATGATGCCTTAAAGGAGGAAGGAGCAAGTACGCATATTAGTTGATTTTAAAACGTGTATGTTTGTATGCCTTACTGAAATGACAGATCATGTCTGTGAGCGAACCTCTCTCAGGTTCCTCGATCAGTCTAAGAACGTCATTCGCTCTGCCGTCTACTGTGAAACACAGGTTCTGGTGCAGCTTTGGTAGCTGGACCACAAAATGAGGATCTCCATCAACTACAACAGACAACACTTGAGCATTATTACAACATAGGTACATAAGATATTCAAATTGAGAAAAAAAAGTAAATTGTTAAGTAACCTGATGAGGAGAAGACCCGAATGGTGCTCAATCCGGAGGGAGAACTGTCTAAAAGCACAAGACATTCAACTAAAGGACAGTCCTCCTCCCTCCCAAACACGGAAATCAATGACAGGACTACACAGATATCACTACAATAAATACATATAGTTTAGGACATGCAGCTGCTAACAACAGCCACTGAATACTTACCAAATGATGAGTCTTCAGTATCATCCCCTGGAAAGAAGTCAGATTATGTATTTTAAGGGCCTAAACAGCACAGAACAACGTCCAATAATGTTTTGAAACTTACAGGCATCGTAGTTGAGATCGTAGTCGTAGTCATAGGTTGCATCATAGTCTGGGAATCGAAGGCAAACACCTAAGTTCACTTCACGTTCTCCTACTCGTGAGGGAATTTAGATTTACAGCGAGCAACAGTATTGCAAGAATGAAAGGTTATACTCACCTTTCACAAGGTCGATATCTGAAAGCGATGAGAACGTAGAATGAAATGAAAAATGTCAGAATAAAAAGTGGTCTGTCATTAAAACACATGAGAAAAGAGAAAATTCCCTCTCACCTTTTCTCTGAATGAAGGTAGAGACATCTAGTGGACGGATAAAGAAAATTCAATTGGCAATAAATATACAAAAGGCAGCATCCTTGGTATGCAGCTTGAAACTGGCCTGGCAATATCAGATTAGACTCGCCGGGCTCAACAGGGCGTAACCTACCCAGAAGCCCGGCTGCTTCCCACAGCCGCGGCCCATCTGTCACGCCGGGCATGGGGGCAAAGGTGGCCGACACGAAGGTTGCGATGCTCGCGTCTGTCCTGTTGTCGTCCGCAGCCGGAGCTGCAGCCGGCGCGGGGGAGGTGAGCGGAGGCGACAGCTCGGGCAGGGCGCTGCTGACTTCCCCCACATCTGGAGCAGGTGTGGGAGGGTTTGCCGCCTGCGGCAGGTCGGGCGCGGCCCCTCTGACAGGAGGCAGGTCAGGCCTGAGAGGTTTCCCGGGCGGGAGCGCTGGGTCGGTTCCGAACAAGCCGAGGGCCGGCGCGGTGCTGGTGGTGAACGCTGTCGCTGCGCTGGCCGTGGTGGTTTTGAAGGCTTTGGGCTGCTGGGTGGAGACCTTCCCAGGTGCAGGGGGCGCCGCCGTTTTGAGAGCTTTCAGCGGTGTCTTGCCGACGGGAGGGTGGGGGGGAGGAGAGACAGTTCTGGTGTCGTTGTGGGAAGGAGTGGGCTTTTTACCCGAGAAAGGAGCTGGGGCCGTCTTGACAGAGCTGGGACTCGAAGTCGTGGTTTTCCTAGACGGTGCTGTCTTTGCCGTGGACGTTGGTCCTGAGATTTTCTTAGCCCGCTTTGGAGGTGCCCGAGGAGGGTCTGGTTTGTTTTTTCCAGAATTGGGGTTAGAAGCTGAAATGGACTTTGCATGACCAGCAGCTAATATTTTGCTGGTGGCGGTAGTTGTCCCTGTTGTGGTCACAGTTGCTGCAGTGGCAGGTTTTGCGGTGGTTGGAGTTTCTGCGTCTGGCTTAACTACAACTAAAGACGTGACAGGTGTTACGAAGTTATACTTGAGGGACAGGTTGGTGGCCTTGTCTGCCAGCAACCTTTGAGTCGCAGGGTCGGTAGCATTAAGTTTGGCCAATAAAAGCTCTTTGATGGTGAAATACGCCCAGAGACGGCGCACAAAACTGGATATTCCTTCCAAACCTCCCGGACATTCGAGTGATTCTGCACTCCCATTCCTCTTGGCGTGAGAAACCAACACATCATTCTCCAAATTGACACGCTGCGTTACGTCCGTGGCAGACATCGACACCTTTAAGTCCTTGACCCCTGGTTTGACCCTCCCAGCCACCACCAACTCCGAGCCTTGGAAGTAATTTGGGAACAGGGCGTGCGTGATGTCGAACGCCTGATCGTCCAGATACGACAGCTGGATGTCCGATAGCAAAGGGCTGGCCACTTCGTCAAAGAAACCCTTCAGCTGCAGGGCTGCGTCTGCGTCCTCGTACACCATTCTCGCCACGCCGCGGTTGTCCAGAGCCAGGCGTTTCAGGAGGAGGAAGTCCGCATCGTCTCCAAAGGCCAGGCCGAACAGAGAGGAGGAGCCCAAAGCTTTCTTGGCGTTGCTGAGGATGGTGTCGCCAGCTGTTACTCCAATGGTTGCCTCCCCATCAGTAAGGAAAATCACCAGAGGGACACGAGGGGATGGAAGGTGATTGGGGGAGGCGGAGGAGGGAGGGTTGACGAGCAGCGCGGCTGACAGCAGAGCTGCATTGATGTTGGTCCCTGATACAGACGAGTGGATCGATCCGGTTTGAAGGAAGAGAACAAACAAACAATTAAAGAAGTTCAATAGAATAATCACGTTGGCTACAATGCCATGACCCAACCGGGATCCTATTTCAACTCACATCCCTCTGCGATAATCCTCTTCACGAAGTCTTTGGCATCGCGTACATTCTGCCGAGTCGCCCGGACCGTCCGTCCTTTCTTCCAGGTGTAAACCTTGTCTGAGAAGGTGATGATATTAAAGTGGTCTCCCTCTCTAAGGTCCCCGAGAATGATGCTCATTGCCTGCTTGGTCTACTGACAAAAAATATCAGAATTATTGGCAGAATTTTGACATTATCTTTGCAGGATGTTGCTTTTTTTTTTTAGCAACTTTTGTAATCGATGAGGTTTGTCCACTTTACCTGTTTTATCTTAGTTCCTATCATTGAGCCACTGACATCAATGACAAATATAACGTCCTTTGGAACCACAGGAAGCCCTCTGGGTGCAAAGTAATGCACAAAGTAGCCATCATACACCTGAGAGATTATACAAAATAAATGGGAGGAGAAAACAAAATTTACTGGTACCAATAACACATTTCTTTATTGTAAGAAACACTCAGGTGTATTTCTCCTGACCTGGACTTCCCCCAGGGGGTCTCTGAGGTCCACATCGTACTGGATGATGAAGTCTGCGTTAAGACCTTTGGAGGAGATGCTATTCTGCTGCTGTATGGTGGGACTGTAGCGAACCCGAGCACAGCCGGCGCTGTGCTCAACGTGAGTGGAGGCGGGGGGGTCTGCATCACCTGGAGGACAGCAGGAATTACAAATGGTAAATTTAATGGTAAAAAGTAGGAATTACAATGGTAAACGTTTTGGGAAAGGTTCTCATTTGCTTCTCTGACTAAAGGTAGATACCACTGTCAAGTGTATCATTTGATATGAAGCTATAGCAAGCGGCCAATTAGCTTAGCTTAGCACAAAGACTGGAAACAGGGGGAAACAGCTAGCCTGGCTCCGTCCAAAGTTAAGAAAATGTTTCCGCCAGAGCACGTAAAGCACCTATAACTTTATATCTTGGTTGTTTTTGCTTTCCGTAGAAATTGTGCCGTATGAGTGATTATTGGACGCGTTATTTCTTGGGTAGATTTTCTTCCATGAAATAAACGACTCATATTTTACCCTGAGCAGTGTTGGAGATCAGTCGGCTGGTCTTGAGCGGAAAGGCCTTGATGAAACTGATGCCCGTCCGCTCGGTTATGCTGACCTCCAACGTGAGGTTCTGCACAGGCTGCCCGGGCCTCAAACCCAAACTGAGTTCATAGCGGCCGAGTCGCCGAGGCAACAGCTCCTCGTAGGACAGGGAGAAGGACATCAGGGCTCCCGGCGGCACGCTCACGGCCACGCGAAACTTTTCAATCTCCCTTTCTCTGGAAGGCAGCAGAGCAATAGGAAAGCACAGCTCACTCTGTTGAATCGGATGTCAGTCTCCTCTTAAGACATTGCATTATGACTATTTTATTTCTGTTAAATAATAATACAAAAAATGTATATGGGACTGACTTGGTAGCAACAAGGCCAGCTGTTTTTCCTTGCTTCTTAGCGGCATCGTACATTTTCCTGGCAGCGGCTCTTTCCTTCACCTGGGCCACGTACACTTTGCCATTAGAAGTGCTGATGGGAAAAGGAGGGAAAGGGAAGAAGAAACGGCTTTCTGTGTCAGACACAGTAACCTGATTATTTTTCAGTCATAAACACGCTTGGCCTGCACTCAGTCGACTTCATTTTGCGGCTCGTATTTCCCGAGGAATCACTAAGCTGCTTCACAAACACGCACCGAGCGTGTTTACGAATGGAATCCATAACAAAGTTATGCGGAGGTGGCGTCGTAAACGGGGCGAGTGGAAAAGAGTAATTTCCTCCCCGAAAACAGCATTAATGAAGAGAGACAGGGGGGGGGGGGGGGGCAAATGACGCTCCCGGGGAATGCCGCTTCTCGGGGCAACACCCTCCAAAATCCCAACTGAAACCACTGCTCCAGAGTGCGACGTGGTTCACACAGTGCACAGTGGGCCCTGATGTCACGTGACGAGGTGCTAAATTAAGGTCAAGGCCTTTGAACGAACAGGTCCAAAGAGAAAAACCAAACGAAACATCAAGGGCTAACGAAAATAAACCCGACGGCTTGAAGAGGGTCTTGTTTGAGAAACAGAGCACAATGGCAAGAGCGGGAAAACGGGTGGGGGGGTGCGCTTGTGTTTGTGCGTGTGGCCGCGTGAGAGGGGGTTTGAAGGTGTGTACATCAGGGGCCTACACGCGGAACACAGAGTTCTTAGTGAGACACAGAAATGCCAAAGAACTTACGCAACTCATTTGCCACAGGCTTTTTTTTGCTCCCCGATGTGCAGACGACTGGACGGGTCATGAGTGTGAAAAGATGTGTAGGTTTTCGTGTCAACGAAAGACAGAAGTGAAGGATTGTGTTTGTAAAAAAACTACAAACTCACAAATACTGGAATCCACATCCACCTCAATGTCGGCACGCATGCGATGTAGGCGTGTGTGTGTGTGTGTGTGTGTGTGTGGTGTAATTTCGCTGGCAGGCTGCCTTAGTAAACTGGGCACGGGAGAAAAGAGGTACTGGGCAAACTCCTGTCATTTTCTCTATTAACTTTCTGCCTCGTGTTTACAAAGCCTGGCATTCATTTGCCCTCAGGTTCCCCCTCCTCGTGACCTGCTTCCGTTCCCAAATCCAGCTCAAGGTTTTGGTGTTTGGTCTGGAATGTTGACTTATTTGTTTTGTTTATATTTAGCATTTTTGAAAGAGCGCTGAGCAAACTCTGTCAGTAATCAAATTATGCATCTTTCCTCTGAACCGGGATTCTAGTCCCTGACATAATTCTTCAAAAGTTTAATTCCTGGATGCCGCCAATTAATGAGCACATTAAGATTTATTTTTATTTAAAGTTGCACATCAACATCATTTATGTAGTCAATAAATTATATTCCCTGACAGTACTTTTGACTTACAATGATTGTTTCTATTTCCTGACATTCCTACGGATGATGGAGACCAGAAGTAAGAGGAAATTGAAATACGGACTCCCAAATACACAATGTAATAAACAATTGCGTTGTATGACACACTGTAGACGAGAAAGCAACGACTCACATGGTGAAGTTGGAGATGAAAGCAGAGGAGGGAAGGTCCACCTCAAAGGCCGCCTCCTTGGTGATGGGCAGCTGGTTCCATACTGAACTCTGGACGGTGGTAATAGCATAGCGGGACACCACCGAACACCTCACATGGTAGTCAGTCACCTTCAGCTAGCGACACCACAAATATATGCATTCATCTCTCAAAAGTTGGAGGTGAGAAGTGAAGCAGAGAATTCGTTTGATATCACATGTAGGTGCACCGCACTGTTTAACAATTATTGTGACCCACTGAACACAAATGGAGCTGATAGCAGTGAAAGTATTCCCTATATTCTTATAAAAATAAATAGTAATATCATTCAGTTCACCACAAATCTTCTCAATCGCAATTTCTCAATTTGGAAATACATTAAAATAATACATACATACAATACATACATTCTTTTTTTTAATGGACGGGTGTATGATTAAATGTAATCTGAAAAGTAACCCTCAGACAAATGCAGTGCAGAAAACAGTGTAATATTGATATAGTGGCGTAGAAATAATGGGTTGGATAAAGTACTCCAGAAAAATTCAGTACCTTGAATTAATACGCACATTCAGTACTTCAATAAACGCAGGCTGACTCACAGATAAGAACCCCCAATCAGGCAGGACTATAACACACGATACTTAAACGCAGCGTGGAGACTAGCGTGGAGGTTTGTCTCCCTCTTTCCTCGCCCTGTTTACTCGGGTAACGCCGGCGCCTGCTGGCGACCAATGTGGTTCGCAGCCGGAGGGAGAGAGACACCATCGGCCCCGCGGCGCACTGGCATTTAGGAAGGCTGCGGTTTTGTGCTTTACGAAACCCAAAGTGTGCTTGAAGGGGATTGATTCAGAGTCAACCTCCATGCAAACTGCAGGGGGAAAGGCATCGGAGGCACTGGTGACCCCCTGAGAGGTGCTGATGGTTGTCAGTGGTAGAAAAAACAAAGTGCTCGTCATCGAGTGCTGTATTTATACAATTCTGACGTGCAAACTCATTTCGTGACACTGCGTTCACTATTCTACATTTCCGAGGAAAATATTGAATGTTTTACTGCAGTACATGTGTTTGACAACTGATAAATACATCTTTTAACAAAAAACAAAACAAAACATGAGCAGTTAATAAAATAAAATAACCAGTGGCTTAAATAGCTTTGATAGATGGCCCATGTCTCTAGTTGTTATTGACTTTTCCTCTACAAATGATTCAGATGGTTTCATTTAAATAAAAGTTTGGGATTCTGTATTTTAAAATTTCCCTAAAAATGCTTTATCATTTGATAAATGTGTAGAAAACCTGTAATAATATTTGTTTCTCTTGCATTCATTGATGCTGCATGACACAGTTTAACAACAGTGAAGAAAGAGAGAATATCAAATTCTAAAGTACCAATATTTTGTATTTTATGAAACAGAACTTATGACAGTAACATCAAAAACATACCACTGCCTTTGCTGGTTTGCTTTGACGTCTGACTCTCTGGAAAAGAAACAAGCAAGTTAATCGAGTGCATTTTGTAAATCGTGTGTTTAATTAAACCAAGTGGCACATTTTTAAATTGCATAATATAATTGAATACCACCATTATATGTTCAAAACGCCTCCTTTTTGTAGTGATCTCCACAACCCGCCTATGTGAGGATTGGTTCAGGATTTTGTGTCAAAATAGTCTGAATCAAAGCCATTCATGAATAGAGGGAAGTGGAACTGGAAATAAATGTGTTCACTGTATACAAGGCCTGTGAGGGCTGCACGGTTTGCTCGCTATGCTCATTTTGCACACAAGTCATTGCTGTGTCAATACATTACCACATATGCTGGTCATTAATGGGAATTCTACATAAACAAGTCCAAGAGTGGAAACCATTTATAGGAAAACATGTACATCGTATCATTGATAAAAAGAATAGGTGTATTTAGGCTGAATCACTATTCTGCTTGTATTAGAGCTGCTAAAGCTAATTTAAGGAAAATTAACTATTAAATCCTTAATAGAATTTTGCAGACCAATCAACCACCCATATGTTACTGAGAGTGGTTGAAGTCTAGCTGTTACTGTTTAAAAGTTATATTTTATTATTGTTAAACAATTACCCAGTCTTGAATCAGCCTGGTTTAACTACACCAATGACTTTAGACACAAGAAGGAAAAGAGGTAAATAAAAAGAATATATATATATCTACCTGTAGAAGATAATCTGCTCCAAGGTTTGCTTCATAATCCTTTGATAATCCCTCTTGCATGCAGAAAGCGAAGAACACTAAAATGCACTGGACCTTGAAGTTCATCGTGTCATCCATAGTCATTCAGATTTCAGACTCCAAGGTGAAGCAGCCTCACGTTGTCAGCGGGACTGAGGCAGCTCGTGCAGCAGGACGCTGTGCACATACCTCACATTTTACACGAGTGATCTCGTGCGAGGGGCAGTCTCTCCCCTCCCTCGCCTCGGCCTAATTCAATCCTAGTTTTACTGCTGTGAGAATAAAATCTGTTCCAATAACTGTTGAACATCCGTCAGATGCTGTGAACCAAAAAGAAAGATTTCAAAAATGGGGAAAAAAACTTGTAGCTCAGTCAAAGAAAATCCCACTCGGTTGGAAGAGAGCTGCCCCCAGGTTGTGATCAAGCATACTGGAAATATCGCAGACTGCTGCCACCAAGGTGCACGAGAAACGAGGGATTATTAACCCTTGCTCTCCTGTTTGGGTGAAACCACCCCGCTACAAAAACACCTCCCCTCCCCCTTCTTGTAGGAGTGTTCCCACTGAATGTCCCAGTCTGACTTTTATTCCTTAAATCGCTCCCAAATGTGAGTTTTCATCTCCCTCGAGCACAGACCCATTATTTGCAGAATGGAACAGTACAATGGTCTATTTGTTGCAGCTCAGTTCGTCTGAGGGAGAGTTAACAACACTGCAGAGATGCCAAGAACACACAAACAGGACTATAAATTGGATTTATTTTCCGAGCAACATCTTGCCATGTTTATTTATTCACATTATTTCCTTAAACCCTGTCTGAAGTCTGGTGTCACATCGGCAACAGTAAAGCGCCCAAATCAACATGTCTTGTTTGTTTGGGTGCTGTCCATGGTGCTGATCACCACCTTTAAAATGAAGTGATCGGCGAAGCATTATCCATGCAATGACCAGCTCACTACAAACTTGTAGTGTTTTCCTCTCATCCTCGAAACAAGGTGCATTGTTATTGTCCCTAAATCATTTGTAAACAAAGAAGTCACAAAAAACACAACTGTAGTCAGAAAGTAACAGGAAGTTGTCGCAGTAATGTTTTAAACATTATCTCCAGCTTTGTCCTGCTCACGTCGTCTAGACTCAGAGTCCATTTTCTCACAACCAGCCTTTCACTGGAGGACATCTCTAATATTTAGTCAAGGTAATACGTGGCAAAACATTTAGCTTCGCTTGACTGTAGTCACTTCTTTACAAAACAGCATTCACACGTGTTCAGGAACAGTCAGCAGAGCCTCCTCTGGGTTCCTGTTGATGTCCACGTTCTGCAACGACACCAACACAAATACAGTTTCTTTACTGTTTAATATTCATTTCACTCACTTATCCCAACATCACTCTTCACAACTGCTTTCTATTTATCTTTTTTTCTCTTGATTTTTTGTTTAAGTAAGGTTTTTTCTGGCCACTTTTCCATGAAGCCTGACTCTGTGGAGTTATTGGCTCAAAGTGGAACTCTGAAGAGATACTTTATCCGTATCTCTCTAACTAATGCCCTGCTTGTCTCGTCTGTGAGTGCGGGTCATCTCTGAGCACTTAGATGGAACAAAGGTAAAATGTATTTAACTATTGATGTGACTGAAGCGTCCTTTTTAATTTCACCAATTTGACTACTTCAGTAAGTCCATTAAATAACATCCAAATAAAAAGTTAATTAGAATTCCAGGTTTTGACTCAACAAAATAACACAACAAATGGAGTGAATACTTGCTACGCACTGTACATATTCATTTTCACTGATACATATATTGCCGTCTGCCATCAGTTGTATGTTATTTACTACAGAATTGTTGGAAAAGCTAATTATCTATAATGATAAACGTGTGCTTGTGGAAACTCACCACTGGCCTTTCTCTGTGTGTGTTTACTGCTTCAATATTGAGGAAAAACGACTCAACTTTACATCCTGAAATAGGGGAGAAGATCAGACTGTCAGGGAGAGATTTCGGAAGATGTAGAGCCGTCACACAAAACAAACTCTACTGCCTACCGTAAGCTACTGGTGTGAGTTTGAGCACTGTGTGAAGAGGGCATCTTAGATAAGGTAGCTCATCTTCAGAGGGGGGGGGAAAAAAGATTATTAATTGTGTTCATTGTGTTAAAAAACAACAGCATCAACTATCGTGTGGAGATACCTCTGATCTGGGTATTCTGTACCTGCGGGTTTGTCTAGAAAGTAGGCCAACAGGCAGCGAAAGATGGCCTGGTGGCAGACAACCAGAACGTTTTCCTGCCTCTCCAGCTCCATGATCACCGGCTCTAGACGATGTACAAGGTCTTCATAGGACTGGAGAAGAGGCAGAATCATTGAGGAGTTGACAAAGGCAACCAGTCCCTCCTCAGATAATCTTATAATGACTGGTTAGCTTAGCACAATGAATGGAAACAGGGGGCGCGGCTAGCCGGACTCTGACCAAAAGAAACAGCTAAACCAGCTTCCAGCACTTCTCAACTAATTAAAGTGTTACAGTGTCTCTTTTGCATTGATGGAAAGTAACTCTGTGTATTTATTTACTGCTTTACATTTTTGAGGTACTGAGTTTGTTACGTTATTCTACTCCACTACATTACCAAGGCACAAACTGTACTTGTTTCTGCAGTAAAAAATAATTGATCAATAGTTAATAATTATAATCAGATTATATGATGTGTTTTTTTTCTGTATGATGACTACTTTCACTTTCAGTTCTTTAGGAGTAATTTGTTTCTAATAGTTCTTACTGATTTTGAATGCAAGACTTCTACGTTTAACATATTTGTTTGTTTGTTCATATAAGTGTTATTGCAACTTTGATTTAAGTAAAAGACACCACGGCTTGTTTGTTCGATAGGTTGACAAAGGCAGTTGCTTCCTGGGAGGTTCCCATCGCTTTGATATTGAAAGCCATGTCTTTGTCCTGCACACGATCACTTATAAAAACACCACTTTGTGATCTGTGTCATTTGTACACATCCAGTGTATTCAGCGTAGTACTCACCTCACCCTTTGGGTAACGATAGCGATACTTGTCCTGGTCTCTTAGTGCAAACTCTTCGGGAAAGTTCTCCTGGATCTCTTCGTAGGTTAGTTCCTCGCATACACCCTTAGTGAGAAAAAAGTAAATACCACATTAACGTTTAAAGAACAACTGATCTTCTGGACAGACTAAATTAGCTGGAGATTGAATGCTCTCTGTATTAAAACATTTGAAAACATCATCGATAAATTCGAATTGACTGGGTATGAATCTTTCGTTTGAAGGACAATGTTTAACCAAGACGTGTGACTCACAGCGTCTATCTCGTTGAGGGCCTTCCACTGTTCGTACTGTACTCCTAGAGCTTCTGCAGTCTGGATGGTCCTCTTCATGTGGCTCGTCCACACCTTCAGCTCGCGGATATTCTGACCTCTGATGAAGGTCGCCAAGGCGTTGGCATACTGGAAACAATTAGTGAATCAGTATACTGCATCGTTGGAATGGAACTAAGTTCAGTTACTCAAGTACTTTGCTTCAGTACACACTTCTTGTCACTGCATGACACTTCAGACTTCCACTCAACTATATTTTAAGAGGGAAATTATTATTTACTTTTATTTCACTCGTTTTTTTTAAATCAACAAAATGTTCTAATAAAGTATGATACATCATCATATATAAAACTAGCAGACAGAATGTACAAGTAAAGCTGATCCGTGATATTAATTTAAAGCTATATATTGTTATTTTTTATGCCACAACAGTTTGTGTTCGCAGCTTTAAAGTGTACAGCTTTTCCTTTGAGTTGCTTTTAATGTATATTGAATCATTTTGATGTTTGGAAGGTTGGACAACGTTTAAAAGGTTTAATCTTGAGTCTTTGATTAATACTTCTTTTCAATTTCATTTACAAAACTAACAAGGACTCGGTGAATGAAGAAAACAATCATCAAAAACAAAAAACAAAAATAATAATAATTTTAGTTCATAGTTTAAAATGAGCTCAACCAACTAAAACATTCAGCTCCGGCTTATAATGATAACAGGAATAATCTTATAACAGAATATATAGTGGTGGACCGTCACAAGTACTTTTCCTGATTATTAACTTTTACTGGTAACATCTAGAATGCAGTACTTTGAATTGCACTGCAGTATTTTTACAGTGTATTACTGCTTTCACTTACAGTGCAATCTACACACCTTCTGTCCCCTCGGCGAGAGGCCTGAATCTCCACCGATGCGCCCTAACAGGTTGAGTTCGCTCTCTCCGTGGCGGCTCAGGTAAATGGACCTCGGTGTGACGTGGATATTCATGAGGTAGTAGACTATCCTGCTTTGAATGTGGTCCTGAACCCGGTTCACCAGATATCTACTGCCCACGTCGAAGATCTTGATGTAAGAGAGCTTCCTGTTCAAAGTCGGAGTTGGCGAAAATGCAACTGTGAAAATAAGACGATTCTGTGCACCATTTAGATTCTTATTTACCTCCCGGAAAGCGAAGCATTATGGGACATTACCTGTCTTCCTCGTCGTCCATAGGCATGTAGCTGGCCCTGTAACACTCAATTCGCCGGCTGAAATCTTCCAATGCCTCATCTATGTCACGATCTACGTAATCTGGACTCCCAAACTTTACTTGCTGGAAAGGAAAAGACAGTTTGGGGAGTTTGTTGAGAACACTTCATTACTTCAAACAATTATATTGACTCGACTGACCTTAATGTTTTCTGCAATGATTTCTGGGTCATCACAGATCGACTCCACAAAGAACACCTGCACAAGAAGTATTTTTTAAAATATGTATATGTATGAAATCTATACCTTGTTCTATCTAGTGGATAGAACGAGTGACAAGATTAATATTATTATTATTAATATTAGATCGTATCTGCGTCCACATGCATACTCACTTTGTAGCCCCTCTCTTTTGCATAACTAAGGATGATTGCCCTCCTCTCCCTTGTGGTGTTGGTAGCATCAAACACCTAGGTGGCACAGATTGTAAGAGTTATTGTTCCATGCTTATAATTTGTTTGATGTATGTTTATTATATTCATGATGGTTAATAATCATGAATGAGGGACAGTTTTACATGTCCTCTCACTCACGGCTACTTGTCCCTGTTCCTTTGAGAAGTAGGCAGCGACGTCCTTCAGGGCAGCTGTTGCACAGGCCCTGGAAGAGAAGTTACACCCGTACAGGCAAAGGAGTAAAAACTGAAAAGATATGAGTGCATGGGGAATTTCGGACCACATACAGCTAATAATAATAATAATGATAATATTGTACTTACTTGCGGATCTTCATGGCCTCCTCATTGTCAGGTTTAAAGAACTCAAAGTTCTTATAGATCTTAACGGCTTCTCTTCGATACTGGCCCACGTTAAACACTGGTTGAATTAAGAAATTATTTTAAAATACAGTAACAGTAAAATACAGTTTTTGCCTTGATGGCACAGAAATACGAACTAATGGTGTTCAATGTTTGAAATTTCTTGTCACTGTCAAACATTTTTATAAAGGGAATTTTTTGCGTTTCTCTGACTTTTTGTCGGGACTCCGATCCAGTTTAGGTAGCGCGTGAGCTTCTTGGAGATGTACGTCTTTCCTCTGGCCGGCAACCCCACCATCACGATCATTGTGGGAGAATTACAGAACTGAGGCACCGAGGCTGAGACGCACACAAACGCACAAAGAACATGAAGCAACAGTTATATGGTTGTGAATCATTCAGCATGAGTGCATTACGGCCAGTGTCCTGAGGGTTAAGTGAGAGTCCTGTAAAGAGTCCTGCCTCTGTGCTGCAGGACGTGTGTGGTAATCTTCATTAAGAGACATAATAAGAGCTCCGGGGTGCAGCTCAAACGTCCGCAAACTCGTGTTGTGAGTCACCCGGCTTATCCGTCTGTCTTTGGCAGCACCGGACACATGAATCCGTCCAATCAACCACCAACAAATGGAACTCATCTCTTGAAAAAGATGTGAAAACAAAGACATTTGCAAATAGTCAATTACACGTACAGGACATGTTTACTGACCGGATGCTAGCCTTCTTTGTTGGGTAGTCACATTTTAGAAACAACCTTGAGCGGCACAGTGCACGGCGCCATATGGCCGACAATCACATGAGGACAACCCTCCTAATCTCCAAGTGTGTTAAAACGCCAGTGACTCCACTGCCGGTCTTTCTACTCGGCTCAGTTCTACTCAACCAATGTTGCCAAAAGCATAATCCTTCAGCTTTGGCTCAGCCTGTCACTGCATGACATTTATTAGATAAAGTTAAAGTTGAGGAAACCGAGGCACCGTTGCAGAACGTTTTCAGCATTGAAAGAGTTGGTGTATCTCTTAATCAGTCATGACCAAGTTCTGCTCGTCTCAAAAAGTGGCAGTTTATTTATAAGCTTGCTTGTTAGCATGGCCACCAAAACAACCCGGATGGCCCGTGGGAGTCCCTGCAGGAACAGGGAGGGCATCCAGGCTGTTCGATTATGAATGCAAAATGCTGCTTCGGCACAATTCTCAAAGGCCCACGTCAGACACTGACAACAGAGCCAACTCAGACATGGCTCGGTCCAGCTCGGCTCTCGTCCCATGACTGAACCCCCTCTTTGTCCCTCAAACCTTTGCCTGCATCCCCCCCCTGAACCGAACAGAGCCCAGTCCTGAAGGATTCGGAGGTGTGAAACACACTTACAACTGAAAGCAAACACCAAAGCTTCATCTGGAACAAGAATGAGTTAAAGTGGTGGCAGCACAAACAGCAGCAAGAACGAACTACATCATGTTTCACGTGTAATCAGAAGGGTTTGTTCACTGCACTTACATCCTCTCCTGCGGTTCAAGCTGCAGCCCATCCATGGCACCCAGATCTTGAGCAGGGGAGTCTGGGTGAGTTTCTTCTGCTCTGTGTTAACTGTGAGAGCCATGAGGCCTTACTGGCAGGTTCAGGACAGAGCGACTGAGGCTCTGTGATCTGCGTGCATGTATGTGCTTCCCTGAGCACTACTGCAGGTCAGCTGACTGTTATTAAGGAGAAGTACTTGGTAGGCAGGAAGGGGGAGGAACTGAGGCTGCTAGTCTGCCTCTCAGTCGGTTTCAAGATTAAAAAAAAAAAAAGGCCCGTAGGAGAGCTGCCAAAATCTCTGTCCCGTCAAACAGCAGAGGAGCATGCGTGTACACCGTGCTCAGCTGGTGCGGGGACACAGCTGGTTTCTTAGGCAGAATAAGAGCAACAGAGGCATCTGAAAGGAGTTAAACAGCGATGGGGAACCTCCCTTGAATTCAGATTAGCACAGCTGGCACCGATCCAGCTGTTTGTTTGACAAACTGGGAATGCGCGTTGTGGTGATTTTCCTTTCTTGCCACTAGAGGGCAGTGTGAAACTTAAAGTTAAATGAAGAAGAAAACAATAAGCAAAAATAACTTTTTTAGTTCATAGTTTAAAATGAGCTCAACCAACTAAAACATTCAGCTCCGGCTTATAATGATAACAGGAATAATCTTATAACAGAATATATAGTGGTGGACCGTCACAAGGGCCAATTTTCTGTAATGAGTACGTTTCCTGATTATTCATTTTTACTAGTAACATCTTGAATGCAGTACTTTGACTTGCAGTGCAATATTTTTTTTAAATGAATCTACTGTAAGAAGGCTCGGGTACTGTTCTGGCCATTTTGAAATGCTGTGTGCTTGAGGGAACTAAGCCTTTTTTAATGCAGCCAATTGACTTGCAACAAAAAACTGACACAGGACACTGTCCAACCAACACCCGAATAATTGAAATGATCACTTGATGAAGACATGAGAGACCCCCACAGTCTGTTTGTCCCCCCCGAAAAATACTCATACTGTACATTTGTTCCTTTTAGAGAATATATCATGCACTGGTCTGCTACTGATACGGATACAAACAGCACTTAAATGAAACAATTATTGACTTGTATGCAAATTGTTTAACGCTATCCTCTGAAATATGTAAAATTGTCCTTCCGCAAAACTATATTTAAATGTGCTAAATTACAAATTCAGCGAATTAATCGCTCAACATGAACGATTTACAATCCAAAGATATAGCGGGGTGATGTCTACCCGAGCGGTGAAGTATTTTTTGTTGACACAACCGGCTCGGCAGCAGATTAATTTCTGTGACGAGCCAATTGAAATGCTGCCCTGCGCTCATTCGCTGGTCACCTTCGATAGCTCCTCTCGACCGCGTGACACTGTTGCCGTAGTTTGCACTGTTCTTATTGTCAACACCGCTATCGCCATGTCGAGAGCCACGTGGAGGTTGTCCCTCTGCTCTTTAAAGGAGAGGGGGGGATGCCGGATGAGAGGGTCAATACCCCTCTGTCTGTCTGATCAATACGAAGCTACATTCAGTCACTCAGCTTTGCATGAAGACTGGAAACAACTAGTCCAGTTCTGGTCAAAGAGGACAAAATCTGCCTAGTGGCACTAAAAGCTCAATACACGTTTGCAGTCGTTTTACCTGCTCAGATAACCAGCAGCTGATTCTAACTTTAAATATCATAGAGTAGTATGAGAACGGCATCGAGCTCCTCATCTCTGCCATGGATGGAATACAGATGCTTTTAGAAAGGTCAAAGTTCGACATGGAGTACAGCAACAATGTAATTGCTTTTGAAGACATGATGTCTCCAGAGACATCAACTCTCAAAGCAAACTACTACAACTACGGAGAATCAGCTGTGTATCTTTTGTCTGTGTACAACAAAAGAACCGTGTCCTGCCCGATACCCAAAGAAAGGATCAGATATGACATAATGTCAAACCGTAATGTCTTTCAGTCCATTAAACAGGGATAATCATCAACCCAATTTTGGCCAAAGTTCAAAGTCTAACAGGCAGTTGTTCTTGGGCGGTGTTCTGTGTAGGTCATTGTTATGAAAAAAACATTCTTGCTAGTGAGAATAATTTGTTACCATAGTTTTCTGGTTGGGGCACTTTCACAACCACAGGAAGTCACATTGTAGTCACTCGTGAAGTGTGCAAACGGTTCTTTCCTGGAAACCAAGTGAGTGATGCCAGGCGGCAACCCTCTAGTGCCACTGTCTATTTCCTATCATGCATATGTATCCGTTGCTTCACAGCTGAAGAAAAAGTTCAGAAGTATTAGCAAATGCTCTTAAACTGAGGATAAAATACTCACTCTGTACATTTGTTTGTTTTTGTACCACCCTACCACTAATACTGATATGAACAGCGTTTAAATGGAACTTATTTTGACTACTCAAGTCTATTTTTACCCGCGTATCATATCTCTGAGGTACTTGGCACACTCGTGGCCTGCATGTACCACACGGTCGTAGAAGCCCCGCCGCAGCGAGTCTTGTATTGTATTGTTTTGGCATTCGCTCTGCACAAACTGTTCATCCGCGAGCTCACCTGCGCTGTCACACCTGCGGCGCCTCAAATATTCCAGCTGGGGAAACTCCATTTCTCCGCTTTGACTTCAATGAACCGACCAGCAGAGCGGCCGAACGCCGTCGACACGCTGGATTATGGGGTCAGTGGCAACAGTGACTTTTCAAAGAAACTAAACCCCTCTGCACGAGTGTTCTCAAACCCGACCCCACCCCGCGGAGCCCTCTCTTTTCACGCCACATGTGACATACGATAGCAGCAGACTGGGCTTGTCCTTTAATGTTTACCAGGGCAGGAGTTCACAAGGAACACACATGGCCGAGGGGAGAAGCTGAACTCAGAAGGGCGAGTCCCAAAGTGAGCAAAGGTCGCCAAGAAGCCAAATGTTGTTGCTTACAGGCCGCAAACTGTCGTTGTGCACGTGGGTTTGTCGTCAGCTGTGAGGTGTCAATAAATCGGGACGGGGTTACTCGAGGGAAAAACCCCTGAGGTTCAGATATGATATGATGTGATGTGGAAGTGAGCGTATATATATATATATATATATATATATATATCGCCCGAAGTTGGCTGGGATGGGCTCCAGCCCCCCGCGACCCTGTGTGCAGGATAAGCGGTTTGACAATGGATGGATGGATATATATATATATATATACATATATATATATATATATGCATACTGACCTTGTGAGACACATAGCATGTCCCAAATTCATACTATGTACTAATTATTTACAGTTCGTACTTATTTTTACATTGTGGTGTACAAAAAATCATTCAGCATCTTATACAAACAGCAGAGGACATTTACAGGATTCTTATCATCTTATCATCCACACGCACATTTAAAAAAAGAAAAGTCACATTTCTGATCTGCCTCCTCATTTCTTTGATGCATTTCCTCCTCAGTGGCACTATGAGTCAAACTCTCTGGTTTGAGTAGAAACTAAAATCTTTTGTAGGCCTTTGTTCTCATATGCAGTGGCAAACCCGCCTATATATGTCCTTCTATGTGGATAATGATTCAGTGGTGCTTCCCCTTTGAAAATCATTTCAAACTACTCTACTCGCTGGTAGTGAAAAAAATCCTTGCCCTCTTTGGCACGACAATAGCAATAACCGCCCCGACTTTTGTTTAACACGTGGTAAAAAGAAGAGATGACTAAAGCCACCTGATCAACCAATGTACTCTGACTCAAAGGTCATCCACAGACATTTGGAGACATTTTATTGATTACTTAAAAAAGGAACTAAGTCCAACTCTGAAGTCTTTGTTGAAGAAACTCGGTATAAAACAAAACAACTCCATTGGTTATATGGGGAGGGAAGAAGTGGGTGGAGGGATATATTTACATTCCTTCCTGAGGAATGTAATATATAAATATATATATATATGATTAAATGAAGTATTGGTGTGGTGGAGGAGAGAGATTACATTGTTGTTGGGTTAAATGCATCCGAGCTGTTCACACCATTTTAATGTATTTCTGGGAAATCCTGCTTTCTGGAAGTTTGTGAAATCATATCCAGATGGTTTTTGTGCAGAGAAGCAAAACAGCCTGAACTGGGGACGAGAATGGGGGGAGGGTTAAGAGAGGACTTGTGCCAGGTTGCATTTGCTTGGATAAACAGGCAGGAGAGGGATACGTAGAGTTATACATTGACTTGCATTTTGACCAGCAGCTCAGTAGCACAGTTCACCGATTGGAAACTGGATTATTTGTGTGAGAAGTCACAGAGGAATGAGGTGAGATTTTACTATTTTATACTTTTTCTGTGGTAGACAATGTGGTAGTTTCATAACTTAAAATATGATTTATTCAAGACATTGCATCTTCCTTTTGACAAACCTCTGATGCTTTCAAAAATATCTGAGATATTTAAACCACCAGTTTCTTCAGTTTTTATGTTCCATTTCGCTTTGCATTTAATCTCCAACTGAATCTATGTACCTCAATCGAGGAGAGCATCTGGGTCAAGGTTTCCCTGACTACTGCGTTTTGCAATGGTGTGTGGGTGTGACCCAATTTACAGTTTGAGGTGATCATGCTTTTTGTCTCATGTTACATCTATTTGCTTTAACTTATTTTATATTGTACATTTACTTACATACTTAGCAAACTATTGCAAAAATGCGTCATGTTTTGATAACCGATGGCAGGTGATGCGTGACGCTTTCATGCATCATGTGCACAAGGACTTTGACTTGGTTAATTGTTACTTAACTGCTCCAGGAAGAAGAAAAACGAAACCTGACCAATGAGCAAACTTGAGAAGATGGTCATTAAGACAATACAGTGCATCCGGAAAGTATTGACAGCGCTTCACTTTTTCCACATTTTGTTATGTTACAGCCTTATTCCAAAATGGAGTAAATTCATTATTTTCCTCAACATTCTACACACAACAACCCATAATGACAAAGTGAAAACTGTTTTTTGCAAATTTTTGCAAATCTGTTAAAAATAAAGAACAAAAACATAACATGTACATAAGTATTCACAGCCTTTGCTCAATACTTTGTTGAAGCATCTTTGGCAGCAATTACAGCCTCAAGTCTTCTTGGGTATGATTTCACAAGCGTTGCACACCTATTTCTGGGCAGTTTCTCCCATTCTTCTTTGCAGAACCTCTCAAGTTCCATCAGGTTGGATGGGGAGCGTCGGTGCACAGCCATTTTCAGATCTCTCCAGAGATGTTCAATCGGGTTCAAGTCAGGACCCTGGCTTGGCCACTCAAAGACATTCACAGAGTTGTGCTGAAGCCACTCTTTTGTTATCTTGGCTGTGTGCTTCGGCTCGTTGTCCTGTTGGAAGATGAACCGTCGCCCCAGTCCGAGGTCCAGAGCGCTTTGGAGCATGTTTTCATCGAGGATGTCTCTGTACTTTGCTGCATTCATCTTTCCCTCAATCCTGACTCGTCTCCCAGTTCCTCCCGCTGAAAAACATTCCCACAGCATGATGCGGCCACCACCATGCTTCACTGTAGGGATGGTATTGGCCAGGTGATGAGCAGTGCCTGGTTTCCTCCAGACATGATGCTTGGCATTCAGGCCAAAGAGTTCAATCTTTGATTCATCAGACCAGAGAATTTTGTTTCTCATGGTCCTCCAGGCGGGCTGTCATGTGCTTTTTACTGAGGAGTGGCTTCCGTCTGGCCACCCTACCAAACCGGCCTGATTTGTGGAGTGCTGCAGAGATGGTTGTCCATCTGGAAGGTTCACCTCTCTTCATAGAACAACGCTGGATCCCTCAGTCTGGCTGGGCGGCCAACTCTAGGAAGAGTCCTGGTGGTTCCAAACTTCTTCCATTTCCAGATGATGGAGGCCACTGTGCTCATTGGGACTTTCAATGCTGCAGAAATCTTTATGTACCCTTCGCCAGATCTGTGCCTCGATACAATTCTGTCTCGATACAATTCTGTCTTGGAGGTCTACAGATAATTCCTTGGACTTCATGGCTTGGTTTATGCTCTGTTATGCACTATCAAGTGTGATACCTTATATAGACAGGTGTGTGCCTTTCTCAATCATGTCCAATCAACTGAATTTATCACAGGTGGACTCCAACCAAGTTGTAGAAACATCTCAAGGATGTGGAATCAGGATGCACCTGAGCTAAATTTTGAGTGTCATGGCAAAGGCTGTGAATACTTTGCAATAATAATAATAAAAATAATTTGCAAAAAACTGTTTTCACTTTGTCATTATGGCTTGTTGTGTGTAGAATCTTGAGGAAAATAATGAATTTAATCCATTTTGGAATAAGGCTGTAACATAACAAAATGTAGAAAAAGTGAAGTGATGTGAATACTTTCCGGATGCACTGTATATACAGCGGAAGAACCAGCACAGAATAAAAATCTATTTTATGTAGACGTTGTGTGTCTCTGTGTAGCCCTGCGATTGGCTGGCGACCAATCCAGGGTGTACCCTGTCTATCGCCCAAAGTTGGCTGGGATGGACTCCAGCCCCCCCGCGACCCTGTGTGCAGGATAAGCGGTTTGACAATGGATGGATGGATTTAGTATTTGCAAACATTTGAGACACATAGGCAGAGAAAAAACATATTTGAAGATCAACTGCACACTTGAACATGATTGTTAAGATGTAAAATGAATAACCCAACTGTACTGGGATGAACCTCAATGCTGGAGCTAATATCAAACCAGTCAAGTCCTGCTTAAATATGGCTAACCTGCCATCCCATTTTAAAATCCTGCAGGATAGCTAGCTGGCTAGCGTTGGCTTGCTAATACTTTGTTATGCTAATGTTTGACAAAGCATTATATATTATGATGCTGTGTGAAGGTGCTTCAGAAGTGGGCTCGTCTCTCAACCCTCTTCCTTTCTGATAAACATTAGTTATCATGTGAAAAAATATATGGGTAGGCCTACATATTATTTTGGGAAATGTTATTTGCATATTGTGTAAAATTAAAATACACATAAGGAAATATCTGTCTACACCATCCATTACGTATTCCCTCTCATTTTGATCGCCGGTCTAAAACACATTCATGTAATTATGGGAGATTGAATAAAGTATGAACTGCAAATACATGTTGGGTAAAGCTCTGTGTGTCTTCCACAGTGATGGAGTCACATCCAGCCCTGGCGTTCCTCCTGCTTTTCTCAGCTGCCCTGTCCTCCGGTTGCGATGGTGGAAAAGTGCTGGTTTACCCCGTAGACGGCAGCCACTGGCTTAACATGAAAATCCTGGTGGAGGCGCTTCACTCACAGGGCCATCAAATCACGGTAGTGCGTTCCTCCACCAGCTGGTACGTTTCAGAATTCTCGCCCCATTACACCTCCATCACCGTCACCCAGGAGCATACCCAAAACCTAGAGAGCCAGGACTACATGACCTTGTTTTTGAAGAGGTCAATAGAGATCCGGCGGAATAAAGGAACACTGTGGGCATTCGTGAAATTTTACAACAATCTTTTCGACATGATGGGGGAGAACCATAAAGTTGTGGCAAAACTGATCGTCAGCATTTTTGAGAATAAGACACTCATCGCGGAGCTGAAAGAAGCTGGATATGACCTTTTTCTGACTGACCCGGCATTCCCGGGTGGAGTGCTGTTGGCACACTACCTCCAGCTTCCCTTGGTTTTCAACGTGCGCTGGCTCTTCAACGGCGAGGCCCACTTCGCCATCGCTCCTTCTCCGCTTTCCTACGTCCCCCATTTGTTTACCGACAACTCCGACAAGATGGACTTTTTCCAAAGAATCAATAATATGATACGCCGTACTATTTTGATTTACATATACTACTTTGTCTCAAATCCACCTTACCAGGCTGTGTGTGATCAGTATTTCGGGCCCGATGTCAGCGTCATGTCCCTCATACAGGGAGCTGATCTCTGGCTAATGAGGGTGGACTTTATATTCGAGTTTCCCCGCCCCAGCATGCCCAATGTCGTTTACATTGGAGGCTTCCAAGGTAAGCCCTCCAAGCCCCTTTCCTCGGATTTAGAGGCATTTGTGCAGAGTTCCGGTGACCACGGCGTGGTCGTCATGACTCTGGGGACCCTGCTGAGCGACCTCGGCCCTGAGATATCGGAGATCCTCGCCTCAGCATTTGCCAACCTCCCTCAGAAGGTCGTGTGGAGACACATCGGGAAAAGGCCAATCAACCTGGGAAACAACACCATGTTGGTCGAATGGCTGCCTCAAAACGATTTGCTAGGTCACCATAAAACCAAGGTGTTTGTCACACACGCGGGGACCAATGGAATATACGAGGCGATCTACCACGGCGTCCCGGTTCTGGGCATCCCGCTCATCTTCGACCAGTACGACAATATGGTGCGCCTGAAGTCCCGGGGAGTGGCTGAGATCGTTGAGGTGACAACCTTGGCTGTCGAGTCGCTGACGAGCTCGCTGAAGAATATCCTGGACCCCCAGAAGCCCTACAAGCAGAATATGCTCAAACTGTCACGGCTTCACCACGACAAACCGATGAAGCCGGTAGACAACGCCCTTTTCTGGATTGAGTTCGTCATGAGGCACAAGGGTGCAGCGCACCTGCGCACGGAGTCGTATAAACTGCCGTGGTATGCTTACCACTGCCTGGATGTGATGGCCGTCTTTGTGTTGTTTGCTGTGCTGATCACGGCTTTAGTTTGGGTTTCCTTCAGATGTCTCATCAAGCGTTTGATAAGGACCAAGAAGACCACAGCCAAGTCCAAGCATGACTAGATAAGCTCATGAGGAAGCCGGCGCGAGACAGTTTGAAACTGCAGATTTGAGATTATAATAAAATCAATGTACATATTCTCCACTGTGCATGTGTGCTTTGTCCACACGAATCATTATTCTATTGAGGAGCTTTATGTAAGGATCTTTAGGGCATATCCCAGTGGATGTGTTCTCTCACAGGGGGGATTTCTAATAGATGACCTTCTACAAAAGATATGGTTTAAAAAACAATATGGCAGTAAACAGACTGTGAACATGATTTGTTAGAGTGTCATTTGTTTTCCTTCCATTGTGTCCCTTTTTGACACAAATGCACAATTTGAAAACATTTTAGCACGCAGGACAGCTTCACTCCGGAGAAGTGAATCTAGCGGCAGGCTTAGTGGGTACTTTCACTATGTTCACATGACTGCGCCTGCTGGTGATGATGGTCAGTGGCCTTGAGCTGCGGTTCACCCGCTCCTGTTGTTAACCATTGATGGTATGTGCAAACAGACTTAAGACATTGTACAAACAATCAAACATGTATCTAACATTTGAAATTGATAACGGGATGTCTAGAAGTTAAGCTGTTGAGACCACATTTTAGACGCACTGCAAAGTAAATATAAAGCCAACCAAAAGTAACCCTAAGCAGAATGGGCCTTTTCAGAACAATAGTTATTACTCAGTAATTATTTGAGTGAATTAAAATGATTGATGGGCTCTTCTAATTTCTTGATATGTTACTTGTTGGCTTATATATAATGATGTATACTTTTTTGAGTTGATAATACGTATTGAATTATACATTTTATAATATATACATACAATATTAAACATTTTATACTAGTGTAGTAAACTTAAGTATTGTAGTCTACAGTACAAATGAACATTTTAAAGATGAATTTGTTTATATTTGTTTATTTATTGTTCATTTATTTACAAGAAAAACACATTTTATTAAATCCTTTTCCTTAACACCCCAAAATTCTGCTTTTAATTATAAAGAGTGTGGCTAAATGCTTGACCTGAAAACTAGATGGGATGATCTACACCGTGGTGATATATACATGAATCCCTTAATTTCATTTAAATTCACATTCCACAGAACAAGAAACAAACTCAGTTACCAAGTAAGTTACCTTTACGGTATATTAAAGATACTTTTTCAACTAAAACAAGAAAGCCTCAAAACAGCATAATGCGAATATTAACTTGTGTGTACAGCAAATGTTTCAGAATGACACAGTATATTATTACATTCATAAAATGTAACACATTAAACCCCCGTATTCTCATGCTCTAAACTTCACATGTGTTCTGGCTGATGGACTCTCTAGTAGAGTCCGAACCGACACACTGGATCATCTGACGACCTCGCTGGACTCTTGATCTGAGCTCAGCAGTAATCTCTTCGTCTGCGTGGAAGTAAACCAACGGGTTGAGAGCGCTGTTCAGGCACACGAGGCCGCGACTTATCTGGTGAGCGATGAAGACTCCATTGAACCAACCGCTGCACATCTTCTGTCTGGCCAGAACCCTCGACCAGAGGTTGAGGTTCTTGAATATGTGATGGGGGACGTAACAAACGACGAACAGCAGAATCAAGATGCACAACAGCTTCAAGCATCTCCGTTTCAGCACCTTGTCCGCGGTTTTTGTGCGGCAGAGCAAAAGAATCCCATGTCCATAGCAGCCCAGCGTGACAAGGAACGGGATGCAAAACCCAGTGAGAGTCCTTCCGAGGCTGTACCTCAGGTAATCCTCCACGTGATGGTCACTGGTGGTGTCGTAGCATTTCACCGTCCGGTTTCCATATGTTTTGCTGTAGAACATCTCTGGGAGACTTTGAACGGCCACAAACAGCCAAACCGTGAGGGAGATCCCTACAAAGTGGGCCACCGTTATTCTTCCCTTGGCTCTCATTGGATGCACGATGGCCAAGTACCTGTACACACTGATACAAGTGAGGAACCCAATGCTGCCATATAAATTCAGGTTGAAGCAGAATCGGGTTATCTTGCAGACGACGTCTCCAAAGATCCATTTGTTCTTCATGAGGTGGTACGACACCAAAAATGGCAACGTGAGCAGGTACAGAAAATCTGCAAGTCCGAGGTTTAGGACAAAAATATTGACGTTACCCATTTTCTTCCAGTTCTGCAGCAGAGCCTTCAATCCCCATCCATTAGCTACCAGACCAACAATAAAGACTAAGATGTAAACAGGAGGCAGAAACTTGCCGGAGAAGTCAAAGCTGATCCGTTGACAATCTGTGTTATTCATTGCGCTTTGGCTTAGCGGTTAATACAGTTCAGCTCAGCGGGGGTGTTGACTAGAAGAAATCTGCCGTGGTTCAGAAGAGACTTCCCCTTTCCTGCCCTCGCTTCATCACAATTGATCTGCTGCACCTGCAGCTTGGTCGGAAATAACACTGGTGGGTTTGGCGGTTGTTTTCTAAATGAATATATTTAAATACAAGTCTCAACCGACGAGACACGCAGAACCTCTGGCACAACTTAGATCACAATTAAGGTTAAATGTGCTGGTTTGTCACATTTCAATTTCTAATCAGTCTTTGTCAGATGCGATGAATGAAACCATTTGAGAAAAGAAAACTAAATGTCTCGCTTTAGTCTAGTAAGCTATGCTGCAGGCATAATCCTTTAAAAAGTTTTCTAAATCAAGCGTTCACGCTGTCCTCAGCAGTAGGTTTTTCTGTCCACTAGATGTCAGGATGTCTAATGTTCATGCTAGTGCTGAACTTTAAAGAAGACATCAACAATTAAAAAACACTGGTCGTTATTTGATTCATTTTTTTATATGAAACATTTAAGATAAAAAAGATGTATATGATAAACTAAAAACTTCTAAACTTTCTAATGGAAAAAGTGTGTAATGTACAATAGTTACTGATGGAGTGAAACTACAGCGAGTCCAACACAATTGTAGAAATCTTTGAATATAATAAAAATTACAAATTAAATACATGTATACAAATCATTGATAGCAGAAATGCAGGACGTATGTATTATACAGAGACAAATTTCAATATACATGGGACACATCTGTCCAGAAATATTTACAACAAAACAAACATGAGAGGAAATAAGTGCAATGTCATTAAACTACAAACAAACAAAAAGTAAAAAAGTAAAACGTTACATTGCTCAAGTCAGAAAACCATATCTGTCAACACGTTTTGTGAAAATTCAATATTGTCTGAAAATCATCCAGAACAAAACGACAACAACAAACCAACAACATTGAATACAATGCACAAATTGCACCAGCTTTTGTTTCTCTATATCGGCTCCCTGGCACTTGTTTGGCATTACGTGATCAGATACTGCTGTGATTTAAAGCAGTTATTGTGCCCCCAGGTGGAAAAGTCCTATCAAGTAAAATCAGTGCATATCTTTCTTAAACCCTTTTTGTTTTCCTAATCCTCTGACTTGTTTAGTTGGTCATGAACTTGTTTCTGGTTGTTTTGTATATTGTGGGGGGTATATGTGCATTTATTCTCCCTCTTATCTTCTCCCTTTAAATAATTTTGTAACTTCGTTACTAAATTAAGTGTGATTTGTTGCTTGCGTCCAACTAATAAAGAAACCAGTAGAATGCGTTGTGTATAAGTTCATCCCAACCCAATCACAGTTTTTCATCTTCCGCGTTCCATTGATCAGAAAGTGTCCTTATGTATCTACCAGGTGATCAGTCAGTGAAGTCCGATCAGGGCCTGTATCCCCACCGGGCCGGGTTGCTGTGAGGGGCGTAGGGGCAGTTGTTGTGACAAACGCAGGACTGGATCATCATCACAGCCCTCTGCAGCCGCCGGCCCGCCGGGCAGCGGAAGGTCACCTCGGCCGTGGTGGTGTGGTGGGGCGTGCAGCAGCGGGCGTCGGAGCAGCGCCCGCAATACTGCAGCTGGTAGGCGCGGGTGCTGTGGCAGTCCTGGTGAACGAGCCGGATGGGGCCCGGCGACGCGTAGCTGGCCTTGCAGCGCCGCTGCAGTCCCCACTGGGAGAAACGGCACATCCACACAGTAAGGGGATCAAATCGTACTGGTTTTGGTGGAATTTCTTAGGTGGGGAATGATCCTGTTAGGAGAAAACTCACCATGGGTTCCCGTGAGACGTGCTGAGCTGCATGGCAAGGACGCACTTTACAAAGCCGAGTCTCCATTTGCAGCTTGCAGGCGGGGTTCTGGTTGGAGACGCGTGTGGAGACCCCAGACCCGCAGCTCCGGGAACAGGCGCTCCACCTGGTGCTCTGCTCTGTGCAGGTGGAGGCGGGTGGCACCAGTTTATTTAGATGCCGATCCATCGGGAGAGCCGGCCACAATCCCCCGTGTCTAGTGGCTAAAAAAAAAAAAAAAAAAAAAAAATATATTAAAGTGAGAAGAAAGTTTAGTTCACATTACAGGACTCAGGACCTCTAAACATGGACTGAAAGCTAGTGATTTAATTCATTCGAGTGAGTCACTCACTTCCAGTAACTGTTCTCATCTAATTATCCAAATCCAAACTAAGCCAGTGCTTTTGATTCTAGTGAAGATAGAAATCCAAAGCAGATTTTTGTTACTCCAAAAACAAACATTTATATGTCATAATAATCGGCTAATCTGCAGGAATGACATCGCAGGTTTTGCATCCAAGAACAAAATGTTCTTTTACTGCTCTCATGGTTGTTTGACTGAGACAATGTTTAGAAATCCAGATGTTTTTGGAGGGGCTTCATTTCTCTAACACACTCTCCTATGTACACATTCACACACTCCCCTTTCAATAAAAGAAATAGTACCTTGCTTCAAATGTTTAATTGTTCCACGGCTGTGGTTTTTGTTATGAAACTAGGAAACTAGTTATGGAAACTTAACGTGGGTTATATTTGGACTTTGGGAGTTTTCCTTTGGCCAGACACACCCCGGTTTAATACAAAAATGCTCCAGTAAAAACTTCCAGACATGACCACCAGTGACAAACCTCGTATGAATGAGGAAAACATGTTGCCATCCGGACATCTGATCATCAATGAGCAACGTTTGTAGCAGAGATTCACAGCGATGGTCCACGCAGGGACACATTTGAAACTGTTGTATTAGCTCTGAAGTAGGGACATCGTTTAAAGGAACATTTTAGCATTTGGGGAAATGCACTTTCTGCTTTCCTTGCAGAGACTTTAATGAGAAGATCAACACAGCTCTTCTGTTTTTTATTTAGACGCTGCGGTAAGAAACCATATAAGAAAAGAACAGCTGCATTGGAAGCTGTTTGATGCGTTTCTCCTTTGAGGGTTGATTCAACCATCTTAACTCATCCGCCCGTCCGTCCGTCGAGTTTACCTGTGATGGCATCGTGGAGGACGGTGTTGTCTAGGTTTTCACACACCCATTCCTTGCAGCACTTCCCCGGTAGCCGGATACGCTGTGGGTTTGGACAATCCGGAGTGGGGAGAAGAACATTCAGGGGACAAGCGGGCACACAGCTGACCCCTCCACCTCTGCAGTGGCAGTGGGTGTCGCAGGACGGCTGGAACGACTGTCCCTCATTGTACGTGATGCCGTTGACTTCACAGCGCAGATCCTCCCGACCTGGAACAAAGCGCACACACAGACACACACACACGGCTTCTTGATTTCCTCAAACGCGCCTGCAACTCGGAGTCTATTAGATCACCATCTAAGTGAACTGGTCCCTGGGATTAATATCAGGAGGGGAGGAGATTAGATCAAGTGAAGAGGGGATCACATCAGAGGGACATGATAGGAGGGTTGTGTAGTTTTATGGGAAACCAGGCCTCTCTCTGCTCAATCATCGAGTGCTGTCTCTGCGATACGTCATGCCGCCCAAAAGGAAGTCATTAGAGAAAACGTGTCAACAACGGGACCTGGAAGTTAAAATGTTTCAGTTCTGCAAGAGCAAACCGGCAAGGGTCGTTCCGCTCGCCTGAAGGAGACTTTAAACATTAAGCCAACTGTGCCGCTGATGCAAACTGGACAGCGGGTTCCCATCCCCCTCCTCCATCCCCCGCGTGTGGCCCCCGCTTCCGTTCCCGCACGCGCGAAGACGCCAGCTGGGCCTGCCTGCCGGTAGAGTAAAGAGGCACTCACTGACGCACTCCCCCGGCTCTCCGTGGAAGCTGGCGCTGTAGTCGCACTGCAGTCCTCGCTGGCCATCGCAGGGCAAGCCGTCGGGTGCAGGGGCTCGCCTCGCTGCCGGGCGCAGACCCGGCAGCACCGGCAGCCGTCCAGGGACCAGCGGGACTCCCGCGGGGACCCGGGGGGGGGGTTTGGGGGGAGGGGAGGGGAGTTTGACACAGCCTTCACTCTCCCTGCTTGAAAAAAACATTTGGGGGGGGGGGGGGGGGGGGTCACGAAAGGTCTTACATAATGGAAAATCAGTGTTTCCCATTATATTCAACTGCTGGAGCCAAAACACGGGGAAGATCTGGACGCGCCCATTCTCACTTAATCAGAGCAGAGGAATTCTTGTTAACTGCTCAACAAGATAATGCTGAATTGCAATTGAAAGTATACATCAGTTACAGTTACCAAAATTTAAATTCTTAATTGTGTCGAGTGCTTTTCTCCGTCTCATGTGATCATAATGTTAATATTTTTAGTGTCAGTTGGACTAAACAAGAAACTGCCTCACTGTGATGCCTATTTAGTGACCAGCTAATGGCATTTACCAGACAAGTCGTCCATTGAATCATGCCATTAACAATCATTTAAATGTAAAAGGTTTAAAGTGTTTATAATAGCAATATTGAACGGAATTCCATATCTTATTCATGTACAGACAAAAATAGCACTACTCTTCATTTCACATCAAGGTGGAAAGGAAGATGTTATTCCACTAACATGACAAATAGAAGCAACGATATGCTGATAAATAAACAATAATCCTGATGAGAAAAAGAAAGTCAACAGTATTTATCCATCTCGTTACACTATAATCGGAGTCAAACTAAAGAGCATTACCTCCACACGTCCACTCTCACACAAATGACCTCATTCAGGACAAACTGCAGCCAGGAAGCAGGAACAGGCCTCACCTGTGTAGCCACACACAGCAGAACGGCCGCGGCTACGGCGCAGACACGCAGCAGTCGGTCCATGGGGGCTCGCGCTGCAGATGGAGCTCACTCCGTCTGGAGAAACCGACGTGACGCTGTTTGCTAACTGCTCATTCTTGCGCCTGCTGACATTTATAAAGTCTGGACTCTGATGTCACAGGCTGACTACCGTGTAAACAGCCGCTGGACAAGCACAAGAAATGTTTCACATTCCTCCTCCCTGCTGCCCGTTTCCACTTCCAGACACACACACACACACCTCCACCCCCAAGTCTTTCCCCTCTTTTTCCTCTCCTCCCTCTCTTTCCAGTCTTGTGGTGTTCCAAGTTTACACAGCTTAACACGAGAAAGATGCATTAGCCCAGTTGTCTGCAAGTGAAACAGCCTCCGGGGCTTTTGTGGGTGACGATTGCGATTTAAGTTCACAGTTCAGTTCATTTTAGTTTCTTTCTATCTCGCTGATGTTTTTACGGCCTGCGGCTTCACTTGAGGGTCAGCCCGATCTTTTGAAAAGACATAGGACAACAACAACAACAACAGATACTGCCACAATTTAATTTTCATCCCTAAAACACCTCTGAAAACCTTCATGGGAAACTTCAGCCAGACTGAAAAGAGATGAAAACCCTTCACCTCCCTCTCGTTTCATGGTGTGAGGGCAGCGTGTCGGACGCATGAACTTGAATCATCTCAATCTCTTTGAAGAGAAAATCAAATAGGTGATTGAGCAAGCAGTACTCAAGAGGCCACAAGGGCACGTCTTGTATTAAAAAGAATCCTTACTAATAACTTACTGCGGAGGCAGCGGTGGGACGGATTCAGCCTCCTTTGTCAAACCTGCATCCGTGTTGTGTCTCCAAGTATCCATAAGACAGCAGCCAGGCTACAGTGAGCGGAGAAGAAACACAATAACATGCTCACGAACACACTGCTCACACGCTTGGGCTTAGCGTTAGTAGCATTGATATCATCTCGGAGCCACAGATGTCCGTTATTCTCCTTTCCGACATACTGACATGTCCCTGGGCCAGCGTGCGAGGCTAAAAACGTAGAACTATTACAGAAATAATCATCTCACACCCACGCGTTCAGCATTTTACACGAATGCTGCCATTGCTCCGGAATGCCTGAATCTAAACACAAAAAGCAAAGAAGGACTCCAGTCACTGAATAAGAACACAATTCGTTCACGGCTGATTGATCCCGTTCAAAGCACAGCTACATTCCTGCATTTCAAACAACAGCCATTTCTCACAGAGTTGGGTGGGCAAGCATCCAGCGATGTGCTATAAATAGAAAGCAACAGACAGGCAGATAGAGAAGAGGAAAGTCTGTGTGTGTGTGTGTGTCCAGGCAGGTGGGCTCCAGGTGGCTGGAGATGTTCTGCAGCAACTATGCCGTCCTGGCCACCGCTCCTTGTGTTTTCCACGCTTTCCAAGAATGACGGAGGCTGGAAGGATTGCAGCGTAATTGGCTCAACTGGAACACACACCGGTTTGGCAGAAGATCCCAGAGTGAGACGGAGCCTGTTGAGAAACCCTCTCTCCGTGGTGGGACACGCGATGAGAAGAGACGGTTAGCTTAACGGCGCGATGCTTGATTTATGAACAAATGCTGTGGGAAGAGGATGTAGCCAAGTCATAACATCAACAACTACACCCGGGATCAGTCAGAGTGAAGTCACGCAGCATCCGCCAATTCAAACCAAGAGGGGGGCAGACGAGGCCCGACACATTTTCCAAGAGCACACAGATGTTGGACAGCTCCCAGACAGTAAAAGTATCACTCTCGCCGAGAGCGGACCCGTTTGAAGAACCCCCCCCCCCCAAAAAAAATCCTGCACAATGACCCTCATTCAGTTTGGGGAGAATATTGTTTTGGTATGTGATGGCATGTGGGAGAAAGCTCATTGGATTCCTTGTTGGTTCGCAAATTCGAGAAAACAAAACTGCAGGACAGGGGAACCAAAATATTATCTGTCCTGTGAATGTCTCATGCCGCGATCGAGAGGGAGGCCAAAACCGTTTAACACATAGATGTTTGCCAATAACCCCCAAAGTACCTCAAAGAGGAAGCAGGAGAAAAAAGCAGCCTATATTCAGACCGTCGTCATGAAACTTAACACTCGTCTACGGATACAGTCACAGCTGAACTGACATTTGCAGATGTGAAACCTTGGGTCTGGTTCTGTTTTGGTGATGGATAATTGATAAAGAGGTTACACAGTAAAGTCAGACAAGCAACAAGCGCTTGGAAGGATCGCCGTGAGAAGTATTCGTCCCTCAGTGGTTCTCAGACTGTCCTTAATGAAAAAAAACTAAACTATTTCAAACTGAAAAAGACTTAAATGCCTTTCAAACATTACTGACGGTATGTTGTTGGCTCTGTTCTTTTTACCCCCCAGTGTTTTCAGCTGTGTTACTGCCATGTTTCCACCACAGGTCCGTCTCTGTTATTCAAGAACAGACTTCTTCTTAAAAGTACCGACGAGGCTACTACCAAGTTTATACTTGAATAACATATTTTCACTATTATTTCATCCTTAATCAATTTCACGGCAGAACATACAATCGTTTTGATCATGGCTTTGATACTCTTTCTGTAATTGGAGGGAGGCATAAAGGTCACTTTACATAAAAACAGTGTTTTCTTGGTTGATGGTTTACAATGTGCATCTCCAGCAAAGCTGCCATTGACTGATTGTGCTACTGGGGTAGAAATCTGGGCCCGGGGTTTACATTTTGTAACTTTGAGTGGCTTTTTTTCTAGTAGAACATTGGAGACTTTGAAGCTTTCATACAAAAAGGCGATTGTTGAGAATGGCGGGAATTCAACAACGTTGATAGATAATTTGAGCAAATGACGCAAGGGGAAAAGTTTATTTGCCTTCAGTGCGACCACAGTTTAATTTGTCAAAATGGCGAAAACAACTTAAGTGTAAATTTGATTAAAATGATGTGATTTAACAAAAAGCCCCCAATAAAACACATTTTAATGTTCTAAAGAGCCCATTTTTGTACCCCTCACATTTGTGACTGCAGCAAAGCCAGACATTATCCAAGTTTGCCAGTTTGCGGGTTTGGGTGGTGCCAACTAACTCTGTCTGATTCGAGTGGCACTCAAAATAAACACGCCACCGCTGCAACAGCCACAAATAATATTCAAATCTTTTCCCAGGACGATATTTAAACACACGCAGAGCAGCTCCGCGTGCACTCGGTAATTGGTTATGACACCCTGCGGCGCTGAAAGCTGGACATTCATTGGCGGGCCGGCCGTGCCGGATCTGCAGTTATCGTTTCAGTGAAAAGGGGGGAAAAAACGTTAGCTGTGACCGCTGGATCGGTCAGACGTTACAAAGAGCCTGCAATTGGTCAAGCTTTTGCAGCCGTGAGTCAGAAAGCACATTTGCAGACCGTTGATGGTGTTGATGTACCGAGTTACACTGACTCATTATTCCAGTAAAGGACTAGAGAAAGGGGATGACGGCCTCCGCGGGATCACCACCACACCCTGTAGAGGTCAGAGACCTAATCTATTCGAAACACAATAAACGCTCATGCTGCACTAATTGGGTTTCTCTAACCAGCTTTCTTTATGTCCCTCCTTCAGTAGTTCTCTCTTAAAAAGGCTTGAAAAGGTTTTAATGTAGGTAATTACTGCAGACAGTAGACATGTCGACAGTAATTCAAATGGCTTACCAGATATTTGTATTATAAGAATCTAGGGTGGTGGCCTGAAAAATGTGTTAATAGCAGCTTAAAGCAACTTTGCAACATAAACTTTTTACTAGGGAGGAAAAACAAGAGGGCAGGATGAACTTTTAAACAGATGTTGCTAACATTTACATAACTAAACGAACAGCAGCAAAACTCTCACTACTAAAAAAGCCGGGCCTTTCCTCTGACATCGCTTTAGTGAAACACTAGAGGTGCAAAGCTGTTATGTGATGTAATATACAACTTCAGTTGTCCTTCCCGGGTGAAGTCAAAATATCCCAAATAACAAAATGAGACATGATTTAAATCGGCTTAGCCCGAGACTAAAGCGGTAACGGTCAGATGTAGATCTATAGTAGAAAACACACAAGCAAACATACACTCACACTCATAGACAGGGCTCCCCCAACGTGAATAACTTTCTAAAATGACACCTTGAATTTCAGACATTCCAGTTCAATGTGTGAAAATCCCACAGTGCTGCCAGAGGAACACCCGCAGCCGGCCGTAAAGACAGCGTCCGGACCAGAGGTCACCACCTGACGTAGACG